GTCTCAACCATGTGGTATATATCACTTTGTTTTTAATATTTAACAGGTTTAATGCTATATAGTAATTTCCACCACATGTAAGAAGGCAGTGGCAATTCATATTAGAGGTTAATGTTTTTCTTATTTCACTGAAACCTTGGAGAAGGCTGAGCAAAGGAGACTGAGGGAGCAGTATCACATCTGTATCTCTCAGCCTAGTTCAGGTTGAGGTTTTTCTGCATCTAAAAACTGCTTGTGCAGCTTTGCTCAATTACTAACTTCCAGAGAAATTCTAAAGTTCTAACAGATTTGCATTTGGTAGGGACATGTATTATTCTATTGTTATGTGGATCACTGACCCATGACATTTTGATGTTCATGAGTTTCCAGTCACATTTCTCCAAAACATGCAGGTTTATGACTTAGTATGTGATCTCTATGAGCTGGAAAGACTCAAAGCATATGGCAGATCAGATGTTAGGCTTGGGGGAAATCAAAAATTAAACTGTCTCGGAGCTGTTGAGAGGCTGCTTTGCTATATATTTTATGTGATTTGTATGTGTGTGTGTGTGTGTGTTGGGGGAGATGCCACCTAGGGAAGGGAATCTAAAAAAAAAAAGCTTTAAAAAACGAGCTGTTTGTATTGTTGCTTTAAACTTTAAAGTCTGGTCAGCTAAAAGCAGATGTTGCCAACTAAAATGGAAACTTGCCTGAGGCCAGAAAAACTGGAGAAGGCGCTATCTAATAGTAAAAAGGAAAAATGCTTTCTGGAATCAAAATACATTATATACATAAAATGGACACTTGAACTTTTTTTCTCTTTATATTTAGACAGATTAGTGCACAATAGTTATAGTTTCCTAATTTTATTTCAGGAAAATGATTCACTATAAATTCTGACTGGATTGTAAGTAGTTTACTGTGAAATCTTTTATTTTATTCTGCACTGGCAAGGAAGGATTCCAACTATCATACTGCAATAGGAAATATGACTGAGCTTACACCTTATCTCTGGCTGCCTGCCCAGTACTTAGATGGAGGTGGACTAGAGACTATGAATACATGGTGTGGGTTTTGGCATAATTTCACATAATAGTTTTGATGCTCTGAGTCTGTTCCGGACAGAAGTTTCTGTGATGGTAATAACTGAGAAACATATACACATAAGTGGAAGTGTGAGTATAACCTTTGCTGTGTGTTTTTATAATGACCTGATCCTGTACAGTATCTGAGGATATACTTACATTATATAAACATACTTTTAAGTCTTTGAAATACAAAGTAAAACATTAAAGAATATTTTCAAGAAAGGGGAACCAAAAAGTTAGTTTATATATAAAAAAGCAATTATGCAAAAATCATAAACCAGTATTTGCTAAAATCTTCTCTTTTTCATCTATTTATGTATGAGAAAATACATATTTACAGTAGCTCTCTCTATATTATTTCTTGGATGTCATAAAGCTTTGAACCAGTTTAAAATTTAGTCTGCTTGAGACTAATTAATTAATTTTAAGTTTATGATTTCAAAAATAAGGCTTTAATAGTGAAGCAACAACTGCAATCTATAGTATTTTCTATGGAAAACCCCAAACTTTTGCAATTAAAAATATTTTACCTGATATCACTTCAATTTTAATAAAAGATTCAGAGGTTGATTTTCTGTTCAAGCTCAGCAGCAGCAATAAATCAATCAATCCATTCCAGGATTAAATGAAAATGTTGCAGATCTTTGCACATATCTCCTGAAGATATCCTACAGATAAACCTAATGAATCTAATCCAGGGGTTCTCAAACTGCATTGCACTGTGACCCTCTTCTGACAACAAAAATTACTTCATGACCCCAGGATGGGGGACCGAAGCCTGAGCACGCCTGAACCCCACTGCCCCTGGTGGAGGGGTCACAGCTCAAGCCTCACCGCTCTGGGCAGGTGCCAAAGCTGAAGCTCAAGGGCTTCAGCCGCAGGCAGTGGGCCTGCAACCTGAGCCCTGCCACACAGGGCTGAAGCCCTCGGAGTGTGGCTTCAGCCTTGGGTCCCAGCAAGTCTAAGCCAGCCCTGGTGACCCCATTCAAAGGGGGTCGTGACCCACTTTGGGGTCCCAACCCACAGTTTGAAAACCGCTGATTATCAATCAGTCTTTTTCTAGTGCAGCTATTACTGTAGTGTCTAGGAATTATTTTGCTAATGCAAACATTCAGTATGAAAATCACTGTGCTAAATTCTGCTTTCATGAACCCCACTGTAAAAAGGGCTTGTCTACAAATGGAGTTATTCAAGAATAAGTTGTTTCTGAATAACTCCCTCTGTAGAAAAGCCCTAAATCTACTGATACCAATGGAGTTACTCCAAATTCACAGATGTGTAACATTAAGCAGAATTTGGTCCTTCCTTTACTTCTCCTTATTTCAGTTAGCACAATTTGTGTGTGTATATTACTGGTTTTTCTCTTCAGTGACATATTTCTAGGTAATTTCTCAGGCATTGAACTTGTGTGAAGGATTTGCAAAGAGTTTTTTGGTTTTTTTTACATTTTGACCTTAAGATGTTCTGATTGATGGCCATTCCTAGTAGAAGAGGATGCAATAACTGAGGGCCTGCTGTTGAGACAGCTTTGCCACCTGGGCCATGAGAGCTTTGCCACAGGCTCCATCAGATGAGCTCCTCTACCATACAAAGGTATAAAAAAAAAGCCCCCTCCACCCCATACCTGATGATGCTCTAGATGCCCCTGAAACCACACAAGTTCTGGTTTCAGAGGAACAGCCGTGTTAGTCTGTATTCGCAAAAAGAAAAGGAGTACTTGTGGCACCTTAGAGACTAACCAATTTATTTGAGCATGAGCTTTCGTGAGCTACAGCTCACTTCATCAGATGTTTACCGTGGAAACTGCAGCAGACTTTATATACACACAGAGAATATGAAACAATACCTCCTCCCACCCCACTGTCCTGCTGGTAATAGCTTATCTAAAGTGATCAACAGGTGGGCCATTTCCAGCACAAATCCAGGTTTTCTCACCCTCCACCCCCCCACACAAATTCACTCTCCTGCTGGTGCTAGCCCATCCACAAGTTCTGCAGTTCCTAAGCCTGCCTATTTATCCTCAACCCCAGTAAAACCCAGAAAGGGGGAAACAACAAGCCACCATTTATCTCTGCCCACTTCATGCAGTGGGTCATCAGATAAGAGAACAACTCCAGGCATCTCCTCCTTCCCAGAGAAGGAGCAGAGAGGAGGACACTGATGCCCAAATCTCCCGTGGCGGCGTGGGACCCGTTTTGGAGAGGATCTTCACATCCCAAGCAAGGTCTGCAACTTCCACCCTACGCCTCTCTCTGCCTGACCAAAAGAGGTAAAGAGAAACAAGTTCCCTCTGCAGAGCCAGCAGTACCAGGGGCGGGCGGAAGGAAGCAGCTCACCACCAGAAACGCCATGCCCAAGCCCCCGCTGGCAAGAGGAGAGGCAAAGAAAACGCAGCCCTCTAGTCTTCTGCGGGGTGCCGCAATGTTAGGGATATCCTCCTAGTCACCGCCTCCTCCCTCTCGAAAGCGAGTGATTATAAAGGTGGCACAAGGCGTGATCTCTGAACGGGATCTGCTGAGGGGAAATTCAGGCACGTGCCCCAGCAGACCCGCCCCAGCGCAGCCCAGAGCGCCCCGGAGGACGATAGATTCCTGAAGCGGCGAGCTTATCAATCGATCATCCGGCCAGCTTGGCTGGTCTGTGAGCCCGAGGCGGGAGTGGGATCGATCGAACCTTAAAACGCTCGCGCGCTCCGTCCTTGCCCTAGTTGACGCCATTTTGTGCGGTGGCGGGAGAGGTGGCCGGACGAGGTATGATTCGGTTCCCCTCGTGACTGGGGGTCGGGGCGGAGCCGATGGCTGCGCTGTCCGGGAGTGGCCCGAATGATGTCACCAGAGTTCCGAAGGCGAGAGAGTCGAGGCTCCTTTCACCTCTTCGAGCAGCGTCATGCAAAGGCTCCTCAGCTCCCCGGGCTCTGCTCCTGGGCCTCGGGAGGGGTGGCTGCGCCTGCTGCTATGGGGCCCGGCAGCTCTGTAGCCCAGGGGCTCTGGTGACCGCTCTGTTAAAGCACCAGGGCCCCCAGCTCCTGCAGGCAGACTAGGCTGTCACAGTCAATGGCAGGCATCGTTTGTGTGGGGGATGGCGGAGCCCCGCATGGTGCGGTGTGTGAGGGTTGGCCGCCGGGGGAGGGGGTGGAGTGGGTGGCCTCCTTCCCCTACGCTGCGGAGAGTTTACATCAGTGGTTCTCAAACTTTTGTACTGGTGATTATGGTTGCCAGCTTTCTACTCCTACAAAACCAAACACGCTTGCTCCACCCCAGGCCTCGCCTTTTTGTGAGGCCCTGCACCGCCCTCACTCACTCCATCCCCTTCGCCCTCTGTCGGTAGCTCTGCCAACTCTCACTTGCTTATTTTCGCCAGGCTGGCTTAGGGTTGGGGTGTGGGTGGGGGTGAGGGCTGGCTGAGGGGGTGCAGGCTCTGGGGTGGGGCCAGAAATGAGGAGTTCAGGGTGTAGGAGGGGGCTCTGGGCTGAGGCAGGGGGTTCAGGTGTGGGAGGGGGTGAGGGCTCTGGGCTGAAGGTGTGGGTTCCAGTATGCAGAAATGAGTGTTCAGGGTGCGGGAGAGGATTCTGGGCTGGGGCAGTGGGTTAGGGTGTGGGGAGTGAGGACTCCAGCTGTGGATGAGGGATTTGGGGTGCAGGAGGGGGCTGCATGCTGGGGATGAGGGGTTTGGAGGACAGGAGGGGAATAAGGACTGGGGCAGGGGGTTGGGGCACTGTGGTGAGGGATCTGGCTGGAGGTGCAGGTTCTGGGGTGGGGCTAGGGATGAGGGGTTTGGGGTTCAGGAGGGTGCTCTGGGCTTGGACCGAGAGGTGGGAGCGGGATCAGGGCTTGGGGCATGGGAGGGGGTCAGGGGCGCAGGCTCTGGGTGGCGCTTACCTCAAGCAGCTCCCCGAAGCAGCGGCATGCCCCCCCTCCGGCTCCTATTTGAAGGTGGAGTCAGGAGTCTCTGTGCACTCACTGCCTTGTCTGCAGGCGCAGCCCCTGGCCAATGGGAGCTGCAGAGCCAGTGCTTGGGGTGGGGGCAGCATGTGGAGCCCCCTGGCTGCCCCTACACGTAGGCGCCAAAGCGGGGACACACATACACATTTTATTTGGTTAGAAAGCTTTCTCTGATCTTTGCATGTATGTATATATACAACACAACTTTGTGCAGTGTTTTACAGTGTAATGAGAATTCATGTCTGATCTTGAGCAATGCTGAAACCTACAGCCACTGTCTTTGCATTGGATAATTTATTTTTTGAAAGACCAGATGCAAATCAAAAGTAAGTTTGTTGAATGATGTACTTTACTGGTTCTCAACCTTTTCCATATCTTGACCTCATGTTGCAACAGAGAAACGTTTTGGAATTTCCCCTTCCCCTCTAGCTGTAAATAAAAAAAAAAGAGAGAAAGAAGGTGTGATGCTAATGAAGGTTGTTAGTCCCAAACTGGGAACACATAATATTCTGAAATATTGGTTAAAGTACACTGAACAATGTTACTTTGTGCTTGTGTTTATACTGTATACAGTATGTACTTTTAAGACCTGGACTAACAGAAGTTTTGTCTTAAATTTACTATGACTTTTTAAAAAAATGATTATTTATAGGGAAAGGAACAATCAATATGGTACTTATAATTAATAACGTTAACATACATTTGGTGGGAAATGGTTAAGGAATACTTTTATCTCATGTACCTTTGTTACAAGCAGATATTTAGAACATGAAGAGCCAAAAAATTGGTATCTTGCACCTGCTCCATCTGTTACTGGAATTCCAACCACTCAAGAGTTACAGAAGGAATGGGAAAAAAATAACTGTCTAGGTAAAATGTTTGATATTCATTTTTAATATGAAATACACTGGTGCTCATGTGAAGTATTATAGACATGTAATTTAGAAAAATAATAGTTTGGATTCTGAGGGATGAGCGTGCTCTTTTTGTTGTTCTGGTGGTGCAAAGGAAGTGAAAACCAGGCACGTCCTCTCTGCTGAGCATTCAGAGCCTTTACTTGAGGGGTTTCATGGTGGTTATGCGCAGCCTCTGGTATAGAGGTGTGGAAGGTGGTGGTTTGGAGGAGAGCAGGGCATGACCAGACTCGGTTTACTTTGGATTGTGGTAAGGTGCCATGGGAAGGAGCTGTAAGAGTATGATGGCCCACACATCAGCCCAGAGTTCAAGAAATGCAAAGGTGAGGTGGTATAAAGCCACCTTTGCCCTTCTGCTCACCACGGACCCCCTCTGGTTATGCCTTCCCAATTGCCCCACTAAGGAGGCACAGCTTAGAATTTGACCTAAAGATTTACAACGAGTAATTATTTTGAATGAGTGTCCAGGGTCTCTACCAGGAGAAAATTTTCTCCTCAGATTCTGGTGTTATACGATCACAAAATAAACTTGTACAATTCTCAGCTGCTATGACTGATAGGTTCTTTTTTTGTTTTGTTTTTGTTTTTGTTTTTTGAATTGTGGTGCTAAGGCCCGTTTCTTCATATGCTTCTGTACATGAATAATCCTATTAAACTCAGTGGCACTACTCATTGAATAAAGTTACGTACATTTGCAAATGTTTGTGTTTAACAAGCTTAACTGGCCTTTGTATTTTTCACTTACAAACATATGACATTGACATTAATATAGGATGGCGACAATACTGGGCCAAATTCTGCTCTTCTTACTCATTAATTATACATATACCCCAAAATCTCAATGACTTCATTGGGAATTTTTAGTGTGCAGGGAATACGGGAGAGGGTTCATAGTCTTTAATCTTACTAACAATTTAAGGATTGCTCCATTGTGTCAAAACCCCTTAGTTTACTTCTGGCTGTTATGCAAGCATTGGAATAGAAGAAACAACCAACAAAGAAGTCCTTTAAAAGCAATACTGGCGAAGATCACAGGCTGAATTAGCCTCTGCGTAAGTTGGGGGATATGAAACTCCACAAGATCCCAATCCTGGCGTTTCCTCCAAATTGTTTTGCAAGAAGGAACGGGTTGACAGAAGTGGATCTGTACTCCTGAGTCATTGGTGTGATCAGAATCTGTACATACCTTGGGATATCTAGTAAAAGCCAAGGCTGTCTGTGTGGAAGCCCTGTGCATGCACACTTGTTCCCTCCTGTGACTCACACCAGTCATATTACTAAATTACGGTTTGCAGATCTCCTGCAGTAGCCTGGCATCTTTCATATGTGTGTTCAGTTTTTTGCAGTGAGAGGGTAATGTCTGATTCCTCCAGAGCTGCAAGATTCTTATGTATGGGGCTTGAAAGGTCTTGGTGACCAGGGGAAATCTGTCTTCCACTTGCCATGTAGTTTTGAGTTTTCTACTCCATTTTGTTACCCTCTGTTTTATGTAGCAGAGGGTAGCAAGTAGCCCAATTTATGTCGGTTTTTGATACATCTGCATTGAAAGACAGTATATATAATAGGGTACCTAAAAGAAAATAGCACTGTCCATACGGACAATATATGTGAACTTGGTCCTATTTTATGCAGAGATTTAATGCACTGACTGAATATTATAGAGGGAATAATGTGTTGGCTTTTATAGATGAGACAGAGTCAGAAGTTTATACCACATTTTAAGAGGGCTGTTGAAGAACCAAATAGTAAATCATCAGTATCTGTCCATTTTGACATGACCTATAACAAGCAAGAAGTACTTAAGTTTAGGAGAGGGAGATAAGTCATTTGCAACATGAAAGTCTGGAATTGGTTTCTTCTTTTCCCTGTTCTGACCACAATAAAGATAAAAAATGAAATCAGGGCTTGTCAACAACCTGGTAGAAATATTTCAGAAAATAAAATATTAATTAACTTTCAAAAAGATAGTGATGATGAAAGTACCAGCTCAACATTCAAAAAAAGGTATGTGTTTCTAGTCAATTATCATAATTCATCAACTATCAGAATCATATTATTATTTTAGATACATTTGTCAAAGACTGAGTTTTTGATCCTTGAAATGAAAGTACTTAATAGAGCTCCAGGCACTAATGCTATTATTCTCTTGCATGTAATTAAAAACAGATATTTCCTCCTGGCAATATTTTAATACCTTAATTAAATTTGCCCTGAGCTCAACCCTTCTACAAGAAAGTTAAGCATGGAGTAGATTTTGTTATTTTAAGGAAATTACTGACTAACAAAAACACCCCTAGATGAATGTAGCACTAACTTGTTTATAGCTGTATGAAATTGAAAGCCAATTGGAAGACTAGGAAAAACAGCCCTCCATGCAGCTTCATTGCTGCCTAAGAGGAGAGGTCATACATATAAACCATTCTTCTTTCATGTCCAGCTATTCCCAGTCCTCAGGTCTTTAAATTTCATTCTTTCATCTGTGCAGTAAGTCACAATCTAGCATTAGAATCCAGTATTTATTTTGCATGACAGGATAGATGGGTTTAATAGCCTGTCCATTGTGATTCAGTTCTTAAAAATCTGGCTAGAAAAGAGGACTACTTTCTAGGTAGACAAATTTCAGTTGGATCAAGCAAACTTAGACATGCTCATGAGAAGAAAAGATTTTGTTTCCTACTATTTGTATTGTCAAAAAAGTGTATTCTTTGAAAATATTAGGACAATTGTAATAAAATATATGAAATCTCTTATTAAGACTTTTGAAGCTTATTTAAAACAACTAATTATACATATGCAAATATAGATTACAAAGACAGTTCTGTGACGAAGGAAGTTGACATTTATTGTAATACAATTAAAAAATATAAAAGATGAAAAAAGTTATGGAAAAATAATCATAGTATGTAGATATCTCAATATTCAGATTTTGGTGTAAATGATGTTTTTTCCACTTCTTGAAGATGGAAAAGAAGTTAAAGTACAGTCATTTCCTGATGCTTCAAAGACTTTTGGCGTGGAAGGTAATTATAATTATTCTTTGTAATATTTCGGAAAAAATATTTACTACACTCTTGATGTGATATCTGTATTAATAATGTATATTCACGCTCTTAGATGAAGAGGAATTCAGGATATGTACAATAAATGTTAAAAATATTTGGGTAAGATGAAGTAATGAGCAGATGGTGAAGGTTATGTGTAGACCACCAAATCGGGAAGAAGGAATTAACTAGGTACTCCTAAACCACAAAAGTCACAAGGGCTTATAATAATGAGGGACTCTTATTTGTACTGTGACAATAGCATACTAGGTGCTTGACAGGCAAATATATGAAGACAAGGGGGTGGGATTTTAAAAAGCTCCTTAGTGTAGTCAGTGAAACTTTTGTTCTTAAGTCACTTAAGCACTTTTGAAAATCACCTGATGTCTTTGTCCCAAAGAGTTTGCAATCTTAAAGCCTGGTTCTTTGAGGTGGTAAACGCTTTAATCTTCCATTGAAATCAACAGGAATTGAATGGTGGCTGCTGAATAACTTGTGGACATGACTCAGTACCTCAGTGGATCAGGCTTTACAAAGAAAAAGAACAGTGAAAAGGAAGCAGGAGAAAGTAGTGTGACAAAGTATTTTGATAAAATAATAAAATGTGAGCCTTGTAGATTTTTATAATTTTTGTTGATTTTTTTTAAAAATCAATAAACTAATATCTTTTTAAAATACTTTGTTTTAGATTTAGATTTCAGGGAAAGGACTGTGTCTTTCTCTGTGTGTGGACAGTGCCTGGCACACTGGTTGTTAGTAGAATACAAATCATAATTAAAAATTATATTGATAGTAGGTCTGTCAAGTGATTAAAAAAAAAATTAATCGCGATTAATTGCGCTGTTAAACAATAATGGAATACCATTTAAATATTTGTGGAGGTTTTCTACATTTTCAAATATATTGATTTCAATTACAACACAGAATACAAAGTACACAATGTTTACTTTATTTTTATTACAAATATTTACACTGTAAAAAACAAAATAGTATTTTTCAATTCACCTAATATAAATACTGTAGTGTAGTCTCTTTATCGAGAAAGTTGGACTTACAAATGTAGAATTATGTATAAAAAATAAATGTAGGCTTTAAAGTTTTACATTGTTTTATTTTTGAATACAAGTCCACCTGAAAGTGAGAACAGGCATTTGTATGGCACTGTTGTAACCGGCATCTCAAGATATTTGTGTGCCAGATGCGCTAAAGATTCATATGTCCCTTCATGCTTCAACCACCAATCCAGAGGACATACATCCATGCTGATGACAGGTTCTGCTCAATAACAGTCCTGAGCAATGCGGACTGATGCGTGTTCATTTTCATCATCTGAGTCAGATGCCACCAGCAGAAGGTTGATTTTTTTTTTCGGTGATTTGGGTTCTGTAGTTTCTGCATCAGGGTGTTGCTCTTTTAAGACTTCTGAAAGCATGCTCCACACCTCATCCATCTCAGATTTTGGAAGGCACTTCAGATTCTTAAACCTTGGATCGAGTGCGGAAGCTCTCTTTAGAAATCTCACATTGGTACCTTCTTTACGTTTTGTCAGATCTGCAGCGAAGGTGTTCTTAAAATGAACAGTGTGCTGAGTCATCATCCGAGACTACTATAACATGAAATATATGGCAGAATGCGGGTAAAACACAGTCGGAGACATATAGTTCTCCCCCAAGGAATTCAGTCATAAATGTAATTAACACATTATTTTTTTAACGAGCGTCATCAGCATAGAAGCATGTCCTCTGGAATGGTGGCCGAAGCATGAAGGGGCATACGAATGTTTATCATAACTGGCATGTAAATACCTTGCAATGCCATCTACAAAAGTCCCATGCAAATGCCTCTTCTCACTTTCTAGTAACATTGTAAATAAGAAGTGGACAGCATTATCTCCTGTAAATGTAAACAAAGTTGTTTGTTTAATGATTGGCTGAACAAGAAGCAGGACTAAGTGGACTTGTAGGCTCTAAAGCAGGGATTCTCAAACTGGGGGGTCATGACCCCTCAGGGGGTCGTGAGATTATTACAGGGGGCTGCAAGCTGTCAGTCCCCACATAAGCTGAGGCTCCGTCTGTCAGCCCTGCAGAGGGCTGACTGAGCCCTTCAGAGCTTGGTGGCCAGAGAACAGCGACTGCTGGCTGGGCACCCAGCTTTGAAGGCAGTGCCACCCACAGCAGCAGTGCAGAAGTAAGGGTGGCATGGTATGGGGGGGGCCATCACAGCCTGAAATATTTTCAAAGGGTGTCCCATCAAAAAAAGTTTGAGAACCCCTCCTCTAAAGTTTTGCATTGTTTTGTTTTTGGGTGAAGTTATGTAACAAAAATCTACATTTGTAAGGTGAAATCTTTGTCGTGAAAATGCAATACAGTACTTGTATGCGGTGAACTGAAAAATACCATTGATTTTGTTTACAAATATTTGCACTATAAAAGCGATAAAAATAATACCAAGTGAGCAGTGTACACTTTGTATTGTGTTGTAATTGAAATTAATATATTTGAAAATGTAGAAAAACATCCAAAAATATTTAATAAATTTCAATTGGTAGTCTATTGTTTAACAGTGTGATTAAAACTATGATTAATTGCGAATAATTTTTTTAATTGTGATTACTTTTTTTGAGTTAATTGTGTGAGTTAACTGTGATTAATCGACAGCCCTAATAGATAGTTAATAGAGAATCATAAGCCTTTCTTGAAAAGTAGGATTTAAAGAGGTACTTGGAGAAGATGTTGGAAGTATGAATGGGAGTTATAGGTAAAGGGGACTTCATGGAAGAAGATGGACAGGTAAGAATAGTTGAAGGAAATAATGGGGATATTGGCTATCTAATTTGGTTAGAATTTGGTTGGATCTGAGTTACTACAGAGAATTCTTTCCTGGGTGTCTGGCTGGTGAGTCTTGCCCACATGCTCAGGGTTTAGCTGATCACCATATTTGGGGTCAGGAAGGAATTTTTCCTCCAGGGCAGATTGGCAGAGGCCCTGGGGAATTTTCACCTTTCTCTGCAGCGTGGGACAGGGGTCACTTGCTAGAGGATTCTCTGCACCTTGAAGTCTTTAATCCACGATTTGAGGACTTCAGTAGCTCAGACATAGGTCAGGGGTTTGTTACAGGAGTGGTTAGATGAGATTCTGTGGCCTGCGTTGTGCCGGAGGTCAGACTAGATGATCATAATGGTCCCTTCTGACCTTAAAGTCTATGATTCTAAGTGAGGAAAAGGGTAGACCAAAAGGTGATGTTAGTAGCTGGGTCAGTAGGAGACAGTAGACAAGCAGGTAAAAACTAAGCTATGCAGGACCTTGAAGTAAAGACAAAACTTTAGGGTCTGTCTTCATTACAAGCCTAACCATGCATGGCTATCTGACATTATTAGGGGTTTCTATGTTCTAATATTTATTTTTGTGTGGTTTGCCAACTTCAAAAAAGGGCTAAGAAGAAATATGTGAAGAGTCAGTTTGAATCAGAAATACTGATTCTACTGTAATGGAAAAACAACATAATATAATACATCGGTGTTAAATCTAATGCTATTTGTAGAAACATTGACTTGCAAAATTCACACTTCACTGGGGCAAAATATAAATGTTTCAGTTATTGTATGTACTTATTGTATAAGTCTTTTGAAAATAGCAGATGGATGTAGACTCCTTTCCTGACTGCAAGAGACTTCAAAAATTTCACCGGATGCTTCTGTATTTTGTGGTCCCTTATTACAGGCTCTTCCTTTTGTATAGTACCTACATTTTTAATCTTAGTACTGATACAAATGCATGTTCACATGATAGGATGGCATAATACATTTTAATGTACGGCTCTGTTTTGTAGTAATTTGTGTGGCTCATAAGCCCTTTCTACACCTTGGTGCTATGAAGGAAAGTATAACTTAAAGACAATGTGGTCTTAATCCTGTAGCCTTTCTATGTACGTAACCCCCATTGAAATTACGGAGCGTTATTCATGGAAGAATAAAGGATTGGGTTGGTGCATAAGGACCCATGAACAGGGACACTTGTGGAAAAAAGATACAGAATAGTTGAAAGCTTCAGAAGGGCATAATACTCAAGACATAGTAAAATGTTAAATCCTTATGTAAAGGAAACCTAGGAAAATAAATAAATGACCCATTGTGGTTGCATCAGGGAAATTTTTAAAGGCTTGTAAATTAAAAGGAAATCACATAAAACTGTACAAAAGAAATAACAGAGTTCAATATAATGTGATAGGAATGATAAATTCACTAAGCAAAGACACAAAATGAGCTATAATCAATAAAGGATGTTAAGGGGAATGCATATTCAAGTACCCCTTACAGTAACAAGTGACTGACAACTACTGCTAAACCCTCCATGACAGGTTTGTGACCTTCCCATTACCCACAAGCTGTGGAAACCTGTACAGATCCCTCCTAGTGACAAGCCCATGACTTCCCACCCAGCTGTCAAATCCTCCCTTATCATCCTGTGCCCAATTACAAGCCTGCAACTCTCCAAAGGATGTATATACAAGATTTAGGAAAATAATTTTTAAAGGTTATTGGTAGAAAACAGTGTCAGTTTTTATAAATTTGGTTTTGTTTCTTTAGGAACTGTAGAAAAAGATTTGGGGTTTTTGAGGGCTGTTACAGAAATCCGTATCCTTTTACTTACTGTTACTGGCTTACAAGTTTTATGTTTTAAATGTATTTTACGGTATTACTTTTGATTCCCAACAAAATCTGGGAATCAAAGGGTAAAATATTCTTTATGCTTGGTACCTCTAAAACATAGTGAAAATAGGACAATGGGATGATAATTAATCATTCATTGCCTGAGTAATTTATTCTTAGATCATGTACTCATACTTGTTTATAAAAGTGATACATTTAAAATATCAATATAAAATACAGGTACTTATCTAATTCAAATATAAAACTTCAAATAAAGCTGAAGCAAATTAGCATACAGATGTGTTTCACTTTTGCCATTTTTGGTTCTTTAATATTTGTTTTCTAATCCTCTGACACACTCCTAGGCTAAACATTTTCAAAAATGGGTGCCTAAAATTAGGCTTCTCAAATCCATATTTAGGCAACTAAGTGACCAGACTTCAAAAGCACTGAGGTGTCAGTGGATCTAATGATATAAGTGAAAGCTCCTGGATGCTGAGCTCTTTTACAGGCAGGTTGTTACATAACCTTAGGTATCCATTTTTTAAATTCTTGGCCCTTATTTTCCTAAACACTCAATCAGCATTACATACTCTTCTTTACTTGGTCTTTGATTACTCTTACATATTGATTGATGTTTCCTTTTCTTGTTTGGTGTTTTCCTTCAACTAGTTCTCAATAAAAACAATATTGAAACAACTAAACCTGTTGTTTTTGTTTGAAAATATACAGTAACAATAACAGAACTGTATATACTAATCAGAGCTGAGCAAAAGTATTTAAAATTTCTGTTAGTTTTAAGAGACTGTATTTGAACCCCACATATGTATTTTTTAATTGGACAGTACCTATGCGTTCTTGCACTTTTGCCCCCTTTTGGCTTTTCTGGGCAACCTCCCCTCTTTTGTGTGTGTGTGTGTGTGTGTGCATTTGTGTTTTGTGGAGAAAAGTAAAGAAGCATAAAGCTACATATACAGAATAAAGAAAACAGCATGACATTCATTTATGTTATGTATTTTAAAAAAATAAATGTGAGGTAGAGGTTTTGAAACCTTGTTTTTAAAAAACGTTAATCAGTTTAATGCTTTTGAATCTGAAATGTGTTCGTTCTCTCTCTCTCTCTCTCTCTCTCTTCCCAGAGCAGGCATGGACAGGCAGTGAATACTCTACTTCACCCTGCTATACATGTTTTGTGGAGTAAAAGAGAGTTTCAGTCTTTCTTCAAAGGGACCACCTCTAAGGATTATTCTGTTTTCCTTTTAGTTCTTAGTCTCTGCCAATACATTCCTAAAAGTTACTGATGTGGGGGTTTTGTAAAGTGGACTCCTGTCCACAAAGAATTGAACTGAAACCATCAAATCATTTGAGTTACATTTTGGAAACTGCTTGACATGTTTGTAACAGTGGAAATTCTTTATTTAGGTTTTAATAAAGCAGCTATTATTTTCAGTTAAAAGAAAAGAAAGATATGTTTTACGTTCTTAACTGAATGGTTTGAATATGATCTTAAGCTGCTCAGTTTAGAAATATTTTCAAGGAATTCCCATATTTTAACTACATACAGTCCAAGGCTTTGGATGATGTAAGTAAAGAATATTTCTTAATTATGTCTGCAGATAGTATTTAATATATTAAATGTTAAATTGAAGTACCATTTTGTTATTTACAAGTGTTACTAGATAAATTGTTAGTGAGGTACAGAGTATTGCAGCAGCACACATTTCAGGAGCAGGTAAGCAGAATAGTAATGCAGCTCATCTAGAAAAAGGTCCAGGATTAAATTTCTTTATCCATTTTGAGTATAATATTCTTGTAAATTGTGATTTCCAGAGTAGTTTCACATGTGGACTCATAAGAATGTTTTTTCCCAGAACAAATATCAAATTTTGAAATTAAAATTTGGGAAGTCGATAACACAGTTATGTCTCAGGGAAGACCGCCATTTAGAATATACTTTCTTATCCAACATCTAGGGTTCTTCATCATTTAGGGAGTCTTGAGGATTTTCCAATTTTTCCTTGCTTTTATTCTCCAAACCTCAAGACCCTAAATTGAAACAACTCATGGAATATAAGGGTTGGAAGGGACCTCAGGAGGTCATCTAGTCCAACCCCCTGCTCAAAGCTGGACCAATCCCCAACTAAATCATCCCAGCCAGGGCTTTCCAGCAGAGGAAGACTCTATAACAGGTTTTGCAGTCTTGTGGTTAAAATGAGCAGAGGGGTTTGCATTGGAGATTTAGGTCCCAATTCAGTGAGCATTTTAAGCATATGCTGTAAGATGGATTGGAGTCTTAAGGGATAGCCATGCAGAACTCATATCCATTAGTTAAAATTTTCTTCAGAGCAGCTGATAAGATTGTTTTGCCTCTGCAGACACTAATCTTACATTTAAACTCGCTGCATGTGAACCTTTAAAATCATGGGGATTGTTATTCTTTTTACATTTGCAATCTCTTTCCCCTGTTTTTTTCCTCCTGTTGAAGTGCATGTCTATTTTATCCATACCAGTTAGATGGCCTGTTGCTCAGTAAGAAACCCTTGTTAATTAATACTGAGTCTAATGAGTACCTACAAGATATATTACACACTTTTTTTCTTATAACTTTCATGAAAATCAACCTTGCTTGTGGCCATGCTCTGCCATTATTCTGCATACAGTACTCCCATCAAATTGAAATCAGTGGAAGATTGCATAAAAACCATTAGTTCTTCTTTGAGTGCTGTCTCTGGGTGCTCCACTTAAGGTGTCGGTGCATCCTGGTGCTGTTGACTGGAGATTTTTGGTCGCAGTGTTCGGTCAGGATGTGTGTGCACAGAAGCTGTCTCGCGGCGCCATTGGAGTCTTGTCTAACATGTGCACAGCCCAACCCCTTCAGTTCCTTCTCAACCGTCCTCAGCTGAAGACTTGGGGCAGCGTGTCAACTTCTTCCCCTGTAGATAGAAAAAAGAGAAACTAGTTAGATACCTTAGATAAGTTAGTTTATAGTTCATAATAGTTAGTTCAAAAAAATTTTGTTTTCCTCTTTCCTTGCTCCTTTTCAGAGCAATTTCTGAAGCATGCCTCATTCCCCCAGGCTTTAAAAGATGCGGCTCCTGCAGCGAAGCAATGTTGAGGTCGAACAGACGCTCGCTGTGTGTGAGATGTCTTGGTGAATTGCACATATCCCAAAAGAGCGTTTGCTGCAACAACCTGAAGATGAGAGCAACTGGGACCTTTGCCTCAAGATGATCTTAATGGAGAAATCATGACTACCAAGCCCAGAAATGGGCCACCAAAAGCCCTGCTCTAAAGGCTTTCTGACCAGGTCAGAACTGACAGACCATGGCTCGATCCTTTAAAGAAAAGAGGTAGCGAGTGTCAACCTCTCTGCAGAGGGAACCACATAAAAAGGAATGGTCCTCTGCGAGATTGTTACCGTTGGTGCCGATCACCAGCTTGAGTCAATCACCTCTCGAGTCAGCACCTCCTCCATGGCACCAACTATGTCAGCACGGAAATCGGCACCAGTACCGATCATGCTGCCACTTCCGGCACTGACAATGAACTCTGGACCACCAACTTCATTGGCACCACCACTTCTGGCAGCACCAGCTGATATAACCACAAAGGGACCACCGGTACCGACAAAGGTGAGCCACAAGGCGCTTGCACACTATTCAGCTCCTACAAAAGTCACATCTTTGGAACCCTCAGCACCACCACCATCGCTAAGTTTCCTGTAAGCCGCACGGCTGCACAGCAGCCTATTAAGCGCCGCGTAGGCGCTCAGAGAACTCGCCCGCCCGGGACCTGCCATGGCCAGGGGAGGGGTGTCCTTCCTCCAGCCCCAGAGCTGCCACAGCCGGGGGACAGGAGCCCTTCCCCCAGCCCGAACACAACCTGGGCCTGCCGCAGTTGGGGGAGGGGCACCTATTCTGTAGCCCAGCCCCGGAACTGCTGCGGTGGGGAGAGGTGCCTTCCCCCCCACCAGCCCAAGTGCTCCTGTGGGGAGAGAGAGCTGGAGGGAGTCCTCTCTCCCTGCTGTAGCCCCAGGGCAGCCTGCACCCCAAACCCCTCATCCCCAGTCCCACCCCAGAGCCCACACAGCCCTGCACCCTAACCCTCTTCCCCAGCCCTGAGCCCCTTCCCACACTCTGAACCCCTCGGCCCCACCCCCACCACATGAATTTTGTTATGTGCACCAATATGGAAGTGGTGTGTCACACATCACCTCCATATTGGTGCACATAACAAAATTCATTCTGCACATGTGTGGGAAAAATTAGAGGGAACACTGCTCCATCAGCACCAAAGCAATTCCTCACACAGAGGGATATCTCGATATCTTTGGTACCCCTATCACCAGTTCTTCTTGGCCCCGACAGATCTCCCCCATGAAGCATCACTACACAGGCCGCATCTCCTATAGCACCGTCGGCACCAAGTGACAGGGTAGATGAGATCAGGAGAAAGGGGTCTTCTCACCACAGCACTCCTCTCCTACTCACCGCAGACCAATTGGAGGAACACTTATGGTGGCTTTTGACCCTCAACAGCCCACTCACCCATGGTATGGACAACCCTGGATGTGTTCCCCATGCAGTGGCTGCCATGGGATCAGTGGGCAGCATATAGAACCCACTATGCCAGAACCTCACTGCCACCCAAAGGCGAACTTAGATCTCCTCCACTATCCCCAGTGATTGCAACATCCATTGCCCCAGAGGATATAGCAGAGGAACTCGAGGAAGAAACAGGTAAAGAAAATGTATCGCCAACTCACAGCACTTCATTTCCTGATGAGGCTGTTATGCCACCTCCACCTACGATGGTGGATGATTTTAAACAGTTTCAAGAACTGTTTAAGAGAATTGCGCTGAGCCAGGACATACCCATTGGAAGAAGTCTAAGAAAACCAGTATAAATTGCTTGACATTTTGCAAACCTCGTCGTCAAAAATTGCACTTCCAGTAAATGATGCCATTCTGGAACCTGCCGAAACGGTGTGGCAGATGCCAGCCACCATCCTGCCTGAATGTAAAAGGGCCAATTGAAAATATGTGCCAGCCAAAGGAATGGACTTCCTCTTTTCCCATTTGCGCCAAACTCACTGGTAGTTGACGCAGCAAACCATTGATCCAAACAGCCTCACTCTAAATTCTCACCTCTCAATAAGGACCATAAAAGACTAGACCCCTTAGGAAGGAAGGTCTACACATTGTCCACTTTGCAATTTACAGTCACTAACCACAGCGCCCTCCTGGCAAAGTATGACCACAACAACTATGGGAAGCTGTTCGAGTTCACAAATGATCCTCCCAAGGACAAACAAACACAATTCAAGACCCTACTAACTGAAGGATAATTGGTGTCCATGACTGCCTTACAGGCTTCCCTGGACATTGCTGATACGACAGTGTGTACCACAGCCACAGCAATTGTAATGTGCAGAGCCCCTTGGCTCCTGTCTTCTGGCATCCCAGAAGAACTGCAGCTCAAGGTGGAAGACCTCTACTTTGGCAAAGAAAAACTATTCTCCTCTAAGATTGATGAGGTGCTACACTTCATGAAAGACTCATGTGCAGTACTCTGTAGGCTGGGCTTTTATATACCGCTTGCTAAAAGAAAGCAACCTTGCTAAAAGTTACCAACCTTATCACCATTTTAGGGACACACCATTTAATTGTCAGAATCCCAGACCTTATGAAACCAACAGATAGAGAAACAGACCACAAAAACGTCAACCATCACAACCCTAACCAGTGGTGTCACAACCACCGCCTTATAAACAGCAGTTTTGAATTGTTGGTCAAGGGTCTGAATGACCTCAAGACAGCGCCACTTTGCCCATTTGGCCATTGGCTGAGATCTTTTTAGCAATTATGGAAGTCCACCACAAAGGACCGTTGGGTCCTAGAGATCATAAAATTGGGCTCTGCCATCCCCTTTATTTCTTGCCTACCTACCCAACCTCTTTCCTGTCCCTCTTCAGGGACCCTTCTCATGAGCACCTCTTAAGGCAGGAAGTAAATCCTCTACTGCAACTAGGTGCTGTGGAACCAGGACCTATGCAATACAAGGGAAGGGCTTCTATTCCCAGTATTTTTTGACCCAAAAGGAAAAAAACTGCAAGTTAATCTGTTCCCAGAAATTCAAGATGGTCACATTAGGCACAATAATTCCAGCGCTGGAGCAGGGGGACTGGTTTTCATCCCTCAACCTACAAGACACATTTCCCCATTACCGTACACTCAGCACACAGACAATTCCTCTGCTTTACAGTAGGACATGAGCACTACTAATACAGCGTGCTCCCATTCATCCTGTCCACTGCTCCAAACCCCTTGTGGTCATCGCTGTGCACCTGCATAAGCAAGGGATCATGTTTTTCCTTTTTCTAGACAACTGCCTCCTATAAGGCCCCACTCCGATAACGCTGACAGAAATCACCCAATGGACTACTGCCCTCTTCCAAACACTAGGGCTGCAATTAAACATACAAAAATCGACATTGATGTGCATGCAACAGCTAGACTTAATTGGAGAACACCTTGATTCAGCTCAAACTAGAGCGTCTCTACTACAGAACAGATTTCTGTAGATAAAAAAAATCTCATAGAGATAGTTTAGACTGCTCCACGAATCACATCAAGAAGCTGTCCACAGCTGCTAGGAAATATGGCAGCCACCACATTCGTGGTAAAGCATGCCAGACTACACATGTGCTGTCTCCAAGGCTGTCTGAGTTCAATATACAAACCCATCAAACACAGCCTGAACAAGACCTTAACACTACCTCCCAGAGTCCTAGAATCCCCTCAGTGGTGGACAAAGCAGGAGAATCTCTGCTCAGGGATCCCCTTTTATCAAGAACCTTCCTCAATAATTATCACAACAGACATCTCACTGATAGCTTGGGGTGCACACCTGGATCGTCCTACAATCAAAGGCAGATGGTCAGCAGTGGAGATACATCTCCATATCAACTTACTAGAACTGAGAGCAGTACGGAACAGCAGCCTCCATTTCCTTCAGCTCATAAAGAAGATGACAGTACGGATGATACATGCAATATTGCATGTATGTTCTACATCAGTCGACAAAGGGAGAGTGCAATTCCATTCCCTCTGTACTGAAGCCATAAAACTATGCAACTGGTGCATTCATCACCACAGTGACATCTCAGCCTCCTACCTTCCCAGATGTCAAAATAGCACAGCAGACACTCTAAGCAGACAGTTCTCCCAAGAGCACAAATGGGAAATAAATCCCAAAGTCCTGCAACATATATTCCAATGATGGGGTTTTTCCACCATCAACCTATTTGCAACATCACCAAATCACAAATGTTCGCTGTTCTGTTTGAGAGCGGGATTAGGCCCTTGATCCTTAGAGGATGCCTTCCTCAAATGGAACACAGTGCTCCTATATACATTCCCACCAATTCCACTAATTCCCAGAGTCCTACACAATATTCAGAACGACAATACCAAAATCCTACTGATAGCCCCGATGTGGCCCAGACAGTCCTGGTATCCTTCTCTGATGCGCATGACAGTTTGTGCTACATGAACTCTCCTGTTGAGATCTGATCTCCTCTCACATGCCAACGGTGAAATCATCCAAACCGAGAATCTCCATCTGAAAGCGTCGCTCCTTAATGGTTCCAGCAACACGAATTATATTGTTCGGAGCAAGTCCAACACATGGTATTGAACAGCAGACATACATCCACACGGAATACTTACCTACAAAAATGGAAAATATTTTCCATATGGAGTCAGAACAAACAATTCACTTCCACCACTACACCACTATCACTAGTACTAGAATCTCTCTTGGAGCTAAAGAACTCCAGACTGTCTACAAGCTCTAAAGTACATCTCGCAGCGATCACCACTTCCCATCATGAAATCAATTGGATTCTTGGTATTTGCTCACCCGACCACCAAGGAGTTTCTCACTGGCATACAGAATCTCTACTTAGAAGAATGCCAACCCATGCCCACTTGGGATCCAAACCTAGTTCTCAAAGGCCTAACTAGACCACCCTTTGAACCGCTGGCCACTTGTTCCTTGCAGTATTTGTCAATGAAGGTGGAATTCTTTGAGGCTATCACCTCCGCAAGATGGGTAAGTGAGTTAGGTGTACTAGTGGCCAATCCACCATATGCTGTCTTCTTTAAAGACAACATCACGTTGCGACCTCACCCAAATTCCTCCCCAAAATAGCATCATCCTTCCATATCAACCAATCTATTAATCTCCCCACATTCTATCCCAGAACACACGGAAGCATGTAGGAGGCCATGTTACACACTCTAGACCAGGGATAGGCAAACTATGGCCCGCGGCGGATCCGGCCCACAACCTGCACCACGTGGCTCAGCCGCGCTCTAGGCAGGGTGCTTGGTTGGGGGCTGGACGTGGTTCTTCCCTGCTCTGGCTCGGGAGCCGCACCATGCGGCTTGGCCCTGCTCCGGCCGGGGCGCTGGCTCGGGGGCCGCACCATGCGGCTCCTGGAAGTCGCAGTAGGCCCTGCTCTGGTTCGTACGCCTTCCAATGGGAGCTGCAGGGGCGGTGCCTGCGGATGGGGCAGCGTGCAGAGCTGCATTGCTGCTTCTCCAAATAGGAGCCAGAGAAGGGACATGCCACTGCTTCTGGGAGCAACTCAAGGTAAGTACCACTCAGAGCCTGCACCCTCTGAGCCTCTCCGCAGGCCCCAACCCTCTGCCCCAGCCCTGATCCCCCTCCCACTCTCCAAACCCCTCGATCCCAGCCTGGAGCACCCGCTGCACCCCAAACCTCTCATCTCCAGCTCCACCCCAGAGCCCACACCCCCAGATGGAACCTGCATCCCTTCCCGCACCCCTGCCCCAGCCCTGATCCTCCTCCTGCCCTCCAAACCCCTTGGTCCCTGCCTAGAGCACCCTCCTACAGCCCAAACCTCTCATCTCCAGCCCCACCCCAGAGCCTGCACCCCAACCCCAATTTTTTGAGCATTCATGGCCCACCATAAAATTTCTATTCCCCGATGTGGCTCTCGGGCCAAAAAGTTTGCCCAACCCTGCTCTAGATATTCGAGCAATAGCATTTTACCTGGATAGAACAAAGTCTTTCCTCAAATCTGTGAGGCTCTTCATCTCGACAACAGAATGATCTGAGGGCTCAGCTATATCTGTGCAAAGACTATCTAAGTGGATCTCAAGCTGCATTTACTTATGCTATCAAACAAATAAGGGAGCCACCAAAGGAGATCAGATCCCATTCTACTCGCTCCATGACAGCATCCATAGCTTTCCTGAACAACGTACCAATCGCAGATATCTGCAAAGCTGCTACATGGGCCTCAGAACATACACTCTTTAAACACTACGCAATTACACAAGACTCCCGAGCTGATGTCATACTAGGCCTAATGGTCCTTTCCTCTAATATGCATGTAACTCCAAAGTCCCACCAACCATAGGAGTCACTGCTCTACAAACACCTGAAGTGGAACACTCACAGGGACAGCACTTGAAGAAGAAGAGAAGGTTACTCAACTTGTGCAGTAACGGAGGTACTTCGAGATGTGTCCCCCTGTGGGTGCTCCACTACCCATCCTCCTCCCCTGTACTTTGGAGTCCTATACAAGGACTCTGTGGTAGAGAAGGAACTGAAGGGATTGGGCTGTGCACATGCTGGACGAGACTCCAGTAGCCGCAAGACAGCTTCTGCAATGCACATTCGGACCAAACACTGCTACCGAAAATCTCCAGTCAACAGCGCTGGGACACACTGACACCTGAAGTGGAACACTCACAGGGTCACACATCTCCAAGAACCTCAGTTACTGCTCAAGGTGAATAACCCTCTCTCTTTATGATTTTAAGTAGTTCATGAATTTGGCTTAGTACTTTTAATCATGAAATGATTTAATTACAAAATAATACAGTTCATTTAGCCTCATATATCATAATAATAGTCACTGCAATTAGCTGTATATTATAGAAATATTATGTTGAACTACAGAATATAGTTACTTATTTTTTATCAACTGGCCGAGCTTGTAAGGCCTGATTCATCTTGATGACATTTTTCTGATTTGGATGTAATTTGATAACTCCTGAACATTTTATCTAATCAATTCTAAATTTTCAGGGCATATCATAGGCATCCATGGGCAGAACCCTCTTAATTTTGGTGACTGTCAGAAAACTAGAAGCGGAAAATGGGGGACACACAATGCTCCTGGCATCCGATTAGTGATTTTTGATTAGCTAGCACCTTCTACTATCTCTCTAATTGTCTATAGATCAAAGACCTATTCATTTTAGTTCTGCCCATCCTCCTAATACAACTTTAAAATGCTGACACCCTGAAAGAGAAAGAAAAGGAGAATAAGAATATTGGAGGGGAAGGGGAAATGGGGAGGCATGGAATGGTGATACATGCAGAATCCCAGGCATGGAGGGTGGAGTAAAATGAGGGACCCTGGAATGGGGGGTGCACAAAGAGCCGTTGGGGTAGGAGAAATGGGGGGCACACAGAATCCCTGGTGGGAGGAGAATGTGGGGGAATAAGTAATGGGGGACTGAGGGTGCACACAGCGCTCATAGTGAGAGATGGGCGCAGGCATCTCTGGTAGGGAAGAGAATTGGGGGCACACAGAGGCCACGGCAAGAAGGAGGGGATGGGGAGGTTCAGCGAGTCACTAAAATAGAGGGGGATGGGAGGATGGCATGCAGGTAGCTTGTGTGGGAGGATGTAGGGTTACAGGAGTTCCTGGTGAATGTAATGAGCTTGTTCTACGGAAGCAACAAAGTGTGCAACTCCCTAGTATAAAAATAGCAAGCAAGTTTTCCAACACTAATTTTCAGCAGCAAAAAGGTAACTGTTTTCCTTGATTCAAGTAAACTTAATGAGTCTGCTGAGAAACTTTCTTTTAATATTTTAAATTAATATGTGCCTAAATAGGGAACTATGTTCACTTACTTTCTTTTTATCATATTTGTCTCCAACAAGTTGTTTAAAACTCAGAATTCTGTTAATGTGGTCTTTTTACCAGTATAGGCATTAATAGATACAGAAATGATAAAAAGACTACAGGAATGTCTTTGAAATTTTTATAACAGCAAAATTAATACAACCTTATAATGAGCCTCTCTTTGCTAATAGTTGAACGCTGACAGTGGTCTATTTGTACAGCAGTAATTTGAGTCTAGAGACTGGCATTTCTGTGTTTGTGACTAGTACTTCACTACATCATAGTTATATGGTATCTCTTTAATAAATATTTCAATGGCAGCAAGAAATAGAAAAAGACATTCTTTTGCCATTATTTAAAGTTAAAGTTCTCCTCTAATACAAAGTATCTATCTAATCTTTAGAAAAACCATGGTGTGTCATACCAGCAGTCATTCACTGGTACATATATCAGTTTAATAATCCTTCCTGTGTAATTTTTTTCCTTCACAGTTCTGTCAGAATGTATGAATAGATACATTTGAATAGCTTCATTATATTTACTGCTTTCTAATTCTTTCCTAGATTCTTTACACAGATAGGAACTTTGTGATTTGTGCTCCGACTGGTTCTGGAAAAACTGTAATGTTCGAACTAGCTATTACAAGGTTACTAATAGAAGTGCCGATGCCTTGGTTAAATATTAAAATTGTCTATAGTGAGTATTATGCTAATTTTAAACAGTTAATTATTAACTAGTAGCAATGATAGAAAATTATTTCAACTTTTACATTTTGTTATGTACACTTACTGGTTACATTTAGTAAGCTTGAACTTAAATACGTGATGACAACTAAGGGTATGTCTACACTACCTGCCGGATTGGCGGGCTGCAATCGATCCAGCGGGGATTGATTTATCGTGTCTAGTCTAGATGCGATAAATCGACTCCTGTACTCTAGTGCCATGAGAGGCGCAGGCAGAGTCAACAGGGGAGCGGCAGCAGTCAACTCACCGTAGTGAAGACACTGCAGTGAGTAGATCTAAGTACGTTGACTTCAGCTACGTTATTCATGTAGCTGAAGTTGCGTAACTTAGATCGATCCCACCCCCAGTGTAGACCAGGGCTAAGTGAGGCCTACTTCATAAAACTTATGTATTATATTGGGGTTGTTGTTATAATCATGTATTTGTATTACCATGGCAACTATTATTATTATTCTTTGTATTGCATACGTGAGATTGAGATTGGGAATTTATTAGGCTCTGTATATACACGTAGTAAGACTGTCCCTGCCCTGAAGAGCTTATAGCCTGAACAGACAGAGGCACTGGAAATGCTTTGCTCAGTGCTGCAACCAGGAATAGAACCAAGGTCTTCTGAATCCTAGTCCATTGGTCTGTCCACTGGACCACGAAACTGCCTTCCCATTAACCATTTCTTCTTATCTAATCTATAGGACAAAGCAGGCAAGGTTAAGAGTTATTTGCATTGATTTAATTATAACAAAAATAAAATGTAATTAGTATATTTGATGGTAGTGACATCTCTAGATCTGTCATTCTGTTTTTCTTTTTGGAGAAAGGAATTTTGTATCTTCATGTAGATGAAATGAGACTGGTGATTTTTTTCCCCTACCCTTGATTTGTCCACATTGTAAAGCCATATGCAGTTTGGTACAATTCAACATATTTTGGTAGTCTTATCTTAAATCAGGGGTCGGCAACCTATGGCACACGTGCCAAAGACCGAACGCGAGCCGATTTTTAGTGGCACGTTGCTGCCTGCTGGGTTCCAGCCACCAGCCCTGCTCAGCCTGCTGCAGAACCCAGGCCAGCAGCAGGCTGAGCAGGACTGGGGCCAGGACCCCGGCAGGCAGCAGCGTGTCATTAAAAATCCTGCACGCCCTGGCCTGCTCTTCTCCCCCTCGCAGGGAGTGGCGGGGGGAGAAACTTGGTCCTGCTGGCTACTACTGCAAGGCAGGCAAGGTCTCCCCTCCCCCGCCTCTTCCCCCAGCATGCTGGGTTCCTGCCTCTCCTCCTCTCCCTCCCTGCCACCGATCAGCTGATGGCCCTTGCGAGGGAGGGGGAGAAGCCGAGCTGCAGTGCACTCGCTGCTTCGGGGAAGAGGCGGAGAAGAGGTGGGGATGGGACTTTGGGGAAGGGGGGTGGAATCAGGGCATATCCCCTCCAGCCCCCTGCCATGAGCCGCTCTGGGCAGGGGGCTGGGAGCACCCCCCCACCCCATGTCCTGACTCTTGCACCGCCCACATTCCCACCCCCACCCTGAGCACCAAATGGGAGCTCGTGCACACCCCCCCACATTCCCACCTGCACCCCTTGCACCACATGGGAGCTTCCCAGCTAAACACTCCCCACCAAACCTCCTGCCCCAACCTTGAGCCCCCTCCCTCATTCTAGCTCTTGGCCAGGCCCTACACCCCAACCCCCAGCCTACTCCTTCACCCCCAGCCCTGTGCTCAGTGCACTCCCACCCTCAGCTCAGTGCAGAGAGAGAGGAAGAGAATGGGCTAGAACCAGGGAGAAGGTAGGTACCCACTCTATGTGGGCAGGGCCAGGATCCCAGATCAGCAGCGGGCTGAGCCGCTAAGCCCACTGCCAGTCTGGGGTCCCGGCCGCTGGCCCCGCTCAGCCCGCTGCTGGTCTGGGGTTCTGGCTGCCAGCCCCTTGCCAGTCTGGGGTCCCGGCCGCTGGCCCCGCTCAGCCTGCTGCCGGCTTGGGTGAACGCAACCCCAGGCTGGCAGCAGGCTGAGCTGGCCAGCAGCGTAAGATCAGCATTTTAATTTAATTTTAAATGAAGCTTCTTAAACATTTTGAAAACCTTGTTTACATATGACAATAGTTAAATAATATATAGACTTATAGAGAGAGACCTTCTAATAAATGTTAAAATGTATTACTGGCATGCGAAACCTTAAATTAAAGTGAATAAATGAAGACTCGGCACACCACTTCTGAAAGGTTGCCGACCCCTGTCTTAAATGGTCAACTTTGCATTTACAAAGGTTACTAGCTTAGCTGGGTGAGGTAATATCTTTTATTGGACTAATTTCTGTTGGTGAGAGAGAGAAGCTTTTTAACTTACACAGAGCTCTTAAATCTGAAGAAGAGCTCTGTGTAATCTTGAAAGCTGCCTCTGTCACCAAAGGAAGATGGTCCAATAAAAGATATTATCTCACCCACCTTCATTCTCTAATATCTTGGAACCAACAAAGCTGCAACAACACTGCATACCACAAATGTAGTACTTTTTTAGATGTGTGTATTACAGTTCCTTACTGACGGTAGATGGAGACAGCTCACTTGAAGTTTAGAGTTATGATACTGTTCTTTATCAAAGGACCTTTCCTTGTCACAATCAGTGCAAAGTGGATTTAAACTGTGGAGAAGGGAGTTCTCTGCTGGTGGAGATAGTTCTATTGCCTTCTGCACCGTGGCATAAGGAGAGAGAGAGAGTGGACATGTCAGGGGCATAAGATCTGTGAGGGAGTTGTTCCCCTGTACTTCAACTGAGGATGCCTCTGGGTGGCTGAGGACTAGGGGGCCACTGGTGTCTCCTTCTCCCTCCCTCCCATTTCCCACCCCCTAGACTTGGGAAGGATGGAGAAACTGCACCTCAAAATTGTTCCTGGTAACCCGTGATTTTCCTGGGTTTATTTTTACTTGTGGCTTAACCAGAATTCTGTGGTAGTGATTTCCTAGCAATGCAGACTACTGACATGCTGACCACTGAGTCAGGAAATTGATTTATCTGAACAGCTTTACTCTTGGTACTTGCTTCCCCCCGTTCCCCCTCTCCTGCCTTGCCAGTTGATGTATATTGTTGTGGTTGCTTTTTTCCAACTGGACTCTGACTACCTAGCCTAGAATGCAGTCACAACAGGACAAACTTTATTACTCCTGCTTCAATGTCATTGATGGATCACTTCTTTCACTGGTTAAAGATGAGACACAGCATTTTCTATATGAGCTACCCATCCCCATAGGCATATATCTGTTGCTACTTGTATGTCAGTGTGGGGAATTAGGGACCTTTCTTTTTTGATATTTTAGAAATGAGCCACCACCTAGGGAAGGTATGGTTTGTGTTGGCATTGTCAGGAAAAACTGTCAGTGTTGCAGAACACTAATTGTATGAATCTGTGCTGGATGATGACTTCAAGGCTTGCTTCCCTACACCCCCATGATTGCAAATAGCTCTGTACTGAGTCTAGATGGAATCCTACAGGAAACTGACTCTAACTCTGGAGTTTGTGGATCATGTTTTCTATTATGAAGACTTTTCCTATGTGTGTATTAAAGAGTAGCCCAGAAAAATCAAGCTCTGATTTGGAGTGAGGTTGTCTTTTGTATATTAATCTATTATGTGGCTGCTAGGAGTGCTTTTCCTGTGTTTTGTTGTGTTTGTGTGAGAGTCTGGCTCTGTCAACAGGGTGTTTGTTCTCCTGTGGGAGTCAGAAAACAACCAAGGATTATGAGAGGGCACTAGGCATTTTGGTATAGAGAGGTGTGTTCAGAGGGATGTTCAAGTCTTTTGTCTCTCTTTTGGGTGGGGAAGAGCTATAGCCCAGAGATCAGAACTGGTCTAGGCAGACGAGAGTAGTGCCATCATTAAATCAATGGGTAAATTTTAATATATATGTTAATTAAGTTCTCCTGGTTTTAGCTTTGCTCAAGAATTTTTTTCCCAAAACTCATGCATTTAGCAGCTTAAGGAATACATTCAATGTTTTGTTTTAAAATCCTTTACTTTTCTCAGTGTAATCCCTCAATTTTGTATTCTTTTTAGTGGCTCCAATAAAAGCTCTGTGCAGTCAGCGTTTTAATGATTGGAAAGATAAATTTGGACCTATAGGGCTCAGCTGTAAAGAACTGACAGGAGACACAGTGATGGATGATTTATTTGAAATACAACATGCTCACATTATTATGACCACACCAGTAGGTTTCATATATAACTTGCTATTTGTTTCATTGATTTTTTTTCTAAACCAAAAATCTGAAGAAAAATGTATTGTAGAAATAATTTGCTGCACGTAGTCTAGCTAATGTATGTATGCTTCCAGGGCTCCCCTCGTTTTATAGAGATTGGAAACTTTCAGTATAATTGTAAGGTCGTTTTACTTGCCTGTAAACTGCCATGCATTCTTTAGTGCTATATTTGTCCTGGGGGAATTCTGTGCCACTGCGCATGTGCAAAATTATGTCCCCCACAGATTTCTTTGTTTCCCCACAGAAAAATGACTTTCTGACAGGGAACCAAAGGGAAGCCACAAGAGCAGTCATGCGACTCTCCCCAGCAGTATGTTTCGGGTGCCCAGGGCAGCCGGCAGAGAGGTAGATCACTGTGGGGCAGGAGGCAGGAATGGGGAAGACCTGCCTGGTGACTCCTATCCTGCACTGGGCTCAGCTGCTAGTCTGGGTTGGGCTGGGGAGGATGGGACTTCCTCTCCCCCTGCATGGTATCTGGGGCCGGGTCAGACCCACCCCCAGATTCCTCCTCCGGCTGAAGGAAACTCTGCAAACTCCCCCTCCCACTTCCTGCAACCATCGCTCCTCAGCTGCAGGGGGTGGAATCCCTGTTCAGGTAGCTGCTCCCCCATCCACCCAACCCCCGTGCATCCAGAACTTCTCATACCCAGACGTTCCCACCAACCCGCTCCCTCCTGCACCTGGACCGCCTCCACACTGAGACCCATCCAGACACCTCCCTGCTGAACCCTAGCCACCTTCACTTGGACCCCCTGCAGAGTCGCATTATCATTGCACCCAAAAAACCCCAACAAGCCCCTATGCATCCAGATCTCCTCCATAACTAGATTCCCCACTGAGCTTCCTGCACCCATATTTCCTCACACAGAACCCTCTCAACCCAAACCTGGATCCCCCCACACTAAGCTCCTCCACACTTGAATCCTGCCTTGGTGAGCTTGCCTGCCCACAACTGATGCACCTGGCATGGAGGGGCAGGGGCCTGTGGTGTTTCTGGGGAAGGCCTGGTCCTTGCACTGTGTCACGGTTGGGTGCAGCCTCACTGTTGAGTCTGTGTCTGGGTGGAGGGAGCTGCATAGTGATCTCCCACCTCTGTGCAGCCAGTGGCCTGTGCTCCCCAGTGCCATGCTGGAGTCTCCACGTTTATTTGACAAATGAAATTTGCAGAATTTTAAAATATTGTGTGCAGAATTTAAAATTTTTGGTACAGAATGCCCTCAGGAGTACTATATAAACAATAATTAGTAATAAAATAATTGTCAGATGCAAAATATATAGCATTAGCTCATCAGAACTTTACTGATTTTTTTATCATAAGAATTTGGTCATGTTTATGGTCTGTCTCTGCTACTACTTCTGGAATCTGTTTTTCATCATTTCTTCTGCCTTTTCCCGCCCCCCACCCCCCGTCTCTTCCCCAGGAAAAATGGGATAGCATGACTAGAAAATGGAGAGACAACTCTTTAGTCCAACTGGTACGACTGTTCCTCATTGATGAGGTACTGATTTTTATAGTCTGTTTGTACTTGAGGAAAAAGAAAACTTTTAGGAAGTATAACAAAGTTTATATATTTATTTTAACACATTTGTGGGTTAGAATGCAAAAAGTAAGCAATGTTATTTCACAGATGTCTTTAATTATTTTAATAGGTACATGTTGTGAAAGACGAAAGCCGTGGTGCAACACTTGAGGTTGTAGTCAGTCGGATGAAGACTATACAGTCTTCCCTTTCGCGTATCTCAGAGAATCCTGACATGCTTACTCCCATGAGATTTGTGGCTGTTTCTGCAACAATCCCAAATGCTGAGGATGTAAGGGTTACATTTTAATTACTTTTTCAAAATATTTTTAAAATACTTGTTTCTTTGACATCAGTTGTAAAAGCAGAGGTCCTTTAGACTATTCACTTCATTTGAGAATCCTGAGGAACTTCATTTGAGAAACGTAAATAAAGAAAAGTGATGTAAAGCTGTAAAATTAGCTTGACATGAATTTTAAAATAAAGTTGTCATTTCTGGGCTGTCAGCTGAAGGCTGCTGTCTTGATGAACACAGATACAACTTTTGGCCCCAACAATATGGAAATACCAACCAAAAATTGATAAAGTACTTCAGTTTTATATTTTTAATAAAAATTTTAAGGGTGAAAACACAAGTCACAAAAGCTTAGGGACAGATTTTGATTTCAATAGTACCAGTGTAATTTGGAACAGAATTTGGTCTGCTCATTAGTGAAGAAATTATTTTCAAGTGTATTAATTAGTTTAGACGTGGCAAAAAGTATTTAACATGTAAACTCTCTTTGTCAATGTCAGAGGGCATGTGGGGCAGTAAAAATAGTTGCTTCCCAGTTCTTTATTATGTATGTTCTGTAGTTTGAAGAGAGCATGTATAGTAACAGAGGCATTATTTTCAAGCATCATTTTAACTTGTTTCCTTGTTCTTTAAAGATTGCAGAATGGCTTTCAGATGGTATGAGACCTGCTGTATGTCTGAAAATAGATGAAAGGCATCGACCTGTGAAGCTTCGCAAAATAGTTCTTGGATTTCCCTGCAGTATCAACCAAACAGAATTCAAATTTGACTTAACACTTAACTACAAAATAGCTAGTGTTATACAAACATACTCTGAACAAAAACCAACCCTTGTGGTATAATATGTTTTTCTCTTAATGCTTTTGAAATTCTTGGTTTTCTTCTAAGTACAATTAATACAAAAAAGGTATTTTCTTATTTATAGTTTTGTGCCACAAGAAAAGGAGTACAGCAGGCTGCTTCAGTTCTTGCAAAAGATGCTAAATTTATTATGACTATGGAACAGAAACAAAGGTATATTTATATTTCTTGTAGTTGCTAACCATAGAAATGTAGGGCTGGAAGGGAGTTCGATAGGTCATCTAGTTCAGTCCTTGCACTGTGGCAGGGCTAAGTATTATCTAGACCATCCCTGACAGGTGTTTGTCTAACCTGTTCCTAAAAACCTCCAGAAACAAAGTTTCCACACCCTCCCTAGATAATATAGTTCAGTGCTAAACTATCCTTATAGTTTAGGAAGTTTTTCCTAAATGTCTATCCTAAATCTCCCTTCCTGCAATTTAAGCCCATTATTTATTTTCCTGTCCCCTGTGAATATATGGAACAATATATCACTGCCTTCTTCATAGTAACCTTTTAAATACATGAAGACTGTTAGGACCCTAGTCGGTCTTCTCCAGACTAAACAAACCCATTTTTTTCAGTTTGTCCTCATAGGTCATGTTTTCTAGATTTTTAATATTTTTTGTTGCTTTACTCTGGACTTTCTCCAATTTGTCCATACCTTTCCTGAAGTATGGTGCCCAGAAATGGACAGAGGACTCCAGCTGAGGCCTTATCAGAGCTGAGTAGAGTGGAAAATTACTTGTCTTGCTTACACCACTCCTGATAGTACATCTGTGACAAAGTGTTTGGCAGCAGTAGCTGTACCAGAATTCTGATTGCTGGATCTCCAATTATATCACCCTGGAGTAAACTTGAGGGGCAAATATTTGCCTAATTGATAGACTAGGATGGGCTGAGGAGAGCCCCAAAGGCTAATTATCTTAGCCCAGTAGGTAGAAAAGGCACAGACATGAAATGCTCAGGGAAGAAGAAAGAGACTGATAGGCTTTTGAGAGCCAGAGCCAGAAGAGATCTCTCAAGGGGAAGATATCTTTTGTCTCCCCGAACTTGGCTGAGTGAGTTAAGGGCTGTGTGCTTGTAAATGTAGAGCTGCACAAGTTTGTAAAGGTGGTGGGGAGAACACTGTAAATAAATTGCACAGGTTGTTTGTACAGAATGTCTCTGAGAAGTTTGCATCTACAGAGGAGAAAGGAGCAGGCTGCTACCGTGTCATAACATCCCAGAATGATGTTTGCTTATTTTTTGCAACAGTATTACATTGTTGACTCATATTTACTTGGTGATCCATTATAGCCCCCAGACCCTTTTCTGCAGCACTCCTTCCTAGGCAGTCATTTCCCATTTTGTATTTGTGCAACTGATTATTCCTTCCTAAGTGGAGTACTTTACATTTGTCTTTATTGAATTTCATCCTATTTATTTCAGACTTTTTCTCAAGTTTGTCAAGATCATTTTGAATTCTAATCCTGTTCTCCAAAGCACTTGCAACCCCTCCCAGCTTGGTATCATCCACAGACTTTGTAAGTGGACTGTCTATGCCGTTCTCCAATCCATTTATGAAGATACTGAATAGAACGGGACTCAGGACAGATCCCTTTAGGACACCACTCGATGTGCCCTTCCAGGCTTGACTGTGAACCATTGATAACTACTCTGAGTACAGTTTTCCAACCAGCTGTGCAGGTTGGAAATAGTAGGTTCATCTAGGCTATAGTTTCCTAGTTTGCTTATGAGAAGATCTTGTGAGATAGAATCAAAAGCCTTACTAAAGTCAAGATATATCACTTGTACTGCTTTCCCCCCTTCCACAAGGCTTGTTTCCCTATCAGAGAAGGATATTAGGTTGGTTTGACATGTTTTTTCTTGACAAAGCCATGTTGACTCTTACTTACCACCTTATTCTAGGTGGTTACAAATGGATTGTTTGATTATTTGCTCCATTATGTTTCTGGGTACCAAAGTTAATATAATTCTGGTCTATAATTCCATTTGTCCTTATTCCCCTTTTTATAGATAGGTACTATATTTGACTTTTTCCAGCCCTCTGTGATCTCTCCCATCCTCCACTAGTTCTCAAAGATCGATAACGGTTCAGAGATCTCTTCAGACAGTTCCTTAAGTATTCTAGGATGTATTTCATCAGACCTTGCTAACTCGAAGATATCTAACTTATCCAAGGCCTTGTGTCAATAAAACTCCGTAGTGTAGACAAGTTATGCCGACGAACAAAAACTACTATAATTACATCGCTTTTGCATGTTCACACAACGCTTCTTCTGTTGGCGGAGCACGTCTATAGTTGGTGCTCTAGCATTGACAGTGAGAGCAGTATGCCATGGGTAGCTATCCCACTGTGCTACTCGCCATCTTCTGCAGCTAGAAGTTTTGGGAAGGTCAAGTGAATCACAGTCCAAGTTCCCTCTAAGCTGTGCGGCTGCGCAGCAGGCTATGAAGAGCTGCGCAGGCGGGGAGAGGCGCCTCTCCAATGGCCCTAGCCCCGGAGCTGCTGCAGCCAGGGAGAGGCACCTCTTCCCCAGCCCTGGAGCTGCTGTGGCCAGGGAGAGGTGCCTCTCCCCTGGCCCTGGGTTGCTGCAGCGAGAGAGGACTGGGGGGAGTCCTATCTCCCCGTTGCAGCCCAGGGGCAGCCTGCACCCCAAACCCTTCATCCCTGGCCCCACCCCAGAGCCTGCACCCCAGCCAGAATCGGAGCCCGCACTGCACCCCAACCCTCTGCCCCAGACCTGAGCCTCTTCCCCCACCCTGAACCCCTCATCCCTGGCCGCACCCCAGAGCCTGCACCCCCCAGCCAGCGCTCTCACCCCCCCACCCCAACCCTCTGCCCTAGCCCTGAGTCCCTTCCTACACCCCAAACCCCTCAGCTCCACCCCACCCCACATCACCTCCATATTGGTGCACATAACAAAATTCATTCCGCACATGGATGTAAAACGTTAGAGGGAACATTGTTCACAGTGCATTATGGGTACGAACTTAACGTCCCATGATGCAGTTTTTTCTGTCCCATCATTCCATGGGCTTCTGACTGCGTTTTGTGCCATTTTTCAGCTGCTACTGTTTACTGTGTGCATGCCATGTCTGCCTGAAAGGGTGGATCCTGCACTGCTCTCGACTTTTATGGTCACTGTAATGAACACTTTGCGGCTAGTCTTGCCATATATCATGATCTCCCAGTCTGAACAGGAATCCTAGGTGCCTGATCTTCTGTGTGCCGTGGAAAGAAACAACATCAGATTACTTTTGGCATTCAAATGTAGCAATAGTAAAAATAGGAGCAGCTGCGCACGATGGACTGTCACTTTTGGACTCAGGGAAACAAGCACTGAATTGTGGGATTGCATCGTTATGCGGGTCTGGGATGACAAGCAGCCACTGTAGAACTTTCAGATACAGAAAGGCATCTTCCTGGAACTGTGCGTGGAATTTGCCCCAGCACTGCGGTGCGAGGACACCCAAATGAGAGCTGCCCTTTTGATGGAGAAGTGTGTGGTGATCGCTGTGTGGAAGCTGGCAACTCCAGACTGCTACTGGTCACTCACAGATCAGTTTGGAGTTGGGAAGTAAACCGCTGGGGCTGTGTTAACGCAAGTGTGCAGAGCCATTAATCCCTGCTATGAAGGACTGTGGGACTCTTGGAAACGTGCATGAAATAGTGGATGGCTTTGCGGCACTGGGATTCCCTAACTGCAACAAGGTGATAAATGGCACAGATATCCCAATTTTGGCCCCAAACCATCTTGCAATGGAGTACATCAATAGAAATGGGTACTTCTCTATGGTATTGCAAGTGCTTGTAGATCACTGTGGTCGTTTCATTGACATCAGTGCTGGGTGGTCAGGGAAGGTGCGTGACGCACGCATCTTCAGGACTGTACAGCAAGCTGCAAGCAGGGACTTTCTTTCCAGACCAGAAGATTCCAGCGGGGGATGTTGAAATGCCCATAGTGATCCTGGAAGACCCAACATACCCCTTACTCCCATGTCTCATGAAGCCTTACACAGAAAATCTGGACAACCGCAAGGAGCACTTCAACAATAGGCAGAATGACTGTTGAATGTGTGTTTGGCAGATTAAAATCTCGCTGGCACTGCCTTTATGGCCGGTTAGACCTAAATGAGGAAAATATTCTCATGGGCATAGCAGCCTGCTGTGCGCTGCATAGTATTTGTGAGGTTAATGGGGAAAAATTCCCCCCCGGAATGGAGTGCAGAGGCAGATTGTTTGGTGGCTGATTTTGAGCAGCCAGGTATCAGGGCTATAAGCAGGACACAATGGTGGGGGTGGGTGGGTATTCGAATCAGGGAGGCTTTCAGGCTCCATTTTGACAATGAGCACTAGTAGTGTGACTTTCTATAAAGCACTCTGCCATGCGTTGGGAAATTTTGATAATTACTTCCTGACCATGATTTGTAGTCTGCAAATGTTACAATTGCCACTGTGTATTAATTCTAGCAGCTACCATTGTGTGTAGGAGACAAATAAAGATTATCTTTCAGAGGGTATGTTTTTATTAAATATCAATTAACACACACACAACATTTGGTTGAAAGGGAGATAACAGTGAAAGGTAGTATCATAGCTGTTTGTAACTCCAGCTGTCATTTTGGAACCCATCTGAAGGGATGGAGTGAATGGGGTACTGCAACAGGCTGGGAAGATGCAAGGAATGTGTGGGATAAGTTTGGGGTGGGCATGGAAAGCAGTTCTGTATGGGCTGCAGGGAGGGACGAGCAAACATGTATTAGGCCTGTAGTACAAATAGGGACTACAACATCTCTGTGTGCACCTCCATCACTTTTGTCAACTGCTCCTGACCCATTAAAATTTACTCCTGACTCTCCTCCTTCTCCTGTCTCTCTATTTTATAATTTTCATTTACTGGCTCTTTCCATGCCCTGTGTTCTGTTTTTCTGCATCTGAGGATTGGAGCATCTCTTGAAATAAAGCAGGAATATTTTGTCAGCAGAGGAAGCATTGTAATGCGTATGGTTTTGTCAATGAAAGCTGACTTTCGTCAACCAAACTTTGTTGTGTAGACAAGGCCTTTGTAATTCTTAACTTGTTCTTTCCCTATTTTAGCCTCAGATCCTACCCCATTTACACCGATGTGCACTGTTAGGTGTCGATGTCTGCTAAACTTTTTGGTGAAAACTAAAACAAAAAAGGTATTTAACACTTAGACCATTGCTGCATTTTTTGTTATTGTCTTTTCCTCCTCGTTGAGTAATGGGCCTAACCTGTCCTTGATCTTTCTTTTGCTTCTAATATATTTGTAAAATGTTTTCTTGTTACTCTTTGTCCTTAGCTAGTTTAATCTCTTGTTGTGCCTTGGCCTTTCTAATTTTGTCTCTACATGTTTGTGTGTTGTTTTTTTATATTCATCCTTTGTAATTTGACCTAATTTCACTTTTTGAATTTCAGATCATTGAAGATCTCATGGTTAAGCCACAGTTGTGTCTTATCATATGTTTCTTATGCATTGGGATAGTTTGCTCTTGTGCTGTTGTTAGTTCCTCTTAAAAAAAACTGCCAACTCTCCTGAACTTTTTTCCCCCTTGGACTTGCTTCCCACTGGATCTTACCTACCAATTCTCCGAGTTTGCTAAAATCTGCCTTTTTGAAGTCCATTATCTTTATTCTTCTGTTTTTCCCCCTACCATTTCTTAGAATCATGAACTCTGTCTTTTCTTGATCACTTTCTCCCAAGCTGCCTTCTACCTTCAAATGCTAAACCAGTTCCTCTCTGTTTGTCAGAATCAAATCTAGAATAGCCTCGCCCCAGTCACTTTCTCCACCTTCTGTAATAAAAAGTTGTCTCCAGTGCATTCCAAAACTTGTTGAATAATCTGTGTCCTGCTGCATTATTTTCCCAACAGATGTCTGGGTAGATGAAGTCTCCCATCACCACCAAGTGCTGTGCTTTGGATAATTTTGTTAGTTTTTAAAAAAGCCTCATCCACCTCTTCTTCCTGGTTAGGAATTCTATTGTAGATCCCTACTATGACATCACCCTTGTTTTTTACCCCTTTTATCCTTACCCAGAGACTTTCAGCAGGTCTGCCTCCCACTTCTACCTCAGCCTCAGTGCAAGTGTGTACATTTTTTATATACAACAGCTCCTCCCTTTTTTTCCCTGCCTGTCCTTCCTGAACACATTGAAACCTTGTTTTCCAGTATTCCAGTCATGTGAATTATCTCACCAAGTCTTTGATGCCAGTTATGTCAGAATTGTGATTATTCACTATTATTTCTAGGTTTTCCTGTTTATTTCCCATATTTATGTTAGTATTCAGACATCTAGAAGGGAAATCTATTCCCTCTTGTCTGTCCTTTGTCCCTGCTATAATAAAAGCATACATGTATTCTAGTCATTCTATGGGCCATGTGAAGAGGGTTGGTTCAATACAATTTCTAGTAGAGAGGTATCTATGTCTCAAAATCATTATTGCAATTGGCCCCCTTGCTGGGAAATTTCACTAGTGGCCAGGGACTGAATGGACCATGCAGACTGGATTGTGGAATTTCTCGCCACTAGAATGATCTCTCCAGAATAGTGCTGAGATACATTTATAGGACTGTGTAATCCAACTTGCATTTCTGTTAACTGAGCTATACTTATTTCCTCTAAGTAAAGGAATCTCCTCTTGAAGGATGTCTTTTGGGTACTTTTCATGAACACTAAATGCATTTAATATTTTAAATTACCTGTTTTTTGAAGAATAAAAACATTAATTTCCAGTGAGCATTCAAAGACTAACACATATGAATAGTCCCGTTGGATATGGTTTTGTTGAACTTATCACAGATACACGTGCTTAATTTAAGATACTGTAAGTCTTTGTGGGATCAAGTCCTTAGTAAACACAGTCCTAACTTCTGTTAGTGATTATTTATTTCACCAGGTAGTTATATCAAAGCTAAATTTTCATTTGTACAACTCCTGTTAGGAATAATAGGAGCTGTGTGTCTTGTTCAATCGCAAATGTATTCATTAGAGCCCAATTCAAGAGGGATGCTTAAGAACAAGTTTAATTCCCATTTTAAATCAATGGGATTTAAGCACATGCTTAAATGTTTTCTGTAAAATTGATGGACATTTGCACATACTTAAGTGCTTTCCTGAACTGAGGCCTACATGTATATTTTAAGACAGTACTTACATTAAAGTTTATTTGAAAGCTGTTTTTTTAAACAGATTTCAAATTGATCTTGAGATAACAATTATGATACAATTCTGTGTTCAGAATTTCAGACACTATTAAGCAACTATTAGTAGCCTTCTTCTATATTAATGTCTGAGAAGTTCTTGAAACTCTGAGCCCAGTCATTATTATTATTACTATTAATCAGTCAAAACTCTTCATTGAAATCAGAGTAGTTTGAAGATGTGAATAGAAACTTTGCTTGAGAAAGTACTCCAAGATTGTGCCCATAAATGTTTCTTCCCCAAGTCCAAATTCATCAATGTTCAAAGAATATTGACATGAATAGCCCAACATTTATGAACAGGCTTACAATGCACTATGTTTTTACTGTGGGAAAATAATCAAATCCAAATTCTTCAATACTTATTCGGGGCCAGATGCTCCTCTTCACTTACGCTGATGTAGTGGAAAGAAACCTGCACACAGTAAGTGAGGTGCAAAAGAAGAGTCACTCTTTAGCATTCTTTCTTTCCCCAAACCTATGGAAGCCATATTAGAGAACTACTGTAATGTTGGGACTCAGTGAACTCTCATGAGGTTGGTTAGGAGGCGGTCTGTTCTGGTGGAGCTGATGGGTAACTACTCATTGTGGCATGCTCTCCTCCCAGATTGATGGAAACATTCCTTACAAATCTGTAGTTGCTTTAATGCGACCCATTAGAAGCCCCATAAACTCATGTTGCTGCTGAGGGTGATTGTCATACAAAAGGCAGGGATCAGTGAATGAGGGACAGTGGCTTCAAAGAACAGTGTGAAGGGGCAGTTGCTTATGATTGGTTCCTTGGCAGATACGCAGTTTGGAGGTTACTCTCCATGCTTTCTCCATGGCTCTCTTCATAGAGTTTCTGGCACTCCCTGTCATCCTCTTGTAGATTTTACCATGGGAGGGTGCAATAATGAAATTTAGGTTTTGCCTATAAGGAGGGTTATCATGTGGCAACCTGGGGTGTAAATGTACAGTGCACTTGCCTGCTGTGTGCTAAATTGTATGTGGATCTGTTGCTGTGCACTAAAACTTCCATAGTGCGCTTAAGACTTACTGCTGTTTGAATCAGCAGTAAGTGAAAGTGCTCTACAGAACTTTCACTATGTGGTAGTAGGGTCCACACGGTCAATTAGTGCATGGAATGCTGAAGTGCTGTAGATTTACAACCCAGGTTCCTGGGTATTAATTCTCTATCTAGACGTATCAAACAATGGGAGATTTGCCTGAGTTTGGATTACAGGATTTAGTCCTCTGAAAACAAGTAGATTTTTGTTTCAAGTATCCAAAAGGTAATTATAAGTGAGAAAATTAATTAAAAATTATGCCATATACATTGACAGTGACCTTTTAGTATTCTAAAATGTAGATATGAAATAGGAATGTATTGAAAAACACAAGAATATGACAGAAATAAGGACAAATGAATTTAAACAGAAGAATAAATCTTATAAACTCTTAATGAGTGTAACTGCTGGAATCGACGTTTGTCATTATGCAGAGTTCTTCATAGGATATCGTGCTTTTTTAAAAACACGTTGGTATGTCTTCATATTGTATATAAATAAGTAAAAATGCTTTGATTTTTGGTTTAAAAACTTATTGTTTTTGTCTCCTTTTTATGTAGATTACAAAAGTGTGCAAATTCAACAAAAGATACCAAAGTGAGAGGTAAGTACAACAATGCTAATTTTTGCCAACATGAATTAATATTTGCTTGACGAAAGGTGGTAAAGGCAATGGGTATAATATTTTTTTTCAGATCTTTTAATGTGTGGTGTGGCTTATCATCATGCTGGTATGGAGATATCTGATAGAAAAATAATTGAAGGAGCTTTTACTATGGGAGACTTACCAGTACTTTGTAAGTAAACTTAAACTTTTGAAAATCAAAATGTTGTTACTATATTTTTTCTTTTTAAATATAGTGAGATTCATATTTGGAAAAAGTAAATGTTATGATTCTTTCACTTCTTTTTATGTCATGAAATCCACGATGATAGAGCAGAGGGGGGCAAACTATGGCCCATGGGCCACATCTGGCCTCATGGGACCAGCCTACCCTTGAGCTCCTGGCCGGGGAGGCTAGCTCTTGGCCCCTCCACTGCTCTTCCCCGTCCCCTGCAGCCATGCCGCCGCGCAGGGAGCTTGGCTTGCACCCGCCCACCTCCCAGGCTTTCCAATAAGCCAGTCCTGCCGCTCTGAGCGGCATAGTAAGGTGGTGGGGAGCGGGGCGGGGGTGGGGTGTTAGATAAGGGGCAGGAGGTCCCAGGGAGCGGTCAGGGGACAAGGAGCAGGGGGGGTTGGATGGGTCAGGGGTTCTGGGAGGGGACAGTCAGGGGATGGGGAACAGGGGGAGTTGGATGGCATGGGAGTCCTGGGGGCCTGTCAGGGGGTGGGGGTGTGGATAGGGGGTGGGAAGTCAGGGAGCAGGGGGGTTGGGTCCCCAGGGGGCAGTTAAGGGTGTGGGTTGCGGGAGGGGGCGGATGGGTGGATAGGGCGGGAGCCAGGCTGTTTGGGGAGGCACAGCCTTCCCTACCCAGCCCTCCATACAGTTTCGCACCCCGATATGGCCCTTGGGCCAAAAAGTTTGCTCACCCCTGTGATAGAGAGTATGGTTCTGCAGCCTGTATATGAGTAGGTCAATTTGCTTCAATAAGTATTTAGGACATTTTAAGTGCTACTACAGTATAAATGATACTAATACTCACATGAGGCTGCATGACTGGCTCTGTAATTTAGGGTTTGATCCTGCATTCTTCTTGCAGTCATAACTCCCATTAACTTTAGTTTTTCTTTTCCCTTCAAAAATAAATTCTGTTCAGAATATTACTTCTTCATTGAGGAAGAGTAATTCCAGTTGAAAATGGAAAGCCAACTCTTTAGTTCTAATCATGTTATCCTATTCTTCTTAAAGAAAATGGACTAAACATGTGAAAAATATTATCTAAATATGACAAATTCTTCAAGTAAATCAATACACTTGTGATTTACTCAGGGGTGAAAGTAACTTAAAGGATTTACTGGTACGCAGGGCCACCAGGCTCCTGGGCAAGGTGTGGGTTGGGGGCAGCTTTGGGCCCCGGAAGGGGTGGGGCCTCGGGCGGAAAGGGCAGGGCTGGGGCAAGATTCCCCCAGCCAGCCCTTCAGTGCTGCCTGGCCTGCGCTGTCCGGGGCTCTGGCGGTGATTTAAAGGGCCTGGGGCTCTGGCCACTGCCGTGGTAGTGGCTGGGAGCCCTTGGCCATTTAGATCGCTGCTGGAGCCCTGGGGCTCTTTAAATCACCGGGTCCTGGAGAAGCTGCCCCTTTTCTTCCCCCTCTCCCATCAGTAGCCCTGCTGGTATGGTGCTTAAAGCGCTGCCATGGCAGCACTTTAATGTCAGCTGTGTACCGGCCCATACTGGCAGCCACTTTCTTACCAGTACGCCGTACCAGCTTACTTTCACCTCTGGATTTACTAATATATCTTTTGTGTTTGACGCTGTCACAACTGTGTGATAGGCAGCCAGACCTAGTAGTCGGACCCTAAAGTCCACAGTTACAAGACGGGAGTGAAGAATCAGTTGAGTTGGGATACTGGGAGATCAGAATCAGTAGACAAACTAGAGATCAGAACACGAGTCGGGAACTAGAGTCAGGTTGGGTCAGGATACCAGATGTAAGGATCCGTGGACTAGAACCTAGGTCTGCAGACCTTGGGATAGCTGACATTCTCAGAGTACCACGGGGAAGGCTTGCAGAGCCACATCCAGGGAGCATTGTGGAGAGTAGACATTGCTGGAAGTACCTCCCAAAGGATCCATAGTGAGAGTACCCTGCAGCCCTCTGATTGATGAAGCGCACTATTTAACCCAGGCAGGTGCCCCAGGAAGTTGTCTGGGCAACCACACAGACTTCTGGCCTGCTTCAACTCCAGACTTCACCTCATCTTCTGGTCTCTGATTTTAGCCTGACCTTGACTCTTGCTTATTGAACTGAGCTCTAGCAATTCCTCTGATCCCTGTTCATTGACTTCCATCCTTGACACGTGGACCCCAGCCCAGCTGTGATTGCTAGGCAAGACTGCCTACAGCCTGGTCCCTTACACCAGGGAGTCAGGAGCAGGAGACAAAATGGAGATCAGGAACCACCAGTCAGGTACCAGGAGTCAAGCAGGTCAGAATGTCAGGAGATCAAGCTGGGCAGGCAAGCGGGAGTAGGTAGTGGGACAAGACAAGGGGGTGAAGCCTTGTTTTTCAGATGGTTTCCTGTTGCTGTCTTAAGTAGGGCCAGGGGACCAAACAGCCACTTGGGGACTCCACAAATCAGACCTTAGGGGCAGAATCTCACCATTGGGGTGGGCTTCGTTGTTCTCATGTCGGCTATTGCCAGATTACTACCATGTGGAGGGTTGGAGCCTGGTTGCTCCTATTCAGAGTGGATTAAGCTTTTGTGGTGCTTGGGGGCCCTGGGCCAGAGCAGTCCGCCCCCACCCCTGCACTTCTGCTGGGGAAATGAGTTGGGGTCCAGGGGCTTGCCCCACTCTGCCTGCCTGACATTCCTGCTGGGGAGTGGGGTTGGAGCATGGGGACTTCCGCTGCTCCCCGGCAGGAGCACCAGGCGAGCAGAAAGGGGCAATTCTCTGCACCCTGACTCCGCTTCCCAGCAGGAGCGTGGGGACCCCCATTTTTCCAGGGCCCCCCTACTGGTCCATTGGCTAATCCGCCACTGCTCTTATGAACCTTGAGGGCCTGGAGTTTGAGACTGGTGGGTCATGAAAAATACATTATTGTGAGAATAATTATTTTAGTACTGTAGATGTGCATGTCACTTTACAGGCAAATTAAAAGACCTGAAAACTGTCTTTAAGTATACCAGTCACTACAAAACAGGATGAAGTCATGGCTATATTCAAACAGTTCCTGAACTATTTGTATTGAATGATTAGCAATTACTTCAGTGTGAGTTTTGGAGCATGAGGAATGAAAGATTGGACCCTGATTTACCTGTAAATGTTAACAAATATTTAAATACAAATACTTTGGATATATTTATTTTTTAAGGGAGCATTTGACAATACAGAAATCATGATCAGATATATTGCAATACTGTATATGAATGTGTATACAGATTAAGGGCCAATCCTATGAGTTCTTCAGTGCCCTTTCCTCCCATTGATTTCATTAGAATTGAGAGTGCTGAGGACCTCACAGAATTGGGCCATATATTTGCTGCTTTATTTAAAATCTTGCTAGTATACCGAATACTGTTTGTTATTAAATTAATATGCTTTAATCTGATTCAGTTACTACTAGTACCTTAGCTATGGGAGTAAATTTACCTGCACATCTGGTAATTATAAAATCTACAATGCACTATGTTGGAGGAATGTTTCAAGAGTACAGTGAAACAGATATTCTGCAAATGATTGGGAGAGCAGGGAGGCCTCAAGTAAGTTAACTGTGTATTTTATATTAATGCTTTCTAAATCTGGATTAGTAAAAGCTACAGTATACACTTGAAGAGTTTAAAAAAAAAAACAACCCCCACAATTTAAGGGATAGCATTTGCTTTTTAAAGATTTATTGGTAAGTGAATTACTGAGTTAAAATAATACTGAACAAAGAGAACTGTGTGACACTGTAGACAGATCAATGGAGATCTCCACTGATCTATGTGCAACTGTAGTCCAAAAAGCAAACAAGATGTTAGATTGCATAAGAAATGGAAAGTTGAATAATATGGCAAATATTATTATACCTTTTATATAAATCGTGCAGCTTCATCTGGAATAGTGTGTGCAGTACTGAGAAGGATATCACAGAGCTGTTGCATATTATTTAAATAGAACTAAAAGTTTTTGAAAATTATCTAGATTATTTGTGTTTTATGCTAAAAATCACACGGGTCATATTGTGTCTCCCTCAACTACTGGTTTTCAACCTATGTTCTGCAGAACCCCAATTTCCAAAGGGATCCACACCTCCATTAGAAACTTTTAAGAGGTCTGCAAATTAAAAAAGGTTGAAAACCACTGCCCTAGACTGTTTCTAAATGGATTAAATAATGTATTGTAGAATGTTACACGTTAGTAGACATTCCTGTACCTGTGATGGTATGATCTCATTCTGCCAGAGCTGTGGCAGCCTCTTTTGCTTGCCTTAAGCAAGTCCCTGTTACTGAAATTTCCAGTGCTGCAAAGTGGAGTTCTTCGAGTGCTTGCTCATGTCCATTCAAATGTAGGTAGGTCTGTGCTTGCCCCGAGCACCGCCACTGGAAAATTTTCCCTTGGTGGTATCCATCAGGTCAGCTCTGCTGCCCCCTGGAGTCGCATGCTCCTAGCGCCAGTATAAAGGGTCCTGCTAGGACCCGCAGACCTCTCAGTTCCTTCTTACTGCCTCTGATGGTCACTGGAACTACCTTATCCTTGCAATCTGCAAGTACACCCTCTGTGGACTTTTTCAACCCTATATTGTATATAGTTATCTCTTGTTGTTAGTAGTTAAGTTTCTGTTTTTAGATAGATTAGCGGAGTTAGTCTCTTCCTGGTGCCAGGGCATGCCTCAGTCTCCAGGTTTTAAGTCTTGTGCCTCGTGCCACACGCCTATGTATGTGAGTGACACCCATTCCAGTTGCCTTAAGTGCCTGAGGGAAGCTCACATACAAGAACGTTGTAAGATCTGTAAAGACTTCAGGCCCTGCACTGAAAAGGATAGACACACCAGACTGAGGTTTATCCTAATGAAGGCGGCGCTAAGGCCTCCATTGGCACTGGACCGCTCGGACTTGGCACCAAGCACTTCAGCCTCAATGAGGAGTGCTCTGACTACTGTTCGAGATTCTCAGCGCTGCTCTTCATCACTGGCACTGAGAAAAGATGCTCCTTCTGCCTCTCGAGAGCCTTGGCACCATGCACCATCTCCGGTGCCAAAGAAAAGTGCTCTGGTGAGAGAACCTCAGTACCACACTCTATCGAGGAAGAAATAGAAGAAGACTGATAGTGGTCCATCCCCATCCCCAAGGTTGGCAGGGCAGGGAGACACTAGTAGAGTGCGAGTACCGTTGAGTCCCGAACCAATGAACTCACCTCTGCAGCAGAGCCACTGGAGATACTGTGTTGACAGAACAATCGACATCAGACATGTTTGCTGCAATGAGAGACGTACTCTCACTGCTAGTACCAGCATCTCCAGCTATGCAGGAGCTGACAGCAGCAGCACTAGTGGGAAGGACCTCAGAGGCACTGAGGGCCCAGGTGCCTTCAAAAGAGAAACAGGCCATGATGGCCCATTCCTGGTCTCCTCCCTCTCAGCACTGCTCGCTGGCACCGATCAGCACCGCTCCTGCCTGGTCTCCAGGAGGGGAGTTTTCGGAAACAGAGTCAAAGGATGAGTCATGCAACTCTTGCAGGAGCTAGCTCCGTCACTCCAATTAGCACTATCTGGCCATGGACCCAAGCCAAGGCATCCCATCCACAGTTTGGCCCCCGGAGCAGTGGCAGATGCAGTTCAATGGCCATTCTGGAACCCCTAGGCTTTCCAGCCAATGCAGAGGACTCATTGCCGAGGGTCCTACTCCGTGGTGTCTGAGTTCAGAGCACTTCCACCGCTCCACTCAGAGCGGGACCCAAGCTGCAGTACCGAGGCCAGTGCCAAATACCAAGAGCCAGCACCTTGAGACCTGTCTGGTGCTGAGTGTGAAGAACAGTTCCCCCTACCAGTACAGGCTTCCTCCTCCTCTTCTCCTGATGAGGCTGTGGTAGGAGTGGATGTAGCACCTTCCTAGGATGACTATAAGGCTCATGAGGAGCTCCTTAAGAGGGGGCTCAAAACCTGGGGATCCAGGTAGAAGATATCAGGGAGTCTTCCCATGCCCTGGTAGACATTCTAACAGTCACAGCACATCAAGAATGTCATTGCCCCTTAACAAGGCCATTATGGACTCCAGCAAGGCATTATGGCAGGTCCCAGCATCTCTTTAGCCAACAGCAAAGAAAACTGAAAACAAATACTTTATCCCAGCTAAGGTTTGTGAGTTTCTTTTACACATATCCGCCACTGGGCTTTTTGGTTGTGTCAGCAGCCAGTGAGCGGGGCCAACAGGGGCCAACCCCCAAGGTCAAGGATGTCAAAAAATTAGACCTTTTTGGCAGAGATCTATTCAACAGGTGGCCTCCAGCTCAGGATCATGAATCAGCAGGCATTCCTGGGCAGGAACAGTTTAAATTTCTGGGGCTCCGTGCTGAAATTTAAGGAGTTATTACCCCAGGAGTCCAGACAAGAATTTGCAGCTCCTGTGGAGAAAGGCAAATCGGTGCAAAAGCATCCTTGCAAGCAGCCTTGGATGCTGCAGACTCTGCAGCCCAATCTATGGCCTTAGCAGTGGCAATGCACAGAAGCTCAATCCTCGGGCCTGCTGCATGAGGTCGAACAGACCTTGCTGGATCTTCATTTTGTGGGCACATCACTCTTTTCTGAGCAGACTGACTCCAAGCTGCACAGCCTAAAGGACTCAAGGGCCACCCTGAAGTCTCTAGGACTTCATACACTGGCGTCCACAAGGAAACATTAAGCCTCAATTGGCTGCTTGATTCTTCCCACTGCCTGCCTGGCAAGAGTACCACAGGGAAAGAGCAGGAGCTTTAGGAGAAGACCTCTGCCCCAGTCCTCGTCCTCGTCTATGCCTTGCTTTCCCTCCTCCCCCCCCCCCCCAACACTCTAGGAGGTTCAAGCAGGCCTTTTGATGGGACGCTTGAGGACAACATACCAGGATAGAATTTGGATCCAACCTATCCAGTTTTTGTGGACCATTTATCCCATTTCAATGAGGCATGGGCCCGCATTACAACAGACCACTGGGTGCTAAGCATAATAGCAGTGAGATACACTCTTTAGTTCAGTTATTCCTGCCCTCCTCATCCCTTTTCAGGGACCTTTCTCATGAGTAACTTCTAGCCCAAGAGGTGCAGTCACTCCTAAGGGTGGAAGCCATGGAAGAGGTTCCACCAGAGTTAGAGGGCTGACGATTCTACTCCTGATATTTCATTATCCTGAAAGCCAACGGTAGTCTCAGACCAGTTCTGGACCTGTGAAAGCTCAACAGATATATGAAGAAGCCAAAGTTCTGCATGGTCTCCTTGGCTTCCATCATCCCTTCCCTGGATCCAGGGGACTACACAGCCCTTGATTTGAAGGATGCTTGCTTGCTTCCATATCTCGATCTTTCAGGAACACAGAAGGTTCCTCAGGTTCATCATGAACCATGTGCACTACCAATTTGCAGTTTTCTCGTATGGCCTGCCAGCAGCCCATCGAAGTGCATGGCGGTTGTTGCAGCCTTCCTGAGGAGACAAGGAGCTCAGGTCTACCATTGCCTTGGTGACTGGCTGGTCAGAGGTCAGACCAATGGCCAGGTGGAGTCTGACATAAAGTTAATCCAGTCAACATGCAGGACTTGGGTCTACTGATAAACGTGCAGAAGTCTACCCTCTCCCTGGTTCAGAGGATAAAGTTTATTGGGGCGATCCTCGACTCTGTCCAAGCCAGAACCTTCCTCCCAGAAGCAGGGTTCCGAGCAATAGTGATGCTTATAGAGAACCTCAGACATCATCCCATCACTACAGCGAGGAACTTCTTGAGCTCCTGGGCCAGTTGGCCTCATACACATATGTGGTGCAGCATGTGAGACTTCAACTAAGACCTCTCCAGGCATGGCTGGCGTCTGTATACTCGCCAAACTGACACAGTCTGAACACAGTTATCACAGTTCCCTGTCAGTGATCACCTCTCTCAATTGGTGGTTAGACCTGCTGACCCCAACCATCAGTGTCTCTCATTACAGATGCTTCAGTGATGGGCTGGGGTGCTCTTCTGGGTTCCCTCAGAACTCAGAGCCTTTGGTCTCTGGAAGAGCTCTCGCTACACACATCAATGTCTGGTAGCTCAGAGCAGTTCGCTTGGCATGCCAGGCATTCCAGCCCTATTTGGCGGGCAAGAACGTGTCAGTTCTCACAGACAACATGATGACGATGTTTTATATCATTTGGCAGGGAGGAGCATGCTCCTCTCACCTGTGCCAGGAAACACTTCGTTTGTGGGAATTCTGCATAACCACTCGATTTACCTCCAGGCCTCCTATCTGCTGGGATCATAGAACGAGCTAGCGGATCACCTAAGCAGATCTTTCTCCAACCACATGAGTGGTCTATTTGTCCAGATGTTGTGAAAACCATTTTCCAGAAGTGGGGAACTCCCCAGATAGCTCTGTTTTGAGACAAAGCACAACAGGAAGTGTCTCCGATTCTGTACCCTCCTGTGTCACAGCCCTAGATCTCTCGCAGACACTTCCTCCTCCCCTGCATGGATCATCTCTTCTACGCGTTTCCTCCCATTCCTCTAATACACAAGGTCTTGCTGAGAATCAGAAAGGACAGAGCATGGGTTATCCTCATAGCCCTGCCTGGCCCCACCAGCATTGATTTGTCACATTCTTAGCCCTTTCGGTGGAGATGCCAATTCTTCTACCTCTGTATCCAAACCTGACCTCTTAAGACAAGGGCCACCTGCATCACCTTCATCTCGAGTCCCTTCATCTGACAGCCTGGAAGCTCCATAGCTGAACCCCTTAGAGCTAACATGCTCGGGGCAGGTTTGCAAGGTACTTTTAGGGAGCAGAAAGCCGTCCACCAGAGCTACTTACCTGACAATGAAAAAAAGGTTCTCGATCTGGTCTACACAGAAGGGTATTTCATCTATGCTATCAACAATACCATTTATTCTAGACTACTTACTACACCTAAAACGACAAGGTCTAAGTAGGTCATCTGTCCGTAATCTCAGTTTTTCACGGCCATTCCGTGTTTTCAAACACCATCTGTAATTGGTTCCTTAAGGGCCTTGAGAGATCTGGCAACCAATCCCTCCCAGGGATCTCAACCTGGTATTGTCAAAACTGACAGGACCTCCATTTGAGCCACTGGCAATATAGTCTCTACTCTACCTGTCCTGGAAGGTGACCTTCCTGGTGGACATTATTTTTTGCCAGAAGTGTCTTAGAGATCCGGCCCCTTACTTCAGAACCACCATAACATGGTATCCTTCAAGGACAAGGAGATGGTATTCTAACTACATCCTCATCCAGCTTTCCATCCAAAGGTGGTTTTTCAGTTCCATAGTAACCAGGATATCTTCCTAACGGTCTTCTATCTGAAACCACATGCCAACAGAGAAGAACAGAGGTTCCACTTGCTAGACATCAGATGTGCACTGGTTTTCTACATAGAAACAACTAAGCCATTTTAAGCCATTCACTCAACCATTCATGTCCTTTGCAGACAGGATGAAAGGTCTTCCCGTCTCAACCCAGAGAATTTCATTGTGGATCACATCTTACATCAGCACATGCTGTCACCTGGCAAAGTCCCTGCCCCGGCTGCCCTGACAGCACATACATACCACAAGGGCCTAAGCATCTTTGGCAGCATTTGTAACACAAGTTCCTATCCAGAACGTTCGTAGAGCTGCAATATGGTCGTCGGTTCACACTTTCACTTTTCACTGCCCCATCACCTAACAGGCTAGAGATGATGCTGGATTTGACTGAGCGGTGTTGCAATCAGCAGGTCAATAAACTCTGAATCCTCCACTTGCAACTGCTAGAGTCACCTACATTGAAATGGACATGAGCAAGCACTCGAAGAAAAATAGTTACTAACCTTTCCATAACTGTTCTTTGAGATGTGTTGCTCATGTCCATTCCAAGACCTTCCTATCTACCCCTCTGTTGGAGTTGGCCAGCAAGAAGGAACAAAGGGGGTTGTGGGTCGGCAGGACCCTTCATACTGGTGCTATGAACGTGTGACCACAGGGGGCACCAAAACCGACCCAATGGATACCTCTGAGGGAAAACTTTCCAGAGGCGATGCTCAGGGTGAGCACACACCTACCTACATTGGAATGGACATGAGCAACAAATCTCTAAGAACAGCAGTTGTGGAAAGGTTAGTAACTGTTCTTTATGTTCACATATTTAGTAAACATTATTCTCTCAATTTGGCTTCCTGGGCAGATGTTAGATAGCACAGCAGTGCTTCAATCACTATTCAGTTAGGAGTCTGTTCCCTCTTTTAGGTTATTTTAAGTACTGTTTATAAAACTACCCGTGAGTGGGAATACACATAGCCATTTGAACAAGAAATGAAGGTTACTTACTTGTAACTGGAATTCTTTGAGATGGCTCTGCATATTCACACTTTCCTCCTGTCTTCTGCTCGCTCTTAGGGTCCTATTGTTCTGTATTTCTGGGTTGGTGGCGGAAGGAACACAGGTGGTAGAGGGCGCTGCACCCTCTTATATAGCCTCATCCTTAGAATATTGAGAAATGCGGAGAGGAGTAATAGGGAGGGTTGCGTGAACATTCTAACGGACACTGCTTGGAAAAGGTTCTACTATTAGGCACCACTAGGAGGCGCAATACCCATAAGTGTGGGTAAGCGGAGCCATCTCAAAGAACTCCAGTTACAAGTAACCTTCACTTTTTTGAGACTTTGGCCATTAGTATATTCCACAATCCAGCCTCCTTCCCCTGTGCTGTAGAGTCTTGTATAGTTGGAATTCTCTGGTGGTGAAGGAACTAAGTGATGGTTGGCCCACTCTGTATGCTGTTGGTAAGGGGCATGAGAACACTTCGGGCATGTGTGCCTCCCAATGGACGCTGCTGGACAAAAGACTCCGGTTTCAAGTTTCTGGAGCGCACACAAACGATAATTGGAATATATATGTGGACAAGACGTCTTTAAGAACTCCAATTACTGTACATATAAGTAATTCTTTCCTTTGTTCATTTAAATAAAGGATACATGATTTTGCTGCTAGAGCTCCTGATTCAGAAAGATACTTAAGCATATGCCTAACTTTAAGCAGGTGCTTAAATTCTTATATTGAATCGGGAAGAGTTATTTGATTAAGGGCTGTTTTCATATGTACCACATTCAACAATCCAAATGAAAAAACTAGTTGATTTTTGTATGGGAATTTTCTAATATACAATTAGCTCTATATTTCCAGTTTTGAACAAAGCAAGTGGGAAAGTGAAGGTTGGGTGCCGAGTACATGAGGTAACTTGCTAGTGAGTAGTGAAGTCAGTAGGGAATTTTGTGTATCTCTTAATGGTTCATTTCCAGGCTTTTTAACATTTGGCAATAATTAACGAGATTATCAGTGTCAAGAATTGGTTTTCTGACCTTGTATTTAATAATCATTCATTTAAGAGCTGCTACCCATTTGAGGGAGGAATTGACAATCTTGCTAATCATAAGACTAATGTCCAGCACTGCAGAGTGCATTGAAGGACTACCAAGTGAATTCTCTTTAGTCCTCTTCATTCAGAAGGATTGTGGTGGTGACATGCAGCTTGGGTGAGGTGGGATGTGGAAATCACTTGACTGAGGTTAATAGATTTTTCCAGATGCGTATTTGTCCGCTGAATAAGTGGGATTCTCTTTTGTGTATGCACGGTATTGTTTAGCAGCTGTGCAAAATTGCATGGATCCTAATACCGTCTATAGTATATGCGTGTTACAGCAAATAGGTTAGTAGCACCAGCCCAAATGCAAACAATTATTTTTTTTAAAGTTCAGGTACTGGTCAATGTGCAAATGGATTTGTCAGGATTTGTCTGTCAGTTGTTGATGTCTTGGCATTCCTCAACAGATTAAACATAACATTTTAAAAATACATTTTGAATTGTTACCAAAGATATGAAACGCATATTTTAGGTGTCTCCTGCTAAATCTTAAAGTACTTTTTTTTTCAGTTTGACACTACCGCTACAGCAGTTATCTTGACTAGGTTAAGTACGAGAGAGAAATATGTACAGCTGTTAAATGGTGCAGATACAATAGAAAGCAGGTAACTAAGTAATTTTGCAACAAGCATACTGATGAATAGAACAAACAGAATGTATTTTCTTGTTCTTTTGGCTTATCATCCCATGGATTATAAAAGACAGGTTTATGGGGAAATCATACAGAGGTACACCAGAAGTGGAAACTTCATTTTATCTGTTCAGTATCTGTGAGAATACTAATCAACAAGAAAACCAAATAATATTTAGATGTAATCACAGAAGCTTTCTTGTAGTATTTTTTTTAGAATCAGTTTTTAATTCAGAAAAATAAATTCTGTAGTTTGGGCATCTATCCTGTAAATTTAAAACACCATAGAAATCTACCAAACACCCCAATCCTGAGCCCACTCCCTTTCCAGTAGTCCAAGAAAAAAAGATGAACTTTGAAGTGTTCCATATGTGATGGGGTATACCTACCCCGCACTGGGACGAAGGGGATTAACCCCATGCTCTTGTATGAAGAAGCTGCACCCCGTCACTCCTGCTGAGCATGCTCCAACTGGAATCACAGTAAAAGAGGGAGTGGTTCAGCTCAGTCTGGGCTGACTGAGGAGGAGAGTAGATATGTGCTGCAGGCTCCTGCCAGGAAGCTACTGGAGCCCCAGGCTGCAGAGGCTGACTGCGCTGAAGCCACTGCAGATACCCAGTTCACCGCCGAGGATGACAGAGAAGAGTTTGCTGATGCCGGGAGGCTACCAATGCTGGAAGTGAGGGTAGGAAGTGATGCAGGGAACGGAATGATTGCAGAGAGAAACCAAGCCTGAACACAGGAGAATCGGTTCCTCAGGGCCATGGGTCGGGACCCAGTGGAGTAGGTTGGGTCTGAGTCCCCTTGTCCTGCACCATACCCACCACTGGATGAGGTCACCGCCCAAAGGAGCGAGCTGTACTGCCTTGAATCCAAGGGCAGCTATTTAGACTCTAGCCTCTGGGCCACGCTGCCTTGTACCAACTGTCAGCTGTTTAGACTCTGGCCAGTGAGCCTTGCTGTCCTAAATCCCAGGACAGCCTGACTGACTCTGGCCTTTGGACCATACCACCCTGAGAAGAAGGGCAGCTATGTAGACTTTGGCCACTGGGCATTGCTGTCCTGAACCTCGGGACAGCGTGACTGACTCTGGCCATTGGCTCATATTACACTGAGAAGGACAGCTATTTAGGCTTTGGCCACTAGGTCTTACTATCCTGAATCCCAGGGTAGCCCTACTGATCCTAGCCCTTAGGCCATGCTGTCCTGGGAAAAGGGCTGCTATTTAGACTTCAGCCTCTAGGCCTTATGGTCCTGAGGCCAAGGCTTGCCCTGGTGACTTGGGCCACAGGGCCATACCACCCTAAGGAGCTGATTGGGTATACGTGCAACACCATAACATTGACATAAATACTGCTGGCTATTGTCGCACTGGATGTGTGAGATGCTTCACAGTTACTTCAGTTACTGTAAGCAGCTTAATGTTAGAGGTGAGTTCTTCTCACCAGTTCTTTTGGTATATAAATTCTTTTGATTTCAAGTGATTAATCTTGTTCCTAATACCTATGATGTTCCTGTTCTAGCATCCTGGTTTTGTGTGGGGTAAGGAGGTTCTTAAGTTATCCCTGTTTTGAAATGTCTGTCTGTAGAGATGTAGATCCCTGCTAAAGTACAAGTCATGTTCCTTGAAAACAGCAGTATGACACTGAATGAGTTTCTGAGTTTGGAGATTGAGCTCCATGTATTTTTCATTAGCTGGAATACTCCCCATACCTGATACCTAAAAAAGAGAGTTAGGTCTATAGTTCTATCTTAAACATATCAAAGGAAATTGGTTGTAGACACAGGTGAATCGCATCATACATGCATTTAACTTACGTGACTTCGAGTATACGTGCTTGGCAAAAAAAAAAGAAAGAGAAAAATAACAAGATACCTGTAAATAGTGCGGGCAATTTCGCCCACCATTCCACTCAATGCGTGTATGCTCCGGAGTGAGCATGAGATGGACGTGAATCTGCTGTTCCCTCAGTCGGTCTCAGTTCCCCGTGCCTCTCATAGCGTGAGCATCTTGCCACGCTGAGTGTGATTCTAGTGTTTAAAGATACGTATTTTTCATACAACATGGCTCCTAAACGCAAGCCAACTACTTCATCTGGTGCTCAACTGAAGAAACAGCGATCTGTTCCAACGCTGGAGGAAAAACTGGCTGTGTTGGACTTATTAAGAGATGGTATGTCGGTCTCCAACATGGTGCTTAAATATGGCCTCAATGAATCTAGCATCCGTGCCATCAAGATTCGAGAGAGAGAAATTTGTTAAGCCGTGACATCAAGTGCTCCAATAACTGCTAAGGTGATGAGCCAGGTGCGTGATAAGACTTTAGTGAAGACTGAAAAGGCATTAAACTTATGGCTGGAAGACATGAATCGTAAACGTGTGCCTATCGATGGCAACATGTTGCGAGAAAAGGCTCTTAGCCTCCATGCGCTGTTCAAACCTCCTGCCGAAGAGGGACAGCCTTCTGATGAGAAGGAATTCAAAGCCAGCTGAGGTTGACTTAACAGTTTTAGGAACCACTTCAACCTCAAAAACGTGCAGACTACTGGTGAACCTGCATCTGCCAATGAACAGACAGCAAAAGCCTACCCTGAACAATTAAAGAAAATCCTAGAAGAAAAGGGCTATATTCCGGAACAAGTTTTTAATGCTGACGAGACTGGGCTCTTCTGGAAAAAAAATGCCCCACCACACTTACACTTCGAAATCAGAAAGACAAGCCCCTGGCTTCAAAGAAGCTAAAGACTGTTTGACTGTGTTTTGTGGCAATGCATCTGGGCATTTAATAAAGCCGGGCTTGCTCTACAAGCTGCAAATCCCCATGCCTTAAAAGGCAAGAACAAAAATCTCCTGCCTGTGTTCTGGCAATCAAATAAAAAGGCTTGGGTGATGGCAGCATCGCTTCTGGATTGGTTCCACAAGTGTTTCATTCCGGAGGTCAAGCGGTACCTCGATGAGAAAGGACTGACGTTAAAGTGTTGCTGATCGTAGACAATGCTCCTGGCCACCCTGCGGCACTCTGGTTTGCACATAACGACACTGAAGTCATCTTTCTCCCCCCCAATGCCTCCTCCAACCTCTCGACCAAGGCATGATTCACTGTTTCAAGGCCACGTACACGAGGCCTACATTCTCACAGATATGTAGCGCTAGGGATGCTGATCCCAATCTTAATGTGATGGAGAGTTGGAAGTCCTTCAACATTGCCGATTGCATCACTTATATTAAAACAGGCAATGGATGCAGTCAAGCCTGAAAAAGTCGATGCATTTTGACGAAACCTATGGAAAAAATGTGTGAATGATTTTAAGGATTTCCCAACCATTTGATAAAGAAGTGAAACGCATTGTTCAGCTGGCCAGGCAAGTGCGTGGTGATGGCTTTGTCGACATCCTTGAGGAAGAAATTGAAGAATTAATTGAGAACCATAGAGTAGTGTCTCCCAAACTTGGGACGCCGCTTGTTCAGGGAAAGCCCCTGGCAGGCCGGGCCAGTTTGTTTACCTGCCGCGTCTGCAGGTTCAGCCGATTGCGGCTCCCACTGGCCGCGGTTCGCTGTTCTCAGCTAATGGGGGCTGCAGGAAGCGGCGCGGGCCGAGGGATGTGCCAGCCCCCCTTCTTGCAGCCCCCATTGGCCTGGAGTGATGAACCGTGGCCAGTGGGAGCTGCGATTGGCCGAACCTGCGGACGCAGCAGGTAAACAAACCGACCCGGTCCGCCAGGGGCTTTCCCCTGAACAAGCAGTGTCCCAAGTTTGGGAAACACTGCTATAGAGAAACATTGACTAACGAAGAATTAGAGGAACTGATAAAATCATCTACAGAAGACGAAGATGATGACGATGAACAGGAAGAGCCAGCAAGCTGGAATCTTCATAAATTTGAAGTGTTCCAAGCAACGAAACACTTGAATTATTTAATTTTTGAATGCAATCCCTCTATGGAACGAAGCCTCAAAATCACGCGTAGTATTACGGACGATTTGAGACCGTATCAAGAAATGTTTGAGCAGCTCAAGAGACAACAGCGACAGTTGCCGTTCACCATGTTTTTCAAGGAAAAATGACCAGCAGCAGATGAGCCTATGCAATCAACTTCTCAAGCTGAACCAGAGCCAACCACTTGCTCTCTGTCACCCAAGCTCTCCATCACCTCCGTCTCCTGGATCGACATCAAGCTCTGACGACCCCTTGTAATTATCCCTGTAATTAAAAATACAGTCCTGTAAAATTATATTTTGCATATGTACTCTTTATAATATACTGTACATTACTGTATACATTATACATATTACTGTACAGGGTTGTATACACAAAACCATGTACAGTATACTGTACTTTATGGGCGATTTAAGGGATTTTCAAGGGTAATTTTGACTATATGCAATTTTCACCTTACGTCCTGACTTTAGAACCTAACCTCTGAGTAAAATGTGACTCTACTGTATGTGGTGAAAGTATTCAAAAAAACAAAAAATAGAACACAGAAAGCTTCCAGGACATGTCTTTGAAGTTTGATACAAGAGAGATTCCAGAAACACTAGCCTATAATGCTCAATTGATGGAAGGCCTACAGGGAGTGAGAGACATTTAAAAATAAGAACATTCAGAATTACAGTGGAATTTTAAATGCTAAAATTGAAAATCTTATAAGGTAAATCTAGTTAAGACTTAAACTCTGATATTTCCCATAATAACAAGAATATAATAGTTTTGTTTCTTGGATGCCAGTGATGTCCAACAGCCAACACCAAAAATCTGTGTTTCTTTTGCTAACTGGAGCCCATTCCATAACACACAGCTTGAATTCCTGATCATTTAAGTATTTTTTACCTTTTTATACCAAGTACCATAAAAAGCCGCAGCAATAAGTGGACTATTTACTGTAAAATATAATTTATTATTGTTTGTAAAAAAAAAAAATGTTTGATACTTTGATTAATGCTTATTGTAATTTAATTTTATTTCTAATTGATTTACCTTTTGTTCCTTACTAGTTTGCACAAACATCTTGTTGAGCATTTAAATGCAGAAATAGTGTTGCACACCATCACAGATGTGAAAATAGCTTTGGAATGGATACGATCAACTTTCCTATACATCCGAGTTTTGAAAAATCCAGTTCATTATGGTTTGTGGCTTTGAAATTGACTAGAATATGATACTGGATTATATGTCATGTCTAAGATAAAGTAGGTTACAGTAAACTACCTGCATTTTTGGCAAGTAATTTTCTGTTTGTGAGAAATGATAAAAAAAGATTAGTGTTACTTGTTTTCTCTTGTCTTTTATGGGCTGTCATTTCAGTAGGGATTGAAGACAATGAAGTTGTTAAAGGTGACCTGGAACATCTTTAGGAAAAAGCATTTCAACCATGTTAACATAATTAGGAGGCATTTCAACATATTTTAAACTTGTACTACTTTTTCATTAACAGGTCTGCAAAATTTCAGCCTATGATTACCAACTTCCCACTGTGCTGAGGTATCACAGCACACACAAAGCTGGTGGCATATTACCATTGCTTTTCAGCTCTGAGTATTGAGTTTGCCTCCAAGGAAAAGGTAAATCAACTTTTATTTAATATTGAGTGGTTTTTCTTTTTAATATCCTTATTTTATAGAAGATAAAATGAGGATATTAAAATTCAGAAAACTGCTTCATATTGAATAAAAATACATCTATCTTTTCCCCCAAAGGCAGATTTTCTGCTTCAGCACTGATAGTACAGGCTGCTGACCCAACATAAGGCCCAGCATGCCTTATGCCTTATGCCTTTCATGCCCAGCATAAGGCATTCTATGGTACTTAGCAAAATGGGATGTCTATGATTGTGATTGTGGAACAGTTGCTTTGTGGCACTGAAAAAGAAAAGAAATAATTGGTAAATTTAAATCTTTTTGGTTGACATGTTCTCAAGTGATAAGTGTTTGGACATTCAACAGCTGTTAGTAAGGTACTCTTGACTCCTTTTTTTATATATATACATATATATATGTCTGTTTACACTTTAGGATATTGTTAATACCATTGTACTATCATGTGAAAAGCTATATAAAAATAATACGAAGATTACAATGCCCTGCAAAACCAAGGCCATTATTAGTTAAAAGTATTACAATAGATGCCTGTCTCATTGGCACTATCATAATCCAAATAAATTATGTTCACCCAGATTTGTCTTTTGTTTCCTAGTTTGGTAGGAAATGCTCCTACCACATAAGAGATGCTCCTAAATTGTTGGGAGGAGGGAGGTTAGGAAAGCTGCATATTGTTGGAGGAAATTCTAGCTAGGAAATTTTTGCTAGGAAGCTGTGCCGATGACTTTGAGGAACCCTTGCTCTTGTTTATGGCCGATGACTTCAGACATTTTCAAGACCTATTCTGCAAGATTGCAGAGCCCCTGAAGATTCCTTTGGAGAAAATCAAGGATTAGCAACATAAGATGCTTGATATCCTCCACACTTCCTCTTCCTTCAAGATTATACTACTGATCAATGAAGCTCTTCTGGACCTCGCAAAAGAGCTCTTGGCAGATCCCAGCATCCATCCATCCAACTTGCAAACCCGCCGACAAAAAGTACTACCTTCCAGTGAAAGATGCTGAATTTCTATTCTTGCACCCTACCCCAAGTTCTCTGGTGGTCAATTTGGTGCAAGAGAGAGGCCAATACCAACCATGTGCTAGTCATCCAGACAGGGATTGGAAATGCCTAACTTATTTGGACTCAAGGCATATTCATCAGCCATGCTCCAGTTTTGAATCTCAAACTACGAGGCTCTGATGGCTAACTACTTAAACTACTCCAAATTGGAGGATTTCTGTCATGACTTCCCAGAGGCCAAGAAAGAGTAATTTCAGTCCCTAATATTGGAAGGATACCTTCTAGCCTGTACAGCCCTACAAGCCTTGTTAGACTCTGTAGACCAGGGGTCTCAAACTCAATTTACCTTAGGGCCAGTGCCAGTCCTCAGATCCTCCCAGCAGGGTCAATAATGTCACTGAAGATGGTGTTCAGAAAAGAAAACATTTATATTGTATTTTTTATTTCAAATTTCTTAGAAATAATAAAACTGTCATACAACTTTATACAATTCTTCACCTCCCAGAGAGTTTTTAGTGTTGGCCAGCCACCTGACAACGCTTCAGTTCTGTCAGTTTGTTGGTGTTTGGCCTCAGTGACTGAGCAGTTGAAACCTTCAGGATTGCAGCAAGGTGTGCATCAGAGAGTTGTTTTCAGTATTTTGACGTGTTTATATTCTTTGTGGAAAAAAGTGATGCTGCCTCCAGGGCTGACTCTGCCCGGCAACTAATGAGGCTGCATCCAGGGCTGACTCTGCCCGGCAACTAGTGATGGTATTTGTGTCCCTCTCCCCCAGCCAATGGGAGCTGTGGGGGGGGGTGGCGGCTCCTGTAGTTGAGATTGCCAGCAGCGTGTCTGCCTGTCTCTCTCCTCCATGGGCCGCAGTAGGAAGGTTCTCGGACCACAGATGGCCCACAGGCCAGGACTTTGAGACCCCCTGCTCTAGACGCTGCTGCCTAATCCATTGCAACTGCTGTGGTCACGAGGCATGCATTATGGCTCCTCCTCTCAGGTTTTCCTAAAGAGTTACAAACTATTGTGGAAGCCTTATCTTTTGAGAGCCGAAAACTATTCTCGGAGCACACAGACGATTCCCTGCACTCCTGTAAAAACTCCCTAGCTACCCTCCAATGTCTTGGCATTTACATGCCTGTACCGAAGAGACCTCCAGAGAAATACCACCTCCCCCCTTACTCTCGATCACCGCAATATACTCCTCAATGGTACTATGACACCCAGGGCTGAAAACAAAGGCCTCCCTCCAAGTGTAAACAACCTATTCCTCAGGGGGCTACCTCTCACACCCCCACACTGAAGCAACAATTTTGAAAGTGTATCAAGGCCCCAAGAAGCCTCCCCCTTTTCCAGTCATTCCTACCATCTTTGAGGTCCCACCAGTTTAGTGACCAACTAGCTCTTTCTCTCCCATCATGGAGACTAATCACCTCAGACAAGTGGGTTTTAGAGATAATTTCAGGAAGGATACTCCATCCCCTTTATACCTTTCCTACCCCCACCCCCCGTCCTTCAGGGACCCCCTCACAAACCCATTCTAGGGGGAGAAATAAATCATCTGCAACTGGAAGCCATAGAACTGGTCCCTTTCCAACACAGGGGTTTCTACTCCCGTTATTTCCTCATCCAGAAGAAATCTGGTGGCTGGCGACACATCCTGGACCTTCGCAATCTAAACAAGTTCATCAAACTGCAACACTTCAAGATGATTACCTCTCCAGTATTATCCCAGCACTGGAACAGGAGGCCTGGTTCTCTGCCCTTGACCTCCAAGACACGTGCTTTTATATTGTACACTCTGCTCACGGACTATTTTTCCAATTTGTCATGGACGACAACCACCACCAGTACAAGGTGCTTCCTTTCGGACTATCGACTGCCCCTTTGGTGTTCTCCAAGGTCCTGGCAGTAGTTGCTGCCTACCTAAGGAAACAAGGAGACATCATCTTTCCATACTCGAAAACTGTCTCCTCAGGACCCCAGCTGAGACCGACATTCTCAGAGCCATCTACAACAATGGATTTGTTTACGAAACTAGGCCTCCTCATGAACCTAGAAAAGTCCACTTTAATGCCAGTACAATACCTGGAATACGGAGTATGTTCATTATGGCCCAAATTCTGCCCTCAGCTACATCTGTAGAACTCCACTGGAGGTAAGTGAGCTGTAGCTCACGAAAGTTTATGCTCAAATAAATTTGTTAATCTCTAAAGTGCCACAAGTACTCCTTTTTCTTTTCTCCTGAATGGTTCTCTGAATTCCTACCACCTCACAGATCCTTGGTCATACTAGATCTGATATCTAATATGCGGGTTTGCCCCCAGACCTCTGCCAGAACGTGCCTCCAACATCTAGGCCACATGGCAGCAGTCACTTTCATGATCAGGCACGCAAGACTACACATGCAATGTTTTCAGGCATGGCTCCATACAGAATATCACCCCAACAAACGCAGCCTCCAGAAACTCTCTTATCCGTGCGAAATAAGAGTCAAGGACTCACTACTTTGGTGGATGGAGCCCAACAATGTCTGTGTTAAAGTTCCTTTCCTCCAACGACCACCGACCATGATCTGAACAACCGATGCCTCCCTAATCAGTTGGGGAGCACATCTACACAATCACACGGTGCTGGGCAGATGGTCGTTAACCAAATCCACTCTACACATCAACCTCCTAGATCTATGAGTGGTCCGCGATGCCTGCTGACATTTCTTCCATCTCCTTGAACATCACACGATCAGAGTCATGACGAACAATCTCGCCTGTATGTTCAACAGACAAGGTGGAGCATGTTCTCACTCTTTATGGTCAGAGGCACTCAAATTGTGGAACTGGTGTATCCAGCACAACATCACCATTTCAGCAGCATACCTCCCTGGATACCAGAACATCACCGCGGACACATTGAGCTGGAGATTTTCCCAGGATCACGAGTGGCAGCTGGATATGCGAGCCCTTCAGCCCATCTACAATTGATGGGGATGTCCTATCATAGATCTTTTTGCTACAGCAAAACTCCCTCAATTCTGTCCCAGAGCAGGACTGGGACACGGATCGCTGGGAGATGCATTCTTCATTGCATGGAGTACACCACTCTTCTGTGCCTTCTGTCCATTTCCTCTCCTATTCCAGGTACTTCACAAAATACAGGAAGACCAAGCTCACATCATTCTTATAGCTCCAACATGGCCGTGACAGGTTTGGTATATTTATCTCCTTCACATGATAGACTGCCAACCAATCTCTCTCTGTCCAACACCACAGCTCCTTTCACAGGACGTATCCTCCATCCCAATCCACAGACACTCCCCTTCAAAGCTTGGCTCCTCCATGGTTCCAGGATTCAGAAATAACCTGTTCGGATGCAATGAGATACTTTTGAAAAGCAGGCGTGACACAACGAGACACACTTACATTCACAAATCGACTAAATTTCAATGCTGGTGAACCTCCCACCAAGTTGACACAGCATGTGCTCTGCTAACATTTATCCTGGACTACATGTTACACCTTTAAACAACCAGGATTATCCACCAGTTCCATTCAGGTACACCACGATCAGCTTCAAAAATGGAACACTACATACTTTGAGGACCACACCCTGAAAGAAATCTTTCCCAACCCCCCACTTCTGGCCTTCAAACTCCCATCCAACCTCACCAAGCTCATCATCAGAAGCAAGCTCCCCACAGTCCAGGAAACACCACCTGAAAGCAGTGCCAGACCCTGCCAGAACAATAGATGTAAAACCTGCAGATACATCTCCACAGCTATGATGATCACTATCCCCCCAATACACTTTTCAAGAGCCATTTGTCCTACACATGCCTATCACACTATGTGGTGTACCTGATCCAGTGTATCAAATGCCACAACAACAACTATGTGAGTGAAACCAGCCAATCACTATGCTCTCAAATGAACTCCCAAAGAAAAACGATAAAAGACAAAAAAAAAACCCTATCACGTGTAAGCAAACACTTAAGTGATAGCTCTATATCTGACCCCTCAGGCCTCATCATCAAAGGAAACCTGTAAAACACCTTCAAAAGATGAGCCTGAAAACTTTAATTCATAATTCTTCTGGACACTAAAAACAATGGACTTAACAAAGGCACTGGTTTTATGGTTCATCACAATTTTTAACGAACTCTGCTGCCTACTAACCCTCCTTTGTCCTAAAACTGGTGAGGTGTTCAGTGTCATCTTCATTTGAAGTGGTCTCCTACAACATTAGTCTGAACAATCTGTCCAACCTTCTATGTAGCTGTGACACTCTGGTTACCGTTTCCAGACCTGAGTAAGGAAGATCTCTGTGAAGCTCAAAAGTTTGTCCCCTTTACCAGCGGAAGTCGATCCAATAAAATACATTATCTCATCCACCTTCTCTCTCATATCTGGGACTAACACAGTTACAACAACACTGCAAACTTAAAATGGATACTATTTCATATATATGCAGAAGTTGGTCCAATAAAATATATTACCTCACCGACCTTGTGCCTCCATTTTAAATGTCAATTAGTATGAAAGGTACTTAAATTGACATTTTTTTACAGTCAGTAAATTGTTTTGGTAGACAGTAATGTTGAAAATTAAATGCATGATTGTATTCATTTAAAAGGCCATTTTGCCTTTTCCTCTAGGTTTTTCATGTGGATTAGACACAGTTGGAATTGAAGCAAAATTACAAGGTCAGTGCCTTTTCACCTTTCTGAGTACAACATGACATTTTGGCCCAGATTCTTCCACCATATCTGAGTAGCTCTGTTCATTTCCGTGGAACTACCGATGGAGCAAGATACTATTCAGTGAGATTAAGGTTGGCTGACTCTAGCCTTTTGTGAAGTGTTAAAGCAACACTATTACTTTCATTTAACTTGCAAGCTATTCCATATCAGAAATACTGGGCTTTCCAAATATGGTTCTTTTACCCCCCCAAAAAATTTCATAATATGGAGAAACAATAAATACTCCTCTTCCCAAGTTCTTGAACACATACACAGGTATAGAGCTTCTTGTATATCCTGCTCATAAATCAGACTTTGCATACAGTTAGATTCATTTCATTTTGAATGCTTTTCATTTTCCTTTCTTTTCTTCCATTGATTTGTCATTTGATTTAATTTCTTTTTACATTCTTTCAAAATTTTCTCTACAGAAATTTAATATCAGATTTCCTCATTCCACAAATTGGGGTAACTTAAATACCTGCAGCTTTCCCAAAAGCAATTTAAAAACTGCATGCTTGATGCACATGGGGCAGCATTAGTAGAGACTGTGGGGGAACTTCATACTGCCTTGTATTATAGAAAACTTTGCATCAGGCCTCCTGACTCCCTGAGGAAGGTGGGAGGAGAATTTTGTATAGGTCAAGGGCATGGTATTTTATGGCCAGTGGGAGTGTATCCAGTGAGCTATAGGAGGGCCTTATATGCTATTCTTTCACGATACTTATATTGGTGGCTGTGATTTGGCTATGTATACGGTCTGGCTGGTTTAGACTGAGGATTCCATTCCCGAGGACTATGAGATTTTTCACATGGAGCAAAGCCCTTTAATGCATATTCTACTCTATTGCTAAAGATTTAGCATTTATTGCTTGATTTATTCATTCTGTTTCGGTATGCCAGAAGAAATCTTACACATCTTGCAAGATTTATATGCATAAAGTGCTCCATACCTTATTTAGTCATATGTCAAATCTATTTGATTTATTGGGTCTTCTAAGAATTATTTTGCTATGCTAAAATGGTTCTAAGCTTGTTTATACATTTATTCATATAGCAAGTAGATAAAGCAATGCCAAGAAGTAAGATAATTCAATCAAGCAATTAAGGGACCTTGTATGCTGTATTGTTGTTAAAGTGGACATGTAGCATCTGACTTTGCAAATACAAAAAGATCAACTATATTCTTCAGTTCTCAGGTTTTATAGAATAGTCTTTAACTATTACTTAAAGAATTTTTAAGAAGATGGTTTTATCGTGGCTTGAACATAAAATAAGTATTTACTTTAGGGCTCTTTAAATATTAAAATTACTTCTCAATTTATGACAATACCATCAAATTACCCAGATGAAACTCAACAGTTTAGGGGTCAGCCCCTCCCATCTTTAAATGATAAAAACAAACATGCTATACTTTCTTTCATACTGTCTACAACATAAGAATTGTATGAAATACAAAATAAGTATGCTAATAGAACATTACTTGCCAAGATTTTAACTGCACCGATCTGGAAATTCAACTTTATTATTCTAACGGATATTGTAACTCAGCCCTCTTGCACATATGCAGTATTTTGTAGTAATGTATATTCTGTTAATTATAATTATGTTCATATATATGTGTGTGTATGCAGTGTGGATGATTTGTGGTTGCTATGGGAACTACAACTTTGAGTTTCTTCCCATGTTTGCATTGAAAAATCTCAACATTGTATTAATGTCATTTTTGCACTTAATTTTCTTGGTTTTGAAAGAGATAAGAACAAAGGAAACACTTTGATCATCATTCAGTATCCACTGCCAGTGACTACATAGGTTCATTTGAATTTGTAACCATTGAAATAAATGCAGGCACAGTTACTATAATGTACATATACGATTAAACAATCACACGTGCATTTGAATAGCCATGCCTTGCTACGTGGTTAAAAATTAGTGAAAATATTGTATTGTGTTGAGTGATTACTAGTGAACTCTCAATCTTTTCAGAGCTTAAGCTGACATTTTAAACTTCTCGCATCTAGTTTCTTTCACGCTTTCTACAATTTTAAAATGAGGTTGGTTGGTTTGTTTTCGTTGAATGTATAGTTGAGCTTGAGTCTACCCCAGTGAATTTAGTAAGAATTTTTGCCACTGACTTCAGTGGGAGAAAGATCACGTGCTTAGGTCTTCCATTGCGTTAAGTGGAATTACTCCGGTTTTAGACTGATGTAACTTAGACCATAATCTCTTCCTTAGTATGTACAAAAATATCGTATTTTTTTCCTGCATGTTCTAAAGATAAATTTCTCTTTTCAAACTCTGGACAGAATTGTGTTTGAAGAATTTGAACGATTTGTCATCTCTTGATTTGATCAAGATGGATGAAGAATTTAATTTCAAAACTACAGGTAACATTTACTTCATAATATAATTTAGACTATAGTATTGAAAATATATTTATAAGGTTTAAAAATTATTCTTGATTTGAGTTTATCATAGGACATACTAAAGGGCACAGCGATTGGCCAGTGAACAGAGAACCATTCAGGAGAAAAGAAAAGGAGTACTTGTGGCACCTTAGAGACCAACAAATTTATTTGAGCATAAGCTTTCGTGAGCTACAGCTCACTTACCTCCAGTGGAGTTCTACAGATGTAGCTGAGGGCAGAATTTGGGCCATAATGAACATACTCTGTATTCTATTATCTGAACTGAGTTTAATTTAGCAAATGATAGAAGTTGTATTCTTAGGACCATATACAGATCTGGATCCCTGTGCAAATCCTCCTATTAAATCACTGGAAATTCTGCTGTGGATCAAAAGATGGCCTGGTGGCAGTGATCTATGTATAATAGTATAAGGAAAATAAAAATGCAGTTCTGTTGCTTAGAAGAAGCAAGTATACTACACTTCTCTTTAAAAAATGCAGTAAATATTTTTAATCTTTATCTACAGAGACTGGAAAACTAATGGCTTGGTACTATATTGCATTTGATACAGTGAAACAGTTTTCCACAATTAATGGAACAGAAACTTTATCAGAACTGGTAATTTAATTTTTCTAAGAATATATATATGTATATATATGTACATCTGTAAGTTTAAAACAGAAAGTTGTATTGAAGACAGTTTATATTGTTTTTCCTTACACCAAAGAATTATGATGATCAAGATGTATAAGATGTGTCAAAATGAATTGCAATATTATTTTTTCGAGGGTTTTATTCTCTGAGATCTTCCAATTCTCCCATCTTTTACTCTCCTCAGTTACGTAGCACTGAGTCATCTTACCCTTCTGAATGAAGGAATTCTGAAGCAATTCTGATTATATATAACATACTATATTGTCTTGTGCTATTACTTCCATTATATTTTACTACTAATGACAATTGGATGAAAACAGGATCTGTTAAACAATATTAAATTGTTACAGATCACAATGATATCCAGCTGCATTGAATTTTCAGATGTCAAGTTAAGAACAAATGAGAAGAAAATATTGAACACTTTGAATAAAGACAAGAACAGGATAACTATCAGGTACAAAAACGTCAGTGAATTAATGTACAGAAAGAAAGTATTTTTTAGTTAAAGTGAATAGCAAAAAATCAGTGTGTTTTATTATACAGGTTTCCAATGGAAGGGAAGATAAAAACAAGAGAAATGAAAGTAAACTGGTAAATATTTTGTGTCACATCTCATTGGCTTGAAAATAAAAGCCCTGATCCAAACTCCTATTGACTTCTTTGTGTGCAGGCTCATGCCTTTAGATGCCAAACAATGTTGCTTTTATCTTGAACTTGCCTTTGTTTTTCAATGGAGTCTTTGACTTTTGTTTTATTATATTTTGTTTGCTTATATACTAAGAAATATTTCTTTTTCAGTCTTATTCAGGCTCAATTAGGATGCATTCCTATTCAAGACTTCACTTTGACACAAGATATAGGCAAAATTTTCAGACATGGCTTAAGAGTTACTAAATGTATGTTAAAATTCAATGCATTTTGATATATTTAATAATAAACTGTATTATATTATTAAATATATTTTTTTTCTTTCTTAGGGTTGTCTGACTTTCTGGCATCACGTAAAAACAATTTTCCTGCATTATTAAACTCTTTGATTTTAGCTAAATGTTTCAGGTGCAAACTGTGGGAAAACTCTCTGCATGTATCCAAACAGCTTGAAAAAATTGGTAGGTACCAGAAAGAAGCAGTAATTATAATAGTGTGTCAAAGTTCATCATTAACTTCACTGTAAACTTTTAGAAGATCTGTTTTCTGGACTAAATAAGTCTCCCAACTTTTCATTTGCCAGAATCATGGTAAGAAAGACTGTTGCAAAGATGATTATTTGACAGACCAGTATAAATTCTTTCAGAATTAGTAAATTCTTAACTGGATTAGTAACTAGAATGAAAACTTTTATCTTGGAATAAGAACAAAAATACACTAGAGAAAACATTTAAGGAACTTTTTCCAGAGACTTTATAGTATCAGATTCATGTTTATAAAGAAAATTTAACTATCCGGTCTCTTGGCAGAAACAACTGATATTTGAACTTTTAATTAAATCTTTTTGTAATTTGTGATGTACCCTGCAAAATACTGATTTTCTACTGCTTTGCTAATAATGTACACAACCCTGTCCTATTACATTACTGTTTTTCCTCAATGGTACAGTCTTTTCACTGAAAATCCACACACAGGGCACTTTCAAGGATGACATAATTGTGACAAATGTAGTATGTTAATGATGTCTGAGAGGCTTTAAGACAACTTATTTATTTACCTAATAGGAGATTACCTACAAAATAAATACAGGACTGACGCTGCTGTAATCTAACCTTGCTGCCTGAGTCTCTGCAGCTGATTCTTGGCGCTGTGTGGGAGACAGGAAGAGTGGTACCGCATAGAGTCCTACAGAATGTGGAGCAACTTCTTGCTACAGTTTGGCTCTTTAGGATACACCTTCTATTTTAAAAAAAACTCACCATATTCTCTAACTGAACAAATTCTATCAGTGATTTAACATTTTTAATGTTATTTTTACAATTTCAACCAATCTAATTAATCTTCAGCACTTTTCTGTATCTGCAGTAATAGGGGTTTCTAGGCATTTCCATGTCTTAAACAGTCTGTTCACTCTCTTAGAAATAGTCTGAAACACAGTCGATCCATTACAGTTTTTTGTGCTTCCTGTGATTTTTCACATTGCAACTGTGTTGCTCTATAATTGAGTAGTGCTAAATAAATAGCCTTTTCCCCTTCACTCTACAGAGTCCACATTCTTCAAATCTGTTTTCTTGTGCGTAATAGATATCATACTGAATTTCATAAGTTTTAGCCAGATGGATGCATTCTGTATTCGTGAACCGTGGTCCATTGCTATCATCGCAGTCCTTGAAATTCCATGACATGTAAATACAGACTTAGTGATCACGGTTGAAGCTGTGGTATCTTGAAGTATCAATCTGGAAAGTGGTTAAAATAGTCCATTATGATCAGGTGGTCATGTCTTTCCAGGGCAAACAAATCCATTCCGACTTTGCCTTCGAGTACTGCAGGTTGTTCATGTGGTATCATGTTTCTTTCCCCTTGTGTATCTCTGTATTTCAGGCAGGTTCCCCACTTGCTCATTATTTCGTCCACATCACTGTTTATATGTGGCCAGCATATTACTTCTGCTCTTTTTTTTTTAATTTAGTCATTCCAAGGAGTTTTGGTGTGGGACTTAATTCTCATTTACAATAAGATCCCTTTACAACGCACTGGGAGTGGGAGTAATGTACTTTGTAAAGTGGCCCTCATGTAAACGAGAATCAGGTCCATAGTCTTTCCAGTATTTTCCTTCTTATGACTATGGAAATTACTGTTTTTGTACACTTCATGAGTACTCCCAAAATCACTGAGAGGTTCATTTTTATATGGCGAATATGATGTGTGGTAGCATTTGACTCCATCCAGTATTTAGAGCATGTATTACTGCTTGTATTGTTTCATCCTTAGCTGTTTCTCTTTCCTGCTCATCTTGTATTTGTGGCAAAAGGGCACGTGGTGCTTTTATCGAGTTCACATGAACTGGTAACTGCTTATTCTAGATCATCTATTTGGGAGGTAGCAAAGAGAACATATGCTCTTGACAGAACATCTGCAATTACTAGATGATGTCCTGGCCAGAACTATAGCATTAAACTATACTTTTACTGCAGTGTAGACAGACCATGAAAGTATAAAACACCTGCAGCTGGCCCGTGGCAGCTGACTCAGGCTCGGGCTGCATGGCTAAAAATTGTAGATGTTGGGGCTTGGGCTGGAGCGGGTCACAGATGCTGGGCTCCAGCCCGAGCACCAACATCTACACTGCGGTTTTATAGTTCTGCAACCTGAGCCCTATGAGCCCAAGTCAGCTGCCATGGGCCACCTGCAGGTGTTTTATTCCAGTGTAGACATATACACAGAAGTAACTTCTATATTCTTCTTTAAGTACTTTCTTGTGTGTTGTATTCAGCGGGTTAAGGTCAATTTCAGCTCCTCAGCTACAGTTGTACAGAAAATTGTGATACTTTGTACAGCCATATAAAAGGCCCATATATTTCTCTCTTTCAGTTTCCTCTTGTAGGTTTTTCTACTGCTGTCATAGCTCTTGCAGCATATCTTATTGACAGCCATTCATTTTCATGCCTCTATAGCAGTAGAGCTTCTAGGTTCCTTTTGAAGATACTCTTTCGGTGGGTCAAACAATTGCCAAATTAGAGTTGATATCAATACTTTCTTCAAATTCTTGAATTCTTTCATACTCTGGCAGCTAACTCCATTTTTTATCTTTGTGAAGTTAGTTGAGTTATTTGAACTACATAGTTGGGTGTGAATTTACTGACACAATTGAACATGCATTGTGGTCTTGGATATATTTATTTTTATTAAAATTTTGGGTCTCTGTATGTCAGTGTTGCATGAATCTTAGAAACTTCAAGCTTTGTGGTCAATTTATCTCATAAGTGTGTGATTTTCTATTTATTTTTTTAATTGACATTTGGCCTTGTTCAATTTAGGACTGTTCTTAATGCTTCTTGCACTTTCTAGTACCCTCCACATTTCTCCCTGATATTCAGCAGAAATGCTGCTTCAGGCTATTATATCCAATGCCAAATTTCTCCTCACTTCTTCCGGCAGGCAGGATTATGATCAATCACCATCCAGGATTTTTTCACCTCTTCTGTTTCTTCAGTTTTTTAGCTGCTTCACTCAGGGTAATATGCAAAAAGGCAATTTCTATGTCTGCATCTTGTTCTATTTGTCTCCCAGCCGGAGAATGAAACAGAAAAAGTGGGAAAAAAACATATCCTTATAATAACGTTTTTTCCTTCCTTCTTTGACAGAACCTCCCACTACTTCAGCTAGGCAGTGGCTAAAGCAAGTTCAGGAGCTGTGACAAACAAAATTTGTCAGCTAGTCCACTTCCTTAAAGGGGATAAAAGCTCACCCAAGAGGGTAGAGACATTTGCTGAAGTAACAGCAAACTAATAAAGTGATTGATGTGGTCTCTGGGGCTGCAAAAGACAGCCTGAACAAAGTTATCACAAAGGGGAGGGAAGTCTGTCTGTTAGAGGCTCTCCCTAAGTCAGACCTGGAAGAGGTGCTTCAATACTTCATTGAGGGAAGGGATCTCCACAAGCCCCTTCCTTTACTCTTACCTATGAAGTTCTTGACACAAACAAAGAGTCCTCCTTGGCTGCTAAATCTTACCAGGAGACTAACCTTTCCTCCCAGAAGTTATCTAAAAAGGCTTGAGGGCTTCTAAGTTGCTTATTCTTAGCCTTCTTTCACTGTTCCTAGAAAATTGTGATGAATGCCAATACTTTTTCTTCTAGTGCTGGTCCCTATGTGAATTCCACACATGGGTACACTTGAGTACCATGTGCCCAAGTCCAGAGGTTTTAACAAGCTGTGTCTGTTGCCTCACACTCGTGCAGTAGGTCTCCTTGTTCTCCCAAATGAGGGTATAAGAAGCGTGTGGGTCAGTGCCCCTCCATTCCTTGTTACCACTGCATGGCTTGAGGCAGAATCCATAGCCCTCTCTTTCTTCAGCTTTTCAGAGAACCTGTAAATAAAATTGTAAATATTTATTCTTCCTAGATTTAGTAGTTATAGTTTTAGTGTATCTTTCTTCCCCTGACTGGGGATTCCCTCCCCACAGTCTGGGACTATGCCCGGAGTCCTGGGCTTCAAAAACTGTGTCTTCTGCCCTAGATCCTTCTCTGTTACTGACAAACAGCAATGCTATCTCTACTGTCTGAGTGAGACACATATCTCTGCAAAGTGAAGTATTTGTCACTTGTTTCCACCAATGCCTTGTAGAGCCTATGAGCTTTGCCTTAGGAAACACTTGATGGAGAAGGCCATGAGGCCCCTTTCCAGTCTGGGCCAGGGAGACATACGTAGGAGCGGAGCTTTTGGCTTCTAAGCCCAAAGACCCTTCAGGTCTTGTGTGTAAAGGGCACTGTTATGGGCACAAAGACCCTTCAGGTCTTCCCATGTGTGTAAAGGGCACTGTTATGGGCACAAGGGCAGATCCCCGTCGAGGACTGTCCATAAGAGACATGATCCTTCCCTGAGTCCACTGAGGTCAGGTGCCTTCCCCAAGAAACTGGCTCCTCTAAAACCTCCTAGATTGCAGGGTAAAGTGTGTAGGAAGAAGGATCTGACATTTCCATCAGTGATTCTGTCACCAAAGCATAAGGACTTTTATCTGCCAGTTCCATCTACAAGTGTGGGTCTGGACTTCTTGGTTCCTATCTGTCCACCCAAAGTATGTACTACACCCAGGGACACGCTGGTATTGTTGGTGCCAACCACTGGGAACTGTTGCACACCGGGACACACAGAGACCTACATGGCACCAGTGGATATCTTTTCTACTTGCAGTCCCCCCTCTTCTCTGGCCCAGCCTTCCTAAGGGACAGATGATACTACTTTGATTTCCCCTTAATCCTCTCACTTATAGCCATCAGGCAGGATTGCCCTGGTACTGATGTGTCTGCCATTTCAACAAGGCCAATCTTCAGATTCATGCTGGCCCCTCTTACATCCCTCCTGGAGAGAGTCGAGCCCAGACAGGCAATTCAGGACTTACGGCCACTACCCTTATAGAGATGACTTCCCCAGAGACCGTGCCATAGGGTCCCCCACGAACAAGTGGCTCCTCCGTTCTGGCCTTATTGGGAGCCGTGGGATCCCCGTAACAGATGCCTGGGATCCACTTAGGAGTCTTTCTGCTCTTCTTTCACCAACAACTGGATCTGTGAGTGTATGAGGAGGATATTGAGCCAGAATCACAGGTACCAGCAGTTCAACAGGATTTCCTCCTCCTATCCAGATGAGGTAGTCTCTCCTCCATCCCCACCGAATAACCATAGGCAATACCAGGAGTTGCTGCAAAGAGTGGTTAGCAATCTCTAGATACCTCTGGAGGAAGTCCAAGACCCATACCACTGACTGCTGGACATTCTGCAGCCTCAGGACCAAAGTAAGATGGCCCTCCCAGTTAACGAGACCATATTGGAACTGGCAATATCAATCTGGCACAGCCCAGCATCCTGTAGCCCCACACCTAGGAAGGCTGAGAGGTACTATTTCATCTCAGAAAAGGAAGCCGAATTTATGTAGACTATTGGGCACTAAGCCAGGTGACATTCCATAACTGGTATCCCCCACCCTTCATCTTCGAGTTACTAGAACATGTGCACTCTACCAGAATTTTCACCAAACTGGGCCTCCGGGGTGTTTACAATCTAGTACACATCCTCTGTGGGCACTTTGAATATTTAGTAATGCCATTCAGTCTGACCAGTGCTCCAGAGATCTTTCAGCACTCTGTGAACAATGTATTTAGAGACATCCTGTAGCAGTATGTAGTCATCGTTCTTGATGACATACTTATGTTTTCAGATAACCCTGATCAGCATTGTTACCATTTGATTCCATGCTGGAAAAGCTATGAAAGTATAGGCTGTTCATGAAATTGGAAAAAGGTACCTTTGATCTGTCCTCCACAAAATTCTTTGGATACATCCTTTCTCCAGATGGATCAACAGAAGTTAGAGGTCATCCGCAGGGAGGCAACGCTCTGATCCCCCCCATGAGTTACAGCTTTTTCTGGGCTTCTTGAATTTTTACCAGAATTTAATTCCGGGCTTCTCAGGGCACATAGCCCCCATGAGCAACCTCCTCTGCAAGGCCATCACATTTGTTTGGACACGCAAAGCTGACCATGCTTCTGAAGAGCTCAAAGCTGCTTTCACCACCACTCCCATTCTAGCACACTTGGCCCTCACCCAGGCATTCAGAGTGGAAGCCAGTGTCTCCAGTGTAGTCATTGGAGCCATACTGTCTCAGAGACATGGTCCACAGCAAATGTTACACCCCTGGTCCTACTACTCACCCCTGCCAGATGGAATTATGATACATTAGATAAGGAAATGCATTAAATCAGCCTTTGAAGAGTGGTGCCATAACCTCAAGGAAGCCCAGCGCCCAATGCAAGTCTTTTTTGATCTTGAATATCTGAATGCGGCTCGAGCTTTAAACCAAAGACAGCTCAGGTAGGCATTATTCTTTCTCCAGTTTGATTTTTGCCATCACCTATCAACCAGGAATGGGAAAGCCGATGGCATATCCTGAAAGGGAGACTATTGCTAAGAGAATGCGGAGCCTAATCAAGAACCATCCTCTCTCCTAAAACCTCACAACTTCCTTAGTGCCACAATACACCAGAACTTGCTTCATCTAATCCGATTCACTTCACAGGGCAATTTGTTAGCTCAGGAGGTGATGGAACAGCCTGAGCAAATGAGACCCAGAACAAAAATGCAGTTCTCTACAGCGGATAGGATCACCTACATCGATGGGCACATATACATTCCACTGAGGCGCCCCTGGCTAGAACGGCTACTAACACCCATCTTTGCCATGAACCTCCATTGGGTCCACACACCTTCCCATTTCTCCTGGTGGCCCCATAGGTAAGCTGAAGTCCAGGATCACGTTGACTCTTGTGACCAGTGTGCTCATACCATGGTTCCCCTTGATGCTAGTACTCCAGAGACTCCCCCTAGACCCTGGGCCTCCGTCACCCTGGACTCCATAGTGCAACTCCCTTCCTCTGGCCACACAGTCGCCTTAACTGTTGTAGACCAATTGATCAAAATGGTGCATTTCATCCACTGTATCGACCTAACCTCTGCTGAAACAATGGCTCGATTCCTAGCAGTTCATGTGATCCATCTTCATGGGCTTTTAGACTGTAGCACTTTGGACCAAGGCCCTCAGCTGGTCTTATGCTTTTGGCATGAAGCCCTCTGTCTAATGGATGTTCACACTTTTATTTCCTCCATGTACCACCACTAGACAGATGGGCAGAGAGAGAGGGTGAACTAAGTATTAGAGCAATACCTACAGTGCTTGGTTAATTACCATCAAGATAACTAGTTCTCCCTCCTTTTTTATGCCGAGTTCTCATACAACAATGCTGATTATGCCTCCACGAGGCAGAGTGCCTTCTTTGCAAATTATGGGTTCCAGCCTTGCTTTCACCTAGCTGTGCCAGCAGCCTCCCCGAACCCAGCAGCCGGTGACTGAAACCAACAAATTCACCATATACAGGAGAAACTTAAGGACCACCTTGAAGATGTGAAAAGGAACTACAAGTATGCAGTTGTTGACACCAGGAAGACCCAGCTCTCATGATGGGTCAAAAGGTCTGGCTTGCAGCAAAACACCTCTGTATGAATAAGCCATCCCATACGCTAGACCACCAGTTCCTCAGACCCTTCCGGATTTGTAAGCAAATCAACCCTGTCATTCAAATGGCAGCTCCCTCAATCTCTTGAAAGTTATTAAGTTTTCTGTGTATCCCTCCTGAAGCATTACAAGATGGACCCCTTTCTTGATTGGTCCCAACAGCTGCCCCCACCAGTCCAGGTCCAAGAGTATTTAGTCCATGCTATCCTGACTCTAAACTGCAGAGGGGGAGAGACTGTACTACCTAATCAATTGAGAAGGCTAGGGTTAGGGTTAAAACACTCTGCGGAACCTGCTGTCCATGTCCATGCCCCTGACCTGCTAAAAAGGTTTCATCAAGACCCCTCAGATAAACCAGGCCCAGTGCCCATCTGGAGGAAGGATGCCTCTGGAGAAGGGGATGATATAAGGATACAGGGACTAGAACCCAGGTCTTAAAAATGTAAGATGGCTGACAGTCTCACAGTGCTACCAGGAGGCCCTGCAGAGCCCTAGTCAGGAAGCACCATGAAGAATAGGTGCTGCAGGAAGTACTGCCCAGGAGACCCCGAGTGGCAGTACCTTGTGGCCCTCTGATTGTTCAACCACCCTATTTAACCCTGGTGGTTGTCCCAGAAAATTTTCTGGACAGCCACACAGACTTTGGGCCTGCTGCACTCCAGACCTCACCTCGTCTCCTGATTCTGGTCTCCAATCCCAGCCTGACCCTTGCTTTTGCCTCCTGACTCTAGCCTGGTAGCACCTCTGATATCCAGTCTCCGATTCCAGCCTTGTACTACCTGTGGTCTCCGATCCTGGTCTGACTTTGATCCTGACTCTTTGTATTGAACCCAGCTCCAGTGATTTCCTCCGACCCCTGTTCACTGGTTACCCACCCTGATGTGTGGACCCCAGCCCAGCTGTGACCGCTAGATCAGACTGCCTATGCCCTGGTCCCTTACAACACATTTGCTAGACATGCACTAATCCAGGCTTCTGCTGCAGGTTCAGCAATGGGATCTGCAGTACCGCAAGCGTCCTTGCTGCCTGCTTCCTCACACCCACCTCCAGTCTGAGCTCAGCTTGCCCAGCAGCCACATGTGGAACACACATAGGGACCAGGACTTGAAGAAGAAATGGAGGTTACGTACTGTAACTGGAAATTCTTTGACATGTGTGTTCCCTATCTGTAGTGCACTACCCGTCCTCCGTCCCCTGTGCTTCGGATCTGATTAGATTCGCAGTAAGGAGAGGAACTGAAGGGGCAACGACCTGCACTGCCTCTTACGCCCTTGCTTGGGAGAACGAGGAGACCTACTGCACATGTGTGGGCTAACGGACACTGCTTGTCAAAATCTCGCACTTGGGCATATGGTGTGCAGCATGCGTAATCACGTGTTGAATAGAGATAGGACCACACATCTCAAAGAACTTCCAGTTACAGTAAGTAACCTCCATTTCTTTCAAGTAGACTTTTCTGTCTCAAGTTATTTATATTCATTCCATAGTTCTAAGGAGGAATTTCCTGATTTGGAATCTACGTGCTGACTCCCAAACACCACAAGGGGAGACTGAGGAATTGGGAATACTTGAGAGGCATGGTTTTTTTTCAGAATTCCCTGCTAGCTTATCCTTTAGTCCAATAGATCACAGAGACTGCCTGTACTTTTCCTGATTCTAATCAGGTGTTTTGCTAAATCTGTTCAGGGACTGTATTCTCCCAGAAGATTTTGGAGACAAGTGGCTCTCCCTAGAGTGGATTTTAGTTATATCTTCCTCCAAAAAAAATATACTTCACAGGGATTTCTAGCATATGCTTAAAGGATCCCCTGGGTAGTCAACAGGAGTCTCTTGCGTGGAAGCTTATTTTATTTCAGTGCCGTGCTGTTTATTCATTTGTGTGCCCACATTAGTTATTTGCTGACTGTTGGAGTTTTTCCTGAGTAAAGCCTGCAGGAATTGGCCCTTGATCTGCCTTTCTTTGATTCTATAACTTAGTAAAAGACATTGTCATTCTCAAATGTTTTATACTTCATTTTATTGCTTTTATGTTTTGTTTATACTGTTGTTTAAATTGAACTACACAGTATTAAATTTTCTGACCACCTGAAGAGAAATAAAATTAACTATTGTTGAAAAGAAAACGTTGACAACCTATTGAAAAAATGTTAGATAAAAGATCTCTTGTTAAAATTACTTATGCTTTATATTTATTTGCTGTAATGCAGTTGTTGAAAGTAATAATTTGGGATTAGGAATTCCATATAAAAATATTACAACATTTTTCAATTTTTACAGGTGTAACACTGTCAAATGCAATGGTAAATGCAGGTCTGACATCGTTTAAAAAAATTGAAGATGCAAATACAAGGGAACTTGAATTGGTATTTAAAATTTTACATGCATATTTATATAAGGAAAATGCTAATGTTTAATACTTAATGAGTTATAGACTCCAATGTTTTAAGTGGTTTATTCTTGTTCAGTATCACACTAGATTAAAGAAATATGCAATTATCTGACAGAGGTCGTTGATTTTTTTCCTGAAGTTGGTTATTAAGTTGACGTTTTGCTTCAATTATAAGTTACATGTTAATTTTACTGACATTTTTGTATTACTATATGGGGGAAGAGAGATTCACCCTAGACCTTTCCACTAACTAAAAGAATAATAGCTCAAATTCAGGAATTTCATCATTATCCTTTTAGTAGTGGAAAGTTATAGAATGAAATCCTGGCCCCACTGAAGTCAATGGCAAAACTCCCATTGAACCTCAGTGAGGCCAGGATCTCACTGCAGATGTGGAAAGATGTGGGATTAAATTTTGCTGGGCTCCTGATGCACAATTTCTTTGGCATTTTTGCTTCTTAAGTGTGATAGCATCCTCTCCCCACAGGTGTAAGGAGCTCTTTGATATCTCCAAATGGTGTGGACTTCATTAATACTCTTGTTTTGCATTTGGGAATTTGTTAGATCTTAATATGCCTTCTCTCCCTGTTTTTTTCCCCCTGGTTACTTGTGTTTCATCATTTAATACATTAAAGTTTAGGACAGTGTAGTACAGATACCTAATGTAGGCGCTAGAGGCAGCTTTTTGAGGTCTGGCTCTACTCTGGAGAGGAGCAGCAGTTTGAAGCATTTCTGGCCTTTTGGTTAGGTTGCTATTCAGGTTACCATTGGAGGTAGGGAGATTGGAATTTTATTTTTTATTTTTTTTTAATGACTCAGGTGGCCTTACTTGGTTCATTGTCCTTGGTTTAAAATTTCTCTCATACATAGTTTTTATAGTATGATAAAATAATAGTAAAGTTGCAAAGTCAAGTATTCCAAAGTCAGAAAATGCCAGAATTAAGATTGCTTGTGCAACCTTAATTTGTCTCCCTTTTGTTTATGCGTTATGATACAATATTTAATTATATGATCACATATTACCTTCTCTGCAGAATCCCTGCCACATTTAGTGCGGTACTGCCTGGCTAAGGCAGGCTATTACCTACCTGTTCTGACAGTGCTGCGCCCTGGAAGTGGCCAACAGCAGATCTGGCTCCTAGGCGGGGGGGGGGTCAAGGGGCTCTGGGAGCTGCCTGAGCACCAGCTCCGCACTCCCATTGGCTGGTTCCCGCCCAGTGGGAGCTGTGGGGGCGGTGCCTGCGGGCGAGAGCTGCGTGGAGATGCTTGTGCACCTCCACCTAGGAGCCGGACCTGCTGCTGGCCCCTTCCGGAGTGCATCGCGGTTTGCAGTGCCGGGACAGGCAGGAAGCCTGCCTTAGCACTGCCGCTGACCAGGAGCCACCCGAGGTAACCCTGTGCCCCAATCCCCTACCCCAGCTCTGAGCCCCCCCAAAATCTGGAGCCCCTTCCTGCATCCCAAACCCCTCATCCCTGACCCCACCCCAGAGCCTGAACCTCCAGCCCAGAGCCCTGACCCCCTCTTGCATCCCAACCCCCTGCCCCAGCCCAGAGGCCCCTCCCACACTGTGAACCCCTCATTCCCGGCCTCACCTTGCAGCCCTCACCCCAGCCCTGAGCCCCACCCACACCCCAAACCCCTCATCCCCAGCTCCTTTGGGTCATGGGCATCAACAGTTTTCTTCAACTGGGTCACCAGAAAAAAGTTTGAAAACCACTGTTCTAGACAATACCCTGCACTACACAGCCCTGATTCAGTCCAGAGGAAGTCCATCCTGTGCACTGAATGAGGCAGGGGTCTCAAGGAAAAGATATGTGGTCATGTAATCCAAGACCATATCGTGAACCATATGCACAAGAGTGCCAAATTAAGATTGCAAAAGATGACTTTTTGTGTGCTTGACTTTGCAACCTTTTTGTTCTGTTAACATAGTTTTTGTTTGTAATTTCCTAGATTTTTTAAAAAGCAAACTGAAAAAACAAATACCATCATGTGTGTTCATATTGACATCCAAATGGTTCATCAACAGGGTTAGAAGCTCTAGATCCCCAGCGCTGACCTCTGCCACTGAAGCCAACAGAGTAAATGATAGCAGATGATAACCTACTCTTGCTATGTGAACCAGCACTAGAGGGGGATAAGACACATTTTACCAGTATTTCATAGATAGTTGCTCTCTTCGCCTGTTCAGTCCCAGTCTCCACACCTCAGGCTTCTTGTCCCAGTCTCCTTGCTCAGCCAGTCCCTCCCTTCCCCCCTCCAGCTCTTAGTCCCAGGCTCCAATTAGTCCAAGGCTCCCCCCAGATCCCAGTGTCAACCCACAACTGCCAGTCACTGTTTCTCTCTCCCCTTCCCCCACTTTCAGCGTCAGTGTCACCAAGCTCCTTGTTACAATCTACTCCTTTCCTTCCCCCTGGTCTGGCTCTTGTTCTTTACGCATTCAAGTCAGGCAGCTTGCTCTCTCATGCTGCCTGGGCTTAGCACAGGGTCCTTGAGTGCCCATGAGAGGCAAGCTCCCTGTTCTCAGTTTTGGTGCCTGATCCTCCCCCCCCTCCCCCCGGCCCATAGCAGATAGGAGCAGCAATTACAGAGAAAGCGTTGTTTCACTCCTGTATTCCTGTGTTCAGGCATGCTCTGTTGCTGTTTGGGCATGGTGCATGCCTAGTTTGGATAGCACTAGGAGCTGTGCGGGGACGGAGCAGTTTGACCAATGTACATGGCAGAGGGGCATTGCTGGCACATGATGGCATATATCACATTGAACCTGCACATCCACCAATGTGATATATGCCATCATGTGCCAGCAATGCCCCTCTGCCATGTACATTGGTCAAACTAGACAGTCTCTACGTAAAAGAATAAATGGACACAAATCAGATGTCAAGAATTATAACATTCATAAACCAGTCGGAGAACACTTCAATCTCTCTGGTCACGCGATTACAGACATAAAAGTTGCTATATTACAACAAAAAAACTTCAAATCCAGACTGCAGCAAGAAACTGTTGAATTGGAATTCATTTGCAAATTGGGTACAATTAACTTAGGCTTGAATAGAGGCTGGGAGTGGCTAAGTCATTATGCAAGGTAACCTATTTCCCCTTGTTTTTTCCTAACCCTCCCCCCACCCCCGGCATTCTTGTTAAACCCTGGATTTGTGCTGGAAATGGCCCAACTTGATTATCATACACATTGTAAGGAGAGTGATCACTTTAGCTTTAGATAAGCTATAGATAAGCTTTAGATAAGCTATTACCAGCAGGAGAGTGGGGTGGGAGGAGGTATTTTTTCATGCTTTGTGTGTATATAAAAAGATCTTCTACATTTTCCACAGTATGCATCCGATGAAGTGAGCTGTAGCTCACGAAAGCTTATGCTCAAATAAATTGGTTAGTCTCTAAGGTGCCACAAGTACTCCTTTTTCTTTTTGCGAATACAGACTAACACAGCTGTTACTCTGATCCCTAACACAAAGGCCACTCTTGCCAAATGTCAATTCCCTGATCCGAAGTCTGGGGGTGATAGAGCTTCTCAAAGAAAAAGTCACCAGAATTCTTTTGACATAAGAAAAAAAGCATTGTTTTGCAAACCTCATTCTTGGAAGAAGATGAACTGTTTTAGCTGAAACATTTACCCTCCTGCCCAAAAAGTTCAGCCTGTGACAGACACCAAAAAATTGAAAATTTCAGCCTAATGGTTAAAGTTTGACAGTTTTAAGTGACTGAAAATAGTGTCTTATAATTGAAAATGTCAGGAAACTTTAATAGGTGGTGCTACTAGCCTATAACATTAGGACAATGTACATTTCCTTAAGGCAGAGGTTCTCAAACTATGGCCCGTGGACCACCAGTGGTCCGTGAACTCAATTCAGGTGGTTCGCAGATAGTTTCCTCTAAGGTGTGCGCCTAGGCAGCTGCACACAAGACAGTGAAGGGCCATCCACCTAATTAGTAGAGTTGCGGAGGCATGGGTCCACAAATTAGGTGCCTGTACCTGGGAGAAGACACATGTAAGGTGAGGTGGTGGCCTTGGGAGGAATAGGGGATAGGTGGGAGAGGTAAGTGAGGTGAGAAGAAGGGGTAGGGGGAATTTGGGATGTGCAGGGGTGCAGCGGCCAGAGAAAGAGGCGACTTTCCCCAGCCCCAGGGGTGCGGCTGCCAGGGAGAGATGGCCCTCCTTCCCAGGCTTAGCTCTGTGGCGGGGAAGAGACCCCCCCCCACCCTCCTTCCCAGTGCCAGCTCGAGGGCTGCTGCAGTGTGCGGGAGAGGGCACATCCATCACATTAGAAAAGTAAGATTACTGATATTAAACTATGAGTTGTGTGCTTTTATTTATAGAACAAAAAAACCCGTTTTTTTTGTTTTGTTTTTTACGGTAGTTAGCTATCAGTACAAACATTTGGAAAGATCATTAAGTGGTCTGCCGAGACCCTCAGCAATTTTCAAGTGGTTCACAAAAAAAAAAAGTTTGAGAACCACTGCCTTAGGGGAACCCCTGTGGATGCTGGGTCATCTAGTAACTTCTTTTTATTGTGGTATTGCCAATCCTGCATCTAAAACAACTCCTTTCTCCTACTCCACAGTAATGTAGAGGAACTATGGTCCTTCCAAAATGACACTAGACGCTCTCGATGGTCCCAAAACACTTATTTGTATGGAATTATGCTTGGACCTCCATATATGTGCTATCTCAGTTTTCTCTCAAGAATAGACCTTACCCAGGACTAGGGTTCCCCCGCCCTTACTCTGAATAGTATAATTTATCAGATAAAGTTGTTCATATTCATTCTAGCATGATCTGATCCATTTTAATGGAGGCAGTCTTCTATAGCATTTTTTTTGTGTGAGCGGAGGGGGTGGGGGACTAAGGAGTTCAGTAGGTTCCAAGTTCCTTGCCTGTTGAGGATTATGGGAGAGGTGAGAGTCAACCTCTGAGAGACTATTCTGCTTGTGGCTGAACAGTTATTGTACATCAGAGCAACTGATATTTTTTTCTTGTCAATTCTTTCCTGGTTGGTGAAGCAATAACTACTTCCAGTTAAGACATTCCTTCATCAGGATGAGGAAAGAAGAAATTATACCATCCCTGGAAAATAATTATCCCTCTTTAATAATAAGTACAGTATTTGCAAATTATGGGCCAAATCTTCAAACGATATGGAAACCTCCAACTTCTTTGATATTAAGGGTAGTTGTAGGTGATCCTGTGCATTCTCTTGTTAAACTTGTTTATTTGGAAGTTATTTTTATTACTGGTGAAACATGATGACTTGTAATATATCAGAAATAAAACTAAATATTTGCAGATTTTAAACAGACATCCTCCTTTTGGAAACCAAATAAAAGAATCTGTGCTACACCTGCCAAAATATGAACTTGGCATTGAACAGGTAAATTCTTCCAATTGCTTTACTGGGTAATGCTTTTTATGATTGTTTTGCTTTAGAATTCTGCTAACATAGTAAAAATAAAATATTTCAATAAAATATTACAATAGTAAATGTGTAAGTTCCACATCGGGGAATATGAAATGAGGCATGCCCTCTTCAACCTTTCCATGTGTTGTTAAAGGCCTGCCCATTTAATTTATATATATTGTGTGTTCCTAACATTGTTCTTTGTGACCTCTCTATGGCCACACTCCACATTTTAGGAAATATTGTCATAAGAAATCAAATGTTCCTGAAACACAAGTTCATTCAAAGACTTCTTGAGTTAGTTGTCTACATTCTACACAAAATATCTGATCTCTTTCTTTTCTTGTTTCTTCTGTTTGTCAGCAACCTTTTTATGTTAAAAGATGCGAAAGGAGACAGTTCACCTATTGATCTAGCTCTTTTGAATATGTAAATCTGACAGCTCTCTTCCATCTTAAATATCAAACATGAGGCAAAAAGAGGTCAATAAGAACTTTTTTCTGTTTTTAGATATCAGATTCAGGAACATACAGAAACAATAGCTGATTAGAATCAAATAATTGATACCATGCATATCAAAGGAGTCATGACCTAATGCTTTGGGTGGGAGACAGGAAATCCTGAGTTCTGATACTCACTCCCTCTGTGGTGTTGGGCAAGTCACTTAACCAATCTGCCTCAGCTTTCTCATCTGCAAAATGTGGATAATAACACTTAATTGCCTCATAGAGTTGTTAAGACAATTAGTTACAGTTTGTACTTTGAAGATGGAAAAACTTGATACAAGTTTAAAGTGTTATGACTATTATTATAATAATGATCAATTCTGTTTTAGTCTGTCATTTTGTAGATTAGCACAAGTACTTGAATAATGTATTAGTAAGTCTAAAATCCTTTTCAGAAGGAAAAGTTAACAATGATAAATGCTGCACAAAGATCGGCCTGCATTATTAAAGTTTTTTTCTCCTATAAAATTGAAGCAAGAAGTATCTAGTTTTCTTGCTTCATCCCCAGACATATTTACATACGAATTAATAGGAGAAAAGGAGGATTTTTCTTGTCTTATTCGGTATTCTTTCCTGTGAAGCTAAGATTTTGACACATGTATTTGTGTCTGATGCATTTTTTGTTTATGCCAACAATAGAGGATCAGTATTTAATGTATTTACTCTTTTTCAGCCAAGATTTATTGTGATTATATTTTAATTTATATAATCCAAATTGGACCCATAATAGCTGATATCAGTAACTGAAAAAAACCAAGACATCTCAAATCAGCATTTCAAATAGCATTATATTGTTTATGAAAAAAATACATACATGTAAAATACACTTTGTTTTTACCATAAGTTTCTCCAAAGCAATTATTTCCCATATTTTCAATAACAATTCTTCAAAATTACGGGCACAGTTGATTTTTCTAGAATTTGGTGATCATGTTACTGTCTTCCATTAACCACTGATTAATCTTTTAAATGGTATAATTAGTACCCAGCTATTAAACTTAGTAAAGGGATACGGAAGCTTTGACTGTTAGATTACCAACGTGAGCCAGACTGAACTATGCAGTGTTGTAGTTGTCAGTCCCAGGATATTAGAGAGACAAGGTGGGTGAGGCAATATCTTTGATTGGATCAACTTCTGTTGGTGAGAGAGACGAACTTTTGAGCTGCTGCTTCTACCAGACCTGAAGAAGAGCTCTATGTAAGCTTATGCTCAAATTTGTTAGTCTCTAAGGTTACACAAGTACTCCTTTTCTTTTTGTAAATACAGACTAACACAGCTGCTACTCCGAAACCTATGTAAGCCTGAAAGCTTGTCTCACTCACGAACAGAAGTAAGTCCAATAAAAAATATTACCTCCTGCCCCTTGTCTCCCACATAGAACTGGCAGTTGTGACTGTAAGTCATTATAATAGGAAGGTTCTTTAGGGGTTTGTGAGAAAGAAGTTGATGGTCTCAGTCTAATTTGTCATGAAAAAAGTCCACTCAAAACTGCCATGATTAGCGCTCATCATTGCAGTCTTAACATTAGAAAAAGAATGGAGACTTCACTCACCTAAAGTAGTCTCCTTCTAAATCAGACAGATACACATTCGAATGAGGAACAGGGCAAGTGCTGAGAAAGCTTGCCTCGCTGCTGTCTGTAATGAACTTGTTGTTTGGGTGAATGGAATAATAGTTGATTCACTTGCATCACCAGTCTGACATATTTTGAAAACACTAGGATTACTTAATAAAGTTCTAGTAAAATAGGTATTTTATAAATTACATATTTCTAGAAAGCACCTGGTTTAAAGACTGTAAAACATGTTGAAATGCTAGTAGAAACAGGACATGAATCTTTATTTCTGGTGTTTGAACTCCAGCAATGGATACATGAGGAGCATTCATATCTATCTTTGGATTTACTAGTAAACAGACTGTTCCACCAGAAATCACTGGTGGGCATCCCTCATAGAATCAGGTTTCTATTTTCCTTGGCAGTGAACAGAAGGGGTTTTTCTGTGCTGTTCCATTCATCTTTGGCTAGAAGTGCAGAGCATCTTTGAACAGTCATTCAAACTTAGAATCTCGGCAATGAACTCACAATGATAGCCCTTTCTGATTGTGGACAAAATAAATGTGTTCTCTGTTGAAATTGCACCTGTCCAAATTGAGCCTTTGTTCTTGGTGTACAAATTCATGAAAAGGAGTGTGGCTTACTCTGAAGTGTTTTTACTGGTTATATCATTTTATGTATGATTTATTTTCCTAGCTTGCAAAATATAATGATACAGTGGCTGAAATCTTAGTGACCATCATATTAACAAACTTTGAACAACTTCAGATTAAGAGAACTGCACCAGATTTTCACTATGTAACCTTACTCATAGGAGATGCTGATAATCAAGTGGTTTTTAAACAGAAAATTATGTAAGTGTGATCAGTCATGTTATTTACATCTTTAGGAATGTCATTTTGTATTATTTCCATGAAGAGTCAAATATATAGTTGGTGTAACATTTTTTTATATTAATGAGACTAACGAAATATCTGTTATTTTAGTGGAAGTCCTGCTGCAAATGGATTCCCTAGGCCCTATTCTCTGTTGCTCTGTGTCCTGTGCAAAATGCGTATAAAGTGCTTCCTGATTTCGTAGCATTTTACAGGTGCTTTGCACTGGTGTAAATGGCTAAACAAGGCGCAGTCCAATAAAGTCAGTCCCCTTGCATATATCATGCCATTCTAAATATCTGTGCAGTTGTGTTATCAATTTTATTGATTATATTGAAGCCAAAAGCATCCAGTTTTAATATAAATACACAAAATTTACATTACTTAATGCTTACAGAAAGGAAACTTTTTGAATTGTTACTCACGAAAATTAGGTACTGAATTATTTACATAGGCAGCACTTGCCTACCTTCCCTACACACGTTTTTTTCACCTGGCGGAGGAATTAGACACTCTCTCTCCAGTTGGATGAGCTGTACGTGAAGGGAATGGGAAACAAAGAGTAAAATAAATCTTCTCCAACTAAATGACCTGCACCTGGGTCCTGATCAAGTCCTCACAAAGAGGAAGGCGTGCTCTTTCCACCTTGCAAAACTGGAATGTCATCTCAGGACCCTGGCTATCTTAGGGCTGCAGGCCCTGAAGGCACATCCTATTGGAATGTTTTTGAGACCCCTCATCAATTTGATCCCCTGAATCAAAACTGCTCTATGGTCTTTTACCAGATTTCCATACTGCTAGCATCGCAAATAACATGACTTTTTTTCATAAAATGTTTACCACTATCTTACTGTCCATTGTGTATACTTAATATCATTATATTATTATATGTTGCAGGGATTCTGTCTTGCTGAAAAATGGAAATTGGACTAAAAAAATTGAAGTGAAAAGAGCTCTTAAATCTGAGGAACTTAGTATAAATTTAATTAGCTCTGAATATGGTAGGTTTATTGATATGATTAGTACTTTAAAATATACTTTTAAAGATGTTGAATAAATAGTGAAACCAGTTTTCTTTATACCAACCCAAAACTTCAATAAAAATTAATTAATTATGAGATTTTTTTTCTAATGTAACTGTTTCATGTTAGTGTCATATACGTTGCAAGTCATCTCTCCTTGCTCCCTAGGATTTAACCTGAGCCCTTCTCCCCAAAACTCTTTAGAAGACGACTCCAAAACATTTCAGCCCATACTTATCCCCATCCATCCCCAAAGTTTTCCAATCTCCTCTCCATCAGTTCTGAGCCACATACCAATTCATCATATCAGATTTGCCTGATTTAACATTGATTCTCTTAATGGCAAATCGCTCCTTGTCTTTAACCTTGTGTAAATGGTAATATAAGAAAATATTTTTCAATTTACATAAACATTTTTGTGTTCCATTTCTAAAAGTTGGGGTGGATATTCAGCAAAACTATACAGCCTTTTACTTAGGACCAAAAAGGTTTGGAAATGAAGTGGTTTTACAAAGAAAATTAGAAGCTGAGTCTTCACCTATGTATCATGCCTCTTCAATAAGATCAACAGGAGCGAGAAAGGATACAGGTAATTAATAATACTCTAAAGAATAGAGTCCCATATCCTGCTCCTGTTGAGGTCAATGGACGTTTGGTCAGTTACTTCAATATGAGCCGGACTGGGCCCCATATTTGTTCATCTTTCTTCACTTTTGGGTAAAATGTTGTATGAAAACACACTACAATATATTAAGGAATTTAGTGTACTGTGGCTTTGAATCCAGTATAGACAGTTGTGACTATTTCCATCAAGTCACAACAAGGGCATAGAGTGTTGCTGTATTGGCTCAATAGGTAGTGAAGTACGTTTCCATAGGGAAATGAATTAGGGAGAGAAGTTGGACATCTAGTACCTCATGCCTTCAGAGTTTTAGGGTGGTGTTGACATGATGCTCACAGCTTTTAGTGGGAACAGTTATTGCTTTGCTATGAAAACAGTCTTAGCAACCCAAAGAGGAAGTCTCTCTGACAAACAAGAAGCAGTTGACTTTTTTGACCCAAAAGTTTTTTGAGGGTGAACAAAAATCTAGTGTCATGGATGACTTTGTTCCTTTTTCTCCCTGAGAAACCCTCAATAAAATCAGTGAAATAGAAAAACGGCAGCATTTCTTCTTCTATTACCTCAGGAGGTGCCTGTAACCGAGAGACCGCCTACATGAAACTTGGGAACAGAGAATGCAGCCATCACTGTAAAAATAAAGATGTATGTGGACACGACTGCTGTGAGTTTCATGAAACCTCATTATTTCTAACATCTAAATTCAAAGGATCTAATTCCCTCATTTACACAAGTGTAAATTAGGATTAATTTTGTTGATATTAATGGTGACATTGGTATAAAAAGAGTACACAGCAAGAGAATCATGCTTAAAATGTCACTATGATGCAATCTAAAAAGTAAAAATTATTAATAAATAACTGCAGTATAATTATTCTGTAGCGAATACAACGAAGAGTAATATTTTACAGAATTTGATAGCAATGTCAAGCTTTTCATATTTTTGTATGAAAACAAATGCGTCAAAAATTCTCTTATAAAACATCTAAGATGAAATCTTAGCCCTGTTGAAGTCAAAATTCCCATTGACTCAAATGGGGCCTGTATTTTACCCCTAAAATTTAATCTGAAGAATTTTCAATTCCTTTTCTTAGGTAAAATTGGAGTTTCACAGAAATCTGAGTTAAAGAGAGATTCAAAGTTTTCTTCATACCTAGCTGATTTAAGGAACAGAAATGCAATTTCATCAGTTCCCCCAGTCAAACGACTAAAGGTTCGTTTTAACACACGTTCCTGAAAATTTTTTTATTTAATCTTATTTATTGAATATATAAGTATTTGTGGGTTGAAGGTATTTTGTTAATCACATACAGACACATAGGATCAAATGTGTCCCATTGCTGTGAAATATGGAAATAGCAAAGGAACACAAAAAAGATAGGAAAGGCCCAGTAATCTTGGAAGGGTGTAGCTGCTAAGTGGTATGCTTCCCATGAGCCTGTGGAAGCCTTTTTCTGCAAACACTGCCTGATTTGTACTCTGCAGATTTAGGAAAGTATGGTGGACTAAGTAGCAGGCATAGCTGGAAGCCACCATTCTATGTGGCAACCTAGGGAAATACTACCTGAAATTATAAGTAAAAATTAATACTGGTGTCCTGAGAGAATTATGCTGCCAGGGGAGATGTTAAGAGTAACATTATTTTTAGATTCTTAGACTCTACAAAGTATCAAGGCTAAGCGCTTTGCCCCCTGGATGTGCCTGCAAATCTCTCTTCCCTATGGGAAGAATGTGGCATCTGAGTTTCTGCAATGCTTATTTCCCCCTCCTTGCAGTTTTTTCTGCAGTGGAGGATGATTTGGCCCATAGATAACAGAGAAAGAAGTGTGGTTAACAGTCTGGTCTTGCTGAGATATTTGCATTACTCCAAGATCTCACTGGCTAAATTGAGTAATGTGATTTATAAAACTTTTTAAAAAATCTGTTCCATCAGGTAGCTGCACATTTCATGGATTAATTCTATAAAATATGAATAACAACTTTCTTCCTATAGTGGCTTCCCTATTTTTTGGAAAGTGCAAGTGGTGTGATGCAGACTATTTAAAATACAATAATACACTAATCATCTGTAATAATTTTTTTTTAGATGCAGATACAGTTAAATAAATCTCAAAATGTGGATCTGAAACCATTTGTTTTTACACCGAAATCTTTGCTGCCAGCATTACCAAGGTATTATATTATTGCTATAAGTAAAATAAAATTTAAAACCTGCTCAGTTTAAATTCTCTCACTGGCATAAGCAGTGAAGACCTGTTTTCTGAATCAAATTATTTTTAATTTGCAACTTTCTTGTGACTCTGTTTTACTGATTTGTATGAAGGTCTGACTACACACAGTCTTCTGCCTCAGCTTCACGAGAACACTGGAATAATGTTAACATCCTTGGTAGACCTCAGAACCAACTGCAATCAGAGAGTTATGAAAAGAGTGGTAAGTTATTACTAATGTATGAGATTTTCTATGATTTTTTTCATTGTTTTGAATTAAACGTTTCTTGCAGAATTAAACCTGTTGAAATCACTACAGCAACCACCATAGTGCTGCAGGGAACTGCATAATTAGGGCAATACAATATGTTCTGTCAAGGCAAGGAACTTGATTTGACATTGGCTTTTCTTCTAAAAATCAATTGAAGTTTCAAGAACAGATCTCAGCCAATAAATGTCCCTTAAAGGAAAAATGTACTGGTTAGTTCTAATACCTTAGGGCCCAATTCTGTAAAAACTTATTACTGAGTTGGATGCTTATGACTGTGCTCATTCCCATTGATGCCAGTTGTAATGCATCAGATAGTTTACCTCTATCTCCTTCTTTTTCCACACACGTTTCCCGTCATCAGTGGAGTATCTGAGTGAAAAGTGAGCATTATGCTTTGTATTGTTGGGCTCTTAAAACAGCTAAATTAACCTTTAGTAAAACCTCTCTATTTATATTAAAAACTAAAGTTTTATTTTAATATCTTTCAAGGTTCTAATTGCTCCATAAATGTGAGTATATATCAATAGTCAATGAAACTTTATTGCTGCTTCCCATCATTGTTGATGAAGGTCCCAATCCTACCACATAAACTATTTTCATTTACATACACTGCATGTTAAGTGCTTTCCATTTCTAGTGCACGGCGATTTACAGTATACAATTGTGTTCTATTTCCAGTGTTCAAAAGGTAACAAAAGAAATAGAAAATACTGCTAACTTGAATGTGTATCTCCAGAAATGTACTGCCTCCACATCTGCTTATGCTCATTTCTGCTACTCAGGCAATGAAAGGAAATGAAAACCCTTCTGCATAGTACTCTCAAATAATGTTTTAGTGCAGCTATCTCTACATATTTTAGTTAAATGCTTTTAAAATTAATTGTTTAAAATGTGTTAGTCTGCTGTGATTAGTTTTGGGGAGTTGAATTTATAGGAGAGGGAGACAGTGAGTAAGACTAAATAGAGTGAATAAAGAGCAAATGAATGGGGTGGGAAGGTAAAGGGACTGGGCTCGTCCGTGTTAAACTTGCACTCTATCAAACCATAATTCTCACACTTGAAAAAAAAATTAAATCAGAGGTGACTTGAAATATTCTTTATAAGGGTCCCTTGCTGGAATTTGCTGTGAAGATGACTGTTTTCTTAAAATAACATTGAGAAAAAGTGTGTAGCTAACATAGTTTGCTTTTTTTATAGGTTGAACAAATACTCTTAAGCATGTAATCCAGAGTTTTACACCCCTATTATAATTGCATTACAGATTTCTCTTGGGAACATTCTGTGACTGTAAGTGAGGAGAGCCATCAGACAATGACGTCAAAGAAAAATTTTAAAGAATCTTTAATGCAGCATTTGACTAATGCAGATAAAAGCAGCTCTTGGTTTTCAGAGGCTTTGAATGTGAACTTTGAATTGGGAGATGAAGTTTGGGATGATTTTGATGATGACAAATTAGTACATGCTAGCAGCTTTTTCACTGGTGTGGAGAGTAGAGAAGATTTAGGTAAAATTATTTTGGTGTAACCTATTGTTTATAATTGTCACTGTATGTACCAAATGGACAGTGCACCAGATAATCTTCCTCAAATTAACTCTTCGCCCCCTTTTTGTTAAAAGTAATTGATTATGATCTGAAGTAAAATTTAACTTAAAATCTGTGGGTAACTTAATTGACCAGCTGATTTAGAATTGTTGTTTAAAGACAGATTTTTCATTCAAGATTATTGCAGCCTAAATATCAAAGAGAGTTTTCTACTCAACCTTCATTCACAGTCTCAGAAGTTGGGTGTTTGTTAAAATGATGAGCAGGGAACTAGTTAATGTTTTCACTTAAATTGTTTCCAATTTGGTACAGTTAATTGTAGGCCTTACCAACAAATTATAGACTCAGCACTTGCTAGCCCTCTGAATCACCATAGACTTCAGAGATTTTAAGATCAATAGATTTTGCCTTTTTCCAGCAGGCAAGTTCTACTGTCTAAATGCTGTGAAATTACTTTGCAACTGCCAAAGATTACTCCCTTCCTGTGGCCTGAATTACAGACACCATATCCACCTTTTCCCCATACATTATATCATAGTCAGGTTCATGGACCTGATTTCATGTGTATTATTCCCTATTTCACAATCACAGTGAAGCTGGTTCTTCCTGATTGAGTCCATAACCAATCCCTCTCACAAAGACAGATAACTGGAAGAGCCATCCACAGTATTCGATTAGAAAACAGGTTGCGAGAAGGGAAAGTTTCCTTTCTTCCACTGTCTCTCTGTGTAAATATTCACTTTTTAGGCCCTTTTCTATAAGGTGCAGAGCACCTTCAAATCTCAGTGAAGTAAATGGAATTTGCAGAATTGGGCCTATTCACCAGGGCCTGGGTAGGATAGCTCTATCAGGATGCATGCTTTAAGTTGGGAAAATAATGGTTTCTGAAAATTAGGAATTGTTTTGGCCCTTCTGCCTTCTATGTTTCAATAAGCAGTGTGGTTTTGAAGACAAAATAAACCTTTGTTAAAGTGCATATTGAATTAAGCATTACTTGTTCTCACAAGTGAATGTAACCATATTAAAGTAAATACACTTGCAATGTATTTCCTTCTGTTCTTCTGCAGCTATATACGTGCTTAAAATCAATAGAAAAGAAATATAAGGAAACAAGTGTATTAAAAGTCTCCAAATTATCATGAAAGTCAAATGATAGATCAATTCAGAATTCGTGATAATTTTGTAAATATGTGAATTTGTTGTTGTTTTTTTTTATTTATGCTGCAGTGTGGATAAATGTTAACTTTAAAATTAATCAACAGGTAAAGCACCAGAAAAAAATGGGAGTTTTACAAATGTTAAGTTAAACTCTTAAAATAGGCTGCATCTACACTGACAAAAACATGACCCTTAATTCACCCCTGTTGGTAGCAATGGCAGGAGCTGAACCATAGATAGGGCTCAAGCAGGCTAAACTGTTTTCACCACCATTTTGTCTATCCCCACTCTGAGCAGAGTTGACCAATACAATGGTAAAAACACCTGTCTAAATTAGTTTCTTCTTCAATGGTGGTCCCTATGTGTATTCCACATGTGGACACACAGGCGCATCATGCACTTGAGACCAGAGATTTCTAGCAAATAGTGTCTGTTGGACCACACCTGTGCAGTTGTTCTCGTATTCCATACCAAAGGTATAAGGGGTGGTTTGAACTGACATCTCTCCAGTTCCTTCTTACCTCAGCATAGCCTGAGTCAGAATCCTCTGTCTCCAAAGAGTATTGTCTACATCTTGTACAGAGTTCTAGTATTTTACCATATAAGTAGTTTCCCCCACCTCAGGGACCTTTCCCATTTTTCCCTTTGGGAGAAGGACTGTGCCCAGAGTCCCAGGTTTTTAGAACTGTCTCTCCTATACCTGCTCCTTCTCGATCAGTGATGAACACCAATGCTGCCTTTACTGCCTTGGGGAGGCTTATATCTCTGCCAAGTGCAGCAACTGCTGCTGCTTCCCTCCCTGAAACTGAGATGGACGAGAGCTTTGACTGAGAAAGTACCTTATGGAGAAGGCCATGAGACTCCCATCAGATCCAGGCTGGGGAGAACTCCTGTACATCGGCTTCAGGCTGTGAGCAGTGCCCCTTTGAGGACAAGCTCTGGAATAGAGACCAGAGTTGTTAAGCCCAAGGAATCATTACTTTAGGGCTTTCATGAGAGTAAGGGGCACTCTCATTGACATAAGAACATATCTCCTAGATCTGCTCTTAAAAGAGAGGCTCCCTTTCTGTCTCTATTCAAGTTATGTGTGTCCTAAAGACTTAGGTCCACCTAAATCTTCTGGCCACAAGAGTAAGGCGCAAAGGAGAAAGTATCCGTCGGTACTGGCTCTGGCTCCAACTCTTAAGCTGGAAGATAAGCACCAACTGAAATCTCCAAGTTGGACTCCTCTTTGATGATTGACTCCCATCAGGGTCCACTGATGACCATGTCCATAGTCACACTGGATCCATCGGTTCTGGCTACCATAATGCTTCGCACCCAGAGACAGACTGAAACTTAACTCTCTGAGGGTGAGATAAGGCAAAAATATCCTCCAACCTCCTCCTCTTCTTCAAGTGCTTGCTCATGTCCATTCCATATTAGCTGCGTGTGCTCGCCACGTGCACTGGTGCCGGAAGTTTTTCCCTCAGTAGTATCCATAGGGGACCAACTCTGGCACCCTCTGGTTCCCTCCACCCTCAGTTCCTTCTTGCCGTCAGTGATGGTGCTGGAACGTCTGCTGCTTCAGCTAGCATTTTGCTCATTCAGTGTTTCTTATGAACGTTTTCCTGTAAAATAGTTGTACATAGTTAATAGTTCCCTTAGTGTTGATTCTAATTTAGCCGGTCCTGGACGGGATTCAGCCTAGGGACAGAGCATGCCCTGGTCCCCATGCTTTAAGACTGTGATCGTTGTAAGCAGCCTATGCCCATCAGTGACCCGCACAGTAGCTGTTTAAGGTGTCTGGGCGAAGGGCACATAAGTGACAAGTGTCACGCTGGTAAATCCTTTAAACGCCGGTCAAAAAAGGAGAGAGACATCCTTCTCAGGGCACTCCTGATGGAGTTGGCACTAACTCTGGCACCGGAGCAGAGGTCTGACTCGGCCCCAAACACCGCAGTATCGGTGCAGAGCGCCCCGCCAGTGCCATCTACAAGCTGGCACCGATCCCCTTCCCTGGATCTGGCCAAGAAGCTGAAGAGGACCATGAGGGGAAGATCTCCCACTTCCCATAAGGGAAAGGAGAGGGCCAGAGGAGAGCAAAGACCCGTGCTGGGCAGCTCAGCACATCCATCAGGGAGTCGGGCCCCAGCTCAAGTCGAGTGGTCTAGCCAATCCTGTAACATGCCTGCCATGCCGGACGGTGACGAGGTCCTGTCGACACCCGACGCCCTGCAGGCTGCGCAGGAGATCCCGACGCTACTGGTGCCACCCATACTGGCTCCAGCAATACCCCGGTGCAGGGGTAAACCCACCTTGAGATCTCCCTGTGTGTCTCTGTCTCAGCAGCACCGCTCCCCATCAGAAGAAGAGAGTAGCTCTCTTCTTCTTCTTCAAGTGCTGTCCCTGTGGGTGCTCCACTCTAGGTGTTGGTGCATCCCGGCGCCATTGATCGGAGATTTTCGGTAGCAGTGCCTGGTCGGGACGCAGGCACTCAGTTGGTATCTCCCGTCTCGTTGGAATCTTCCTGAGTGCCTGCATCCCGCACCCCCTTCAGTTCCTTCTCAACCATCCCTGGCTGAAGACGGGACTCGGGGCAGTGCTACTTCTCTTCCCTGGTCTCTGTAGGAATAAAGTATCAAAGAATATAGAAAAGGAGTACTTGTGGCAGGTGCCACAAGTACTCCTTTTCTTTTTGCGAATACAGACTAACACGGCTGTTCCTCTGAAAAGAATATAGAAATAGTCATTAGTTACATCCCAGTTGTTTCCCTTCCTTTAGTGTAGTTACTAGTAATAGTTAGTAGTAATAGTTAGTTACTTAGTTAAAAAAAACAATAACTTTTCGCTTCAGGCTTGTCTCCTGCTGAGACACTCTCCCCTGCCATTTCTAGTTCACAATGCCAGGGGCTTCAGGATTCAAAAAGTGTGTTTCCTGTCAGGACTCCATGCCATGGTCCGATGGGCACTCACATTGTGTGAAGTGCCTTGGAGAAACCCACATTCCCGCGAAGTGCCTCCACTGTACAAGCCTCAAGTCAAGGGCTCGGCACAACAGGGACCTGTGGCTTAAAATGCTTCTGATGAAAAAATCTCTGCAGCCGCTTTCAGAGAAAGTTAAACCCGCTCCCCGGCCAGATCCAAACCTGTGGAGAGCATTGCTTCACCCTTTTTGGAACAGAGGCAAGAAGCACAGCAGTCTCATAGGAGAGACTCTGACAAAGGTAAAGGGTCTCCTTTGGTAAAGGAGACTCTGACAAAGGTAAAGAGATCCTTACCCTCTGTGCTGACAGCGCCACAGGCAGGCACCTCAGCTCTTTCTAAAGCCTCAGCTGTGGCTCCCACAGACCGTAGAGGCAGGAACCCAACCTCCCGTACCGGAAAGGTCTCCGCGGCACCTAGTGCCTCAGCACTAAAAATAGCCACGGTGCTAGCTGTGCACTCTGCCCCGGTGCCAACAAGGACGTCAGCACTGACCCCTTCTGCACTAAAAATAGCCGCGGTGCCGACTGCGCACTCTGCCCCAGTGCCAGAAAGGATTTCGGCACCGGGCCTGCCTCCTGCCCCGGCACCAGCAGTGGACCCCCTGCAGGGCACCGCCAACAGACCTGCGGCACCGCTGACACTTCCTCTTCAACTTGCAAATGCGCTAGAGCACAGACCAGGCTCAGCGCAGCCCAGGGAGCAGGAGCAACAGTTCCTCACTCAGTGTGACCTCTCAGTGCCACCTGAGCCTAACTCTGTTTCTGGATACACAGGGCTCACTCTTCGAACAGCCACTCTCACCACCTGAACTGGCTACCTTCAGGGACTGCGAACAC